CCAACGGACACAGTTTGTGACGGGATTATCGTAATAATAATGAAAATACTAATCCTTACATTTGGCACGGCGCCTCTCATGTCAGGAGGATGTCTCAAAGCGCGTCACAGGATATACCTTAAAGCGGAGCGACTGTGTGTTTTTGTGGGTGAACACAGGAGCCAATTTGGTAGGAGCGAACAGCCATGAATTGAGTGACCAATCTTCACTAGGTGGGCTTGTCTAACAAATAAGAATAAAAATCCTTGCATTTCACATAGTGCCCTATCACGTCTTTTTGAGATGCCTCAAAGTGCTTCGAGAAAAACATTGTAAGTGAATCGATTGTATATGTTCGGGGGCAAAACGCGACAGCCGATTGTGCACAGCAGTGGTGGATTGAGTGACCCAATTATTAATATTTTTTTCAAGGGGTTATATTACTCCCAGAAAAGCAATCCGCCAATCAACTAACAACCGGGCTCCTACTCGGTGCGCGGTAAACAGCGGCGTGTGGAGTAAGGAAACTTGCCTAAGGTTTCGCCCTGGCCCGGGAATCGAACCCGGGTCCTCTCGCTTGCGAGGCGAGTGCTCTAACCGCCGCACTATTGGAATGCGCATCTCAGTCACCTCCTATCGGTGGAGGTCTGGTAGCGCAGCAGCCGCTTCAAGACATTAAGATGTCACCTGGATGGAGATCCACTACTTTTTTGCGTAGCTTTCCGGAATTTCGGCAATTCGTTAAATTCGATCTAAACTTTGAAGTTATAATAAATAATAATAATAATCCTCGCATTTGATATAGCGCTCTTCACGTCGGGAGGACGTCCCAAAGCGCTTCACAGGACACACTGTAAAGTGAATTGACTGTATATTTGTGGGCGAATGCGGCAGCCGATGGCGCACAGCAATGTCCCACAAACAGTCGTAGATTGAAAATGACCAATTTATTATTGTTTTTGGTTTTGGAGGGATTATTATTAGGCTCTGTGTGGAGTAAGGAAACTTGCCCAAGGTTTCGCCCTCTGCCTGGAATTGAACTCAGGTCTCTCGCTCGCAAAGCGAGTGCTCTAACCACTGAGCTACAGGACTCCACAAAAGCCCTTCGAAAGAACATCACGGAATAGGTAGGGCATCAGATTGCTTTATATTTAACTTATCTTTATAGATTGCGTTATCTTTAACATCCAATACTGTATTTTAAGAATTTGCCAAATTATGCTCATTCTGAAATTATGAAAACACTACTCCTAATAATCCTTGGATTTGATGCAGCGCCTAATCACGTGGTTGAGACGTCTCAAAGCGCTTCACGGGGATACACTGTAAAGTGAATTAACTGTATATCTTCTGGGCAGAACGCAGCAGTGTCCGAACACAGTCGTGGATTGAGTGACCCAATTATTTTTTGGAGGGATTATTACTCCCGGAAAGGTATCCGCCGATCGACTTACAACCGGGTTCCTCCTCACTGCTCGGTAAATCAGAGGCGTGCGGAGTAAGGAAACTTGCTTAAGGATTCACCCCGCCTGGGAATCGAACCCGGGCCCCCTCGCCAGTCAAGCGAAGGTCCTCACCACTCTGCTACGGGACTCCACGGTTGTGCGAAATCTGAAACTTTCCAAAATTGTGCACAAGGCGACGTTTTAGGGCTGAGGGTCTGGCGACGAGAGTACTGGAGCTATCAGTGCTCCTGATGGCTTGGGGGAGATAGCAGACTTGTTTGCCTGCAGAGACACGCAGGTGAAAGCGCTGCGCCCTGTGTTGAGAATCCTTCCACGCCCACCAGGCTACGATGTTGTGTCTTACTCATTGTTGTTGGGGTGTTTGAGTCTCCATAGGCAACAAAGCCACGAGGAGAAGAACTTTGTACATGACCCGTGAGGCAAACCTGTACTTATTTTCTCTTTATACTCTTACACACACACAAACACAGTTAAACCACTCCTGACCTGTCTCCAGCGTGGAAAAAAAATGAACACAAAGCAATATCTTCACACATGGTCTATAATAATAATAATAATGTTTGCATTTGATACAGCGCCTTATCACGTCGTTTCGACGTCTCAAAGCGCTTCACACAACATACTGTAAAGTGAATTGACTGTGTATTTTTTGGGGCGAAACTTGGCAGCTAATTGCGCACAGCAACGTCCCCGCAAACAGTCGTGGATTGAAGGGCCAATTTTTTTTTTTAACGAGGGATTATTGCCTACGGAAATGCGATCCACCAATCGACCGACAACCAGGTTCCTGCTTACCGCTGGGTAAACGGAGACGTGTGGAGTAAGGAAACTTGACTTAGGTTTCGCCCGGCCCGGGAATTGAACGCCGGTCCTCTCGCTTGCGAGGCGAGCGCTCGAACCACTACACCACAGGACTCTGCCACTAGCTCACTCATGTTTGTCCACCCAACTCGCTGACTCACCAACGCTCACCCCTCCTGATCCCAACCCGCAGCTCGGGTGCGGATCCCTGACTGTCCAGCGCCTTGGGACGTTCTCCCAACATGAAAGGCGATGTGTAATTTGTTGTTGTTGTTGTTGTTGGAACGGGCTGACACCTGAGGTATTGTGTTTAAGCGCTTTGGGATGTCCTCCCGACGTGAAAAGCGCTATATCAAATGCAAGGATTATTATTATTATTGTGAGGTAAGTGGATTGCGGGAAGTGGGGTTCTCCTGGGAGCGAGAACGTGATGTACCCCCTTCTCCCGGTTCCTTCCTCTCTCTCTGTGTAGCCTCCGAATCCACATCGCGCTCCGGGTTTGGAGATTCCACTCGCGTGACAAGCGACTGATTCATTCCACCGTCTAAAGACGTGGGCAGCCGAGCAGGAGCACGAAGTAGGCGACGCAGCCAAAGAATTCAGCCAAAGAATTGGAAACAGACGGTTTAATTGTGAGGTTATGGCAGCCAACATCCCAAGCAAGAAGATATTTGACATATTTCACTAAAATACACGGCGAGGGAGGGAGGGGGAGATATGGGGGGATTTCCTCTGAATGTTATGAATAGTGATTCAAAAGCATTATTCACTCACTCACTCATCCTCGAAAAGCATTTACAAATCCGCAATAATTTATATCTGCCATCAAAGAGGCCATTCGGCCCAACTAGTCACTGTTGCTAAATTAATATTTATTTTTACAAAACAAAACTTGTTATGCATATATATATATATATATACAGGTATTTTGCCTGGAAGTAAACGCGTCGTAATCTATCTATCGTATATATCTACAGCTTGGCACTATGAGTACAACAAAATACAGTCAATTCACTTTACAGTATATTCTGTGAAGCGCTTTGAGACGTCTCGAAGACGCGACGAGGCGTACATCAAATGTGAGGATCATTATCATTTATTTATTATAAATAGCTTCCCGCACCCCCCTCCCCGCTCTATCCCTGCGACGTGTGTTTTCCTGAGTGAAAGGCGTCTGCTTGCACACCGTGTGAACTGACACTAACGATAGCTGAGCCTCTAGTGTGTGGGTGTGTATGTTTATATATATATATATATACATATACATAGTTAAGAACTCTGTAGAGAAAGGAATCTTGCCAGAGGACTGGAGAAAAATAGAAGCTTACAGCGCAGAAGGAGGCCATTCAGCCCATCGTGCCCATGTCTACCGACTAGTCCCACTCCCCTGCGGCACGCGCCCCCCCACCCCCCCGAATCAGATAAGTGTCGATGCATTCAAAAGGAAGACCTTCAGGTGAGGGGAGAGGGGAACAGAAGGATTACAGGAGGGAGGAAGGAGCGGATGGAGACTCGTGTGGAGAATGAACACCAGCGCGCACCGGTTGGGGCCGAGTGGCCTGTATTCCGCTCTGCGCATTCTTTGTAAACCTCCACCCCTCACAACGGGGAACTTTCCGTTCTCATTGTGGAGCGTCGAGAGGGTGGCTGGAAAGTAGAAGCCTCCGCCATAGTCAAGCTGATAAGCAGACCAGACTCCACCCACCCCCACCCGCCACTTAACGCAGACCCCCAAACCCCCACCCACCCACCCATCCATCCACCCCTCCGTACGAGTTATTTGTGAATGAAACATTTTTCACAGCTGTGCAAGTAAAATCACGTGAGAAAAATCAGGAGCGGAAAATCAAGTGGTCCACATCTCAGGACCACAGACCGCTCTCCCTTACAACAATTGGTTAAAATCTCATGTCGACGCTCCCGCCAACTGTATTATAATGCGGGTCGTTCGAACGCACTGAGGTCTTCAGCTCCCTCTGGCGACTGCAGGAATTAATTCAGCGACTGGCAAAGCCGCACACAGAGCGGGGAGGGAGGGAGGGAGGGAGGTTCTGGGTTCAATCCTGTGTTGACTTTGTCAGCTGATCTCGGAGGAGGAAGAGTTTACAATTGGGCTCAGGGCCTGGGGTTGGGAAAGAGGTGGTGGAGGGGGGGAATAATCAACCGGGGGCGTTTCCTGATCAGCGTCCAGCAACGCACGTTACCCCACCCACCTGCTCCCTCGCCTGCCACCATCGCAAGTGTGTGTAAGGTTGTTACCCCTCCGTGGTCAGAAAATGCTGCCCACACTCAACAGGGGGAAGTGATACCACAAGGTGTGGTTGAGGGCAGGAGGTTGGGAGGCAAGGGCTGGAGGGAGGGGGTGTTCGGGAAGGATGAGGTTGAATGGTCAAGGGGCCTTCTTCACTTGAGCCTCCCTTCTGAACTTGCAGGACTTGGGTGACCTTGACTAGATTCCTAACTGTAGCGGCGTGTGTGGGTGGGTGTGTGTGTGTGTGTGTGTGTGTGTGTGAGCGTGTGTGTGTATGTATGTTAGTGTGTGTGTGTTTGTGTGAGTGTGTGTGTGTGAGTGAGTGTGTGTTTGTATGAGTATGTGAGTGTGTGTGCGAGTGTGTGTGAGTGTGTGTGTGTGTGTTTGTATGAGTGAGTATGTGAGTGAGTGTGTGTTTGTATGAGTATGTGAGTGTGTGTGTGAGTGTGTGTGCGAGTGTGTGCGAGAGTGTGTGTGTGTGTGAGTGAGTGTGTGTGTGAGTGAGTGAGTGGGGGAGCGTGTGGGGAAGAGAAGATACTGGTTTGTGCTGAGTACGGTTGGTTGGGTTGGTTGGGTTGGTGTTGCGTTGTTGCTGTTTCCTTATGCTTCTTCCTCTCAGCAGAACTCCACGAAGCTCGTGAGCGTACCTCGACGCAATCGTTCGTTTCCCGTGAACAAAGAAACCCGATGGCTTCCGGGCAAACCATTCCCGGCCACTCGCCGGAGGTTACGCTCGCGCTTTCAGAAGTCGTAAGACAGGAAGTCAATAAGCTTCGGAGCAATGCTCAACTGAGAGATGGACTTCATCCGGCTGGGGCCCAGGGCTCTGCGAAACGTTACTCTGCAGTGATGCGCCAAACTCAATGGGGTTCCTAAAGCACAAGCAAACGCAAAGACGGCGGTTAAAGGCAGCTCGGTGGTGGTCAGCGCGCTCCCCTCGCAAGGGTTCGATTTCCGGGGCAGGGGCGAAACCTTAGGCAAGTTCCCTTACTCCAACACGCTCAAGCCTCTGTTTACCCAACGGTAAGTAGGAACCCGGTTGCTACTTATTTCCAGGAGTAATAATCCCTCCGCAACCCCCCCCCGCCCCACAAATTAATCACTCAATTCGCGACGGTCCGTGGGACACCGCTGCGCGCAATTGGCCGCCCCCTCCGTTTCGCCCCCAACGTGCACCTACCGTTTGTATTCAAACTGCACTCTAATATAAATCCAATAGAAGTATAATATAATACAAAAATAGAGGCAGGCGATGAGGCGCTGTGTACCAAACGCAAAGATTATTATGAAAGAAGGCGACGAGCCTTCCGCAGCCGGTGGAGTTTATGGAACGCCTTCCGTTTAATTGCTGCAAAGTACCACAGGATGGCAGTCTCCACAAGTGTCGCGTTGCAAATAGAAAATCAAAACAACTTCCGGTTAAATGTCAGGCAATGTCGCAAAACGCTTTACAGTTTCTTTTTGGGGGGGGCGGTAGGGGTCGGTCGGGTGCCTGATACGCGCAGAAATTGCGCACCGCAGTCTCCCACAAACAGTCACGGATCGAGTGACCAAATTATTATTTAGTGTTGTTTACGTGCTCCCGATGTGAAGGACACTACCTACACACTTGTCGTTGAATCTTGTTGTTATTTCTTTAGTTATTATCTTTTGAAGGTATTATTGCCCCCGGAAAAGCGATCCGCCAATCGACTAGCAACCGGGTTCCTACTTACTCCTGGGAAATAGAGGCGCGCGCGTGTGTGTGTGTGTGTGTGTGAGTGTGTGTGGGGGGTAAGGAAACTCGCCTAAGGTTTCGCTCTGCCCGGGAATCGAACCCGGGTCCTCTCGAGCGCTCCAACCGCTGAGCTACGGGACTCCACAAACTATCAGGCTCCAAAAAAAACTGAAGTCCCAGCTCAGGTCTCTGTGGCCGGCCGTCAACTCCACCCAGCCAACGCGAGGAGCGCCCCCGTTCACTTACTCTCAAAGTGCTGCAGGCATTTGGACGATGGGGTGTTGGAGGAGCCTGTGAAACTGAGAGGTTTCCTCCCCTGATTGTCCTCCGCGTAGACGTTGGCCCCGTAGTCAACCAGCATGGTGATCAAGTCCACGTTCCTGGTCTTGGCGGCCAGGTGCAGAGCTGTCTCGTGGAGTTTGGCCGTGTTGACGTTGGCCCCTGGCGTGGAACACAAGACAGTCACTACAACAACAACGCCACCACCACCACCAACACGTTACACTTGTACAGCGCCTCTCGTGTCCCAAGGTGCCGGACACTCAAGGATTTGGACCCGAGCTGGGGGTTGGGATCAGGAGGGGTGGAGGGCAGGGAGGGTAAGAGTTTAGGAGGGTGACCGAAGGCGCGGTCAAGGAGGAGTGTCTTGAGATGGGCCTTGAAGGAGGCGAGGGAGAGAGCCAGACGAAGGGACTGTGGGATGGAGTTCCAAAGGGTGGAGGCAGGAACCAGGATACCGAGACCGACACAGAGGGTTGACTCGATTCTGATATCCCATTGACAGGCACGTCACCGTGGAGCCAATTCAACCCCAAAGAACCCCTAATGTATTGCCCTTCCCGGGAATCGAACCCTGGTCCTCTCACTCGCAAGACAAATGCTCTAACCACAACGCCACTGAACTCCACACCTCTGCCACCTCCTGCTGGTGACGTCTGTTAGTGCACATATTGTTACTGTGAGTGACAAATATAGGTTTGAGCCAAAGGTTAACATACGAACACAAGAAACGCTTGATCAGGGTCCATCTAGTTCGCCTTCCACCTTCCTGGCGGTCGCAGGCAAGTACGTCCCAAACTCCCCGTGTCCTGTATCCCACCGTGTTATTTCCTCAAAGAAATCTATCTAATCTGTGTTTGAAGGAATCAACACTTCCTGCTCCAACTGTCTCCCCGAGGAACCTGTTCCACAGGTTCGCTATTCGCTCTGAAATAAGTGTTCGCGTAGATTTGTTCTGAATTTCTCCCCCTTTCAGGCGCAGGCCGTGTCCTCCGGCTTTACTACGCTGGACAGGTTGAAACAGCCTGTCCTGATCTATATTGTTTTGTCGTTTAAGAATCTTAAAGACAGCAATCGTGTCGCCTCTCAATCTTCTCCTTGCCCGCGTGAACGTGCCCGATTTACCGAGTCGCTCCTCGTAGTCCAGTCCTTCCATTCCCTCAATCATTTTGGTTGCCCTGCTCTGTACCTCCTCGCTTTCTCCAATACCCTTTCTGTACTGCGGCGACCAGAACTCTACACAGTCCTCCAAGTAAGGTGTCACCAATGATTTATACATGCGGCAGGATTACCCCACTATTTCTGCTGCTATTGGTCCTTTGATGCATCCCATCCCGACATCTGGTTCGCTCTACTCACTGCCCCAGAGCGTTGTTGGGAGAGCTCCAATCTATTGTCGATCAGGACTCCCAGGTCCTTTTAGTTTTCCATACATATTATTATCCTTCCGCTCAAATGATAGTCCCTTCCAGGATTTTTTTTGTGAAGTACTTTACATTTCTGCACGTTGAATTTTCACCTGCCGCCCATCTGCCCAATTCCCAAGTATGTTCAAATCCTCCTGTAACCTATCTGGTTCAGCTCCGCAACCTGCCGCCCACATTAGGTTGGGTTGGCGTCACCTGCAAACTTAAGCCACTGTGCGCGCGACTCCTGACCTGCAGATCGTTTATAAAAATATTGAACGCAAGAGGGTCGCACGACAGACCCTTGTGGAACTCCACCGGTAACACTTTCCCGGCTTGATGACCTTCCCTCTGTGCGGTGGCACGGGACACGGTTCGAATCGAACGCGCTAACCTGCGTCAAGCAGGATCTTGACGCAGTCGATGTGCTGCCGAGAGCAGGCGATATGCAACGGGGTCCCGAAGTAAATATTTTGAGCCTCCATGTGAGCCCCCTCCTCTATCAGCAGCTTCACGCACTCCGCACTGCCTGCAAAAACACACAAAGGCCAGTCGGTAACTCCCTTTCTGGAGGCAAAAATCTTCCGCTATATCACATGCAAGGATTATGATTATTATTATTATTATTGTTATGATAATATCTCATTTTCCTGCCCGGAGGCCACCGCTGCAATTGTCGAGAGCTTCGAGATGCTCTTTTACATGAAAGGTGCCGATGCAGTGCGATAAGGTGCTACATCAAATGCAACAACTTGCACGTATATAGCGCCCTTCACGTGGGGCAGCAGCCCCGGAGCGCAGTCTGACAACGAGCCATTTATCTATTATTCTAATTGCAAGCTCTTAATTTCAGACCTGCATCTGTCACTTGACCTAGATACCAATTAAGCCCTGAGATTTTATACTGAGGCATCAGCACAGATTGTGAGCGCGAGCGACTTGAACCCATAACATTTCTGACCCAGAGGCGAGTGCGCTAATCGTAATAAATAATAATAATAATAATAATAACCCTTGCATTTGATGTAAGGGTCAAATGCCTTCTCAGGTCGTCCGAGACGTCTCAAAGCGCTTCACGGGATATACTGTAAAGTGAATTGACTGTATATTTTGTGGGCGAAAGGCAGCAGCCAATCGCGCACCGCAGCGTCCCCACAAACAGCCGTGGATTGAGTGACCAATTCATTATTATTATTATTATTTTTTGAAGGAATTGTTATCCCAAGAAAAGCGATCCATTCTGCTTACTGCGTAGTGACTGTGTCATTTGTAGACGTTACATTGCCTGCGACTTACCGCTCATGCAGGCCTCGTGGAGGGGCGACACGGTGTAGATGGGCGGATTGACCTTTGCTCCGTGACTTATCAGCAACTTCACGCATTCTATGCTGCCGGCGGCACAGGCATCACACAGGGGGGTACTCCCGTCAATGTTCCTGGCGTCGACCTAACGGGTGAGAGGTTTTTAACCGTCGAAACTCACCCGGCGAATCTTCGGCCACGCTCGGGCTGCGCGAGAAACAAGAGCGGTGGGTCTTTCTGGCGAGACGTTAAACCCAGGTCCTTTCTAAGGCTTGTTCCCCCCCCACCCACCTCCGCCCCCCACCCACCTCCGCCCCCCACCCACCTCCGCCCCCACCCGCCGACAAATACCCACAGATATGAGTTGGCCATCCACCTCGTGGCTGAATGATTTTGCGACTGACCTGAGCTCCCGCAGCAAGCAACAGCTGCACCGACTGGATCTGCCCCCGGATGCTCGCCTCGTGTAAGGGGGTGATGGAGTCCACGGTCACTATGTTCACGCAGGCCCCGTTCTCGATCAGCGCCTTCAACTCCAGCACCTGCCCCTGTTTGATGGCTTCGTGGACCGGAGTCCGATCAGCCCAGAAATCTGAGCGCAAACACCACGGGTTATTTTTTTGTTTACCGCAGCACAAAACTGGCTGCCGGTTTCGCCCACAAAGTACACGCAGTCGATTCACTTACCGGTATATCCCGCGAAGCGCTTTGAGACGTCTCGACCACGTGATAAAGCGCTGCGTACTTAAGGAGTGTAATAAACCTTATAATAATAATAATCCTTGGGTTTGACACGGCGGCTTATCACGTCTTCGAGACGTCTCAAAGCGCTTCACGGAATATACTGCAAAGTGAACTGACTGTATATTTTGTGGGCAAAACGCAGCAGCTAACTGCGCACAGCAGCGTCCCCACAAACAGTCGTGCGTTGAGTGATCACATTTTTTTTAAGGGATTATACCACCGGACGAGCGATCCACCAATCGACTGACCACCAGGTTCCTACTGCTGGGTAACCAAGAGGCGAATGAGAAAGGGAAGATCAACCAACAGAGAATGGGAGAGAAGGAAGAGGACAGGCAAAGCGAAAGTGAAAGAGGAGGCCAAAGTGAAAGAGAAACAAAAGACAGAGAAGGGGAGAGACAATTTCCTTACTCCACCTGCCTCTGTTTCGCCAGCAGTAAGTCGGAACCCCTCAGTTGTTAGTCGATCGGCGGATTGCTTTCCGGGTGGAATAATCCCTTCAAAAAACATAATACTAATTGGGTCACCCAATCCACGACTGTCTGTGGGACGAAGAATATTTGTCCGCAGAATATACAGTCAATTCACTTCGCGGCATCTTCTGTGAAGTGCTTGGAGACGTCTTGACCACGTTATAAGGCGCTGTATCAAATGCAAGGATTATTGGAAGCCCATCGCCATGTTCAACAGTATCCCAACCAGACAGAGGTCCACATAGTGTACGTTGTCTACGTGAGTGGAAAGGGTAAGAGAGCGTAAGAAAGCGAAATAAAGGCAGAAAGTGAAAGAGATCAGAAGAAAAAAATGAAGGGGGGAGAGGGGAAAGCAAGCATGTACGTGAAACTTTGAAAGAATAAGAGGTGAAGAAAGAAAGAAAGAAAGAAAGAAAGAAAGAAAGAAAGAAAGAAAGAAAGAAAGAAAGAAAGAAAGAAAGAAAGAAAGAAAGAAAGAAAGAAAGAAAGAAAGAAAGAAAGAAAGAAAGAAAGAAAGAAAGAAAGAAAGGAGGAAAGGAGGAAAGAAAAGTGAAAGAGATTCAAGATTAGGTAGAGAGAGAAAGTAAAAGTAGAAGGGGCACCGGTAAAATGGGCCAAGAGGAAAATCGAGGGAAAGTAGAGGGAAATGAGAGAATAAAAGTGGGAGGAAACAAAACAGAAGTGAAGGAGAAGTGGAACAAGAAAGGGGAAAGACAAAACAGTGAGAGAGATGGAAAGTTGAGAGAGAAGGCAAATAAATCAAGGAGAAAGGAAACAGATAAGGCGCCAGTAAGAGAAACAAGAAAAGATAAAGACACAGGAGTAGGAAGCGGTAAAGCACGCGAGATGAGGAAAGGGGAAAATAAGTAAAAAATAATAATTTGGTCACTCCATCCACGGCTGTTTTGTGGGACGCTGCTGTGCGCAATTGGCTGCCCCGTTGCGCCCATGAACATATGCAGCCGATTCACTTTTGCGGTATATTCTCTCTGGACGGCTGTGAGATGTGATAAGCCGATGTACCCAAAATGCAAATGCAAGGATTTAAAACTAGAGAAATACAGAAAAAGAGAAACAGCAACAAATTGCATTTGTACTGCGCCTTTCCCGTCGGAAGGGGGAAAAAGAGAGGAGCCTCGTAACAGCAATAATCTTTACGTTTGACACAGCGCCTCATCGCATCTCCGAGACGTCTCAAAGCGCTTCACAGAATACACTGTAAAGTGAATTCACTGTATATTTTGTGGGCGAGACGGGGCAGCCAATTGGGCACAGCAGCGTCCCCACAAGTAGCCATGGACTGAGTGACCAATTTATTAATATTATTTAATCTGCTCCCTTCCAACATTCGGACCCTACAGCTACGAAATTCTCTGTAGTCACGCTGGGTGTGTAGCTCTGTCATTTTAGTCATTGTAATAATCATAATAATTCTTGTATATGTACGCAATGCATTCAGAGGGAGAAAGGGGACATGAGGAGATGTGATAGCGTGCTATAAAAATGCAAGGTCTTCCAAAGTGATTTCATACTGAAATGGTAACTTATCCCCAATTTGAGCGCTCGAACACGCTACCCGTGTAAAGTTGATGTTGTTGCTATCCCCTCTTTCATTTATTCACTGGGAATTTTCACCACCGCAGCGGGTAAAAGAGATCCTGCCATAACGTGAGCAGTCAGTGCATACCCGCTGCAGTTATATAACACGTCTACAGTTTTATATATGACATAATATGCTCAATCCAGGACTGTTTGTGGGGAGACGCTGCTGTGTACAATTGGCTGCCGCGTTTCGCCCACAAAATACCCAGTCAATCCACTTCACGGTATATTCCGGGAAGCGCTTTGAGACCCGTCTCAGCGACGCGATAAAGCGCTGCGTTGTGATGGGATTATTTCTTACGCTGCAGGATTATTTTTTTCGCAGTACTTTTACGATTAGAACAAAGCAACTGCGTTCATTCCCGCACGAACGAGGGAGATGCGGGCCGATGCAGTACAGAACTGATTCAGTTCCTCCGAAGGATGCAAATGGAATGGTGGGCAAAGCAAGAGAAAAAAAACTAATTGCGTTTGTACGGCGCCTTTCACGAAAAACAGGAGTAGGGTTAACTGATCAGCGATTAAACACATGGTATGTGAAGCCCCGGAACCTTTATGGCGGGCAGTCCAAACATCTTGTTTTACCATCAAGAGGGGGGGTGGGGGGGAGGGGGACTGTTTTCCTGCAGCCCCACAGAACTCCCTGAAACATTAAAAATTCCAACATCAAGCTATAGTGGAGTCCTGTAGCTCAGTGGTTAGAGCACTCGCTTTGCAAGTGAGAGACCTGAGTTCAATTCCAGGCAGAGGGCGAAACCTTGGGCAAGTTTCCTTACTCCACACAGAGCCTAATAATAATCCCTCCAAAACCAAAACCAATAATAAATTGGTCATTTTCAATCCGCGACTGTTTGTGGGACATTGCTGTGCGCAATTGGCTGCCGCGTTTGCTCACAAATATACAGTCAATTCACTTTACGGTATATTCTGTGAAGCGCTTTGGGACGTCCTCTCCCGACGTGAAAAGCGCTATATCAAATGAAAGGATTATTATTATTATTATTATTATTATAATACTGCGTTTGCTCTGCAATGTCACACTGCAAGAAACCTTCCCCCATTTTACATCTACAGTATCTCTCTCTCTCTCTCTCTCTACACTACACACACACACACACCACACACACGAAACAGAAACCGAAACACGCAAGAGAAAAGCCACAGGACAACAGCAAAGTGACAAGGCAGGAAAACACAAGACAGGAAACCCTCTGCATGTAATGTAATTAATGTCATTAATGTCATATATTTCTTTAAAACACAGCCTTCTCTTTTCTCTCTCTTTCTCTTTCTTTCTCTCTCTCTCTCTCTCTCTCTCTTTCTCTCATTCAAAGCTCTCTTTCTTTCCCCCCCACTTTTGTTTTTAATGGGTGTTTTTGTTTTGTGTAATAATAATAATATATTATTTTTAAAAAAAAGCAGCAAAGAAAAGGGGAAGAAGGGGGGGAAGGGAAGGGGGGGAACCTCACTGGGAAAAATAAACCTGACACAAAAGCACACAACCCCCCCCCCCCCCCCCACCCTCTTTACAGGTGCCATGTACATGTGCAATCACATACTCACACATGTGTGACATACTGCAGCTGTGCTCTCAGTGACATCTGTGTCCCTCCACACACACACACACACACACACACACAGCTGGTGCCGGGTCACGTGCCCCCATTGTCCTGAGCGGCTACAGTATCCGCCGCCGCCGCCGCCGCGGGGCCCGCTGGGAGTTGTAGTCGCGGCCCTCCCCACTCGCAGCCGCTCGCCGCTCGCACTACAACTCCCAGGAGGCACCGCCGCCGCCGCCGCCGCCGCGCATGCGCTCCGGCCCCTGATGCCCCGGAAAGCTACAACTCGGAAGCGACGAGAGATTTGTGAATGGAGCAGAGCTTCGAGCGCTAAGAGGGTTCAGGGGCTCCCCCCAGCGGCCGCTTGGGGTGTTGTCACCTTATAATGATAATAATAATAATAATAATAATAATAATAATAATAATCCTTGCATTTGATATAGCGCTTTTCACGTCGGGAGGACGTCCCAAAGCGCTTCACAGAACACACTGTAAAGTGAATTGACTGTATATTTGTGGGCGAACGCGGCAGCCAATTGTGCACAGCAATGTCCCACAAACAGTCGTGGGTTGAAAATGACCAATTTATTATTGTTTTGGGTTTTGGAGGATTATTATTAGGCTCTGTGTGGAGTAAGGAAACTTGCCCGAGGTTTCGCCCTCTGCCTGGAATTGAACCCAGGTCTCTCACTTGCAAAGCGAGTGCTCTAACCACTGAGCTACAGGACTCCGACTGAGTTACAGGACTCATGTCTCTGTGCCTGTGTTGTTTAACCCTTATCTGCCTCTCTAAGTTGGTGGATTTCAATAGTAATGATAACGATGATGATGATGATGATGATGATGATGATGATGATAATCCTTGGATTGGAGATGGCGCCTTTTATCGCGTGTTCCAGACCTTCTCGAAGCGCTTCGCGGGAAGCCCTGCAGAGCCTGGCCTAGCGGCCGCGTGCTTTGTGGGCGAGGCTGCGGCGTTCCCCGACGCTGGAGCGTCAGCCCCAGACGCCGCGAGTTCACGCGGCGAACTCGCTACCGATTGAGCAAGGCCGACAAAGGACGTCGCTGCGCCACGCGGGGCCGGAGAGTCGCACGGCGAACGTTAGCCGAGGCTCTCCCGGAACGTTAGGAGCTAAACGCGTTCTCCGGGTCGAGACAGAATCTGCAGTGAGAACCGAAGGAAGCAGCGATGGCGCAGTTTGGTTACACTACAGAACACAATAATTCTAAGATTCAATAGCGAGGGAGTGGGGTTGATTTGGACAGCACCGTTGAGAGAGCCGACACAGGCGCGAGGGGCCAATCGGCCTCCTTCTGCGTTGTATAATTCCTATGATTCTACGTTTGCCTTTAGCGCGAGCGCTTCCAATAACGAGGCCTTGCGATTCCTAAAATTGCCAGTTGTATGGAATTGACCGCAGTTACACTGCAGCAGAAAAGGCAGCAGCGCTGAAGTGATTGCACGCTCGTGGTTTGATATTCCAGATTTGGATCTGCTCCATCTACTCCATCTACTGCGCGGCCTTATAATAATGATGATGATAATAATAATAATAATCCTTGCATTTGACGTAGCGTCTTATCGCGTCATTGAGCCGACTCAAAGCGCTTCACAGAAGATATTGTCGAGAGCATCGACTGTGTAGTTTCGTATTTTGAAATGAATGACCCAGTCTTGGTTAGAGCACTCGCCTCTCAAGCGAGAGGACCCGGGTTCGATTCCTGGGCAGCGCGATACGTTAGCCAAGTTTCCTTACTCCACGCGCCTCTGTTTACTAGCAGTAAGTAGGAACCCCCCCACCCCAGTAGTTAGTCGATTGGCGGATTGCTTTTCCGGGGGCAATAAGCCCTTCAAAAAAAAATAATGATACTTTAGTCACTCAATCCACGTCTGTTTGTGCCACACCGCTGTGTACAATTGGCTGCCGCCTTTCGCCCACAAAATGTACAGTCAATTCACTTCACGGCATATTCTCGAAGACCAGATAAGGCGCTCTCTCAAGTGCAAGCATTATTATTGTTATCGTATGAATCAATTAGAAAATCTAAAGCTACGACTCGGAATTAGGAATCCGAGGGATTTCTGGGGTGCGATTTATTTTCGATGGCAACCACGTGCCCTGAGGGTCCTTCTCCGTCCCTGCAAAAGACATGTTGCAACTGGAAAGCAGCTGAGATCGGATCCTTACACGCCTTTAGGAAACAGCTGTCCTTTAGAAAAAGGTAAGGCACTTGTCCCGCCTTTAATGCGGCTATAATCCCTTCGCCTTGCCTCTCCACACACAGGCGCGCACACCCACAAAAAATAATAATTTGATCACTCAACCCACGGCTGTTGGCGGGACGCTGCTGTGCGCGATTAGCTGCCGCCTTTCCGACCACAAAATATAGTCAGTTCACCTTACGGTATAATCCCTGAAGCGCCTCCGGACGTGAAAGGCGCTTTACAACTGCAATTTTGTCGTTTTGTGGTGGTTGAGACGTCTCGACGATGTGAGAAGGTGCTATATCAAGTGCGAGGATAATTATTCTGATAACCAAGCGTGATGTACAAACGTCACGTGGTTATGGATGGGTTTTGCGGCATTGAGGCAGCTGCTTCGTTCGCTGCTCTTATTCTCTAATGATAACTTAAGATCCAGAAGTTTGGGAAACAGGTTGTAAGGTGCGGTCGTACGCGACCAACCTACAGAACCGCATTATACAAGACATTCATGCTTTGCAGTAATTTATTGTTCAGCTCACGTCTGACCTAGATTTCATCACAGTTTTGTTGCGTTGCTGCTGTTGTTAAGTAACCGGTTGCACACACCTCTTGGTCAACCCCCTCATCCCAGGAACCAACCGAGTGAATCTACGCCGCACCCCCTCTAAGGCGAGTACGTCCTTTCTTAAATAAGGAGACCAAAACTGCACACAATATTTTCGGTGCGGTCTCACCAAAGCTCTATGCAGTTGCAACAAGACTTCCCTACTCTTGTACTCTTAACCCTTTTGCAATGAACGCCAACATGGCATTAGCCTTCCTAGTCGCTTGCTGTGTACCTGCACACTAACTTCTTGTGACTGATGCACAAGGACACCCAAATCCCTCTGAACACTAACCCTACCTCAACAATCCGCTTTTCTATTTTTTACTACCGAGGTGAATAACTTCACCCCCCCCCCCCGTTATACTCCATCTGCCATCTTCTTACCCACTCACCTCGCCTGTCTAGTTCCCTTTGCATTCTTTGGGTGTCATCCTCGCAGCTTTTACTCTCCCACCTATCTTGGTATCATCCGCGGATTTAAATATGTTAAGTTCTCTTTCCTCATCCTGATCGTTGATATATACTGTAAATAATTGAGGCCAAAGCATTGATCCCTGTGGCACTCCGCTGGTCACATCCTGCCAATCTGAGAAGGACCCGTTTATCCCGACTCTCTGTTTTCTTCCTGTCAGCCACGCTCCAATCCATGCTGATAGATTACCTTTAATTCCACGGGCTCTAGTCTTATGCAACAGCCTCTCATGTGGCACCTTGTTGAATGCCTTCTGGAAATCCAAATACACCACATCCACTGGTTCCCCCCCTCATCTCACCTGCCAGTCACATCCGCGGATGCCGGATCCATCCACACCTTCAAGGGTGAGGTTGACAGATTGTTGGTGGGTTCAGGGTATTAAGGGGTAACGGGGAGAAAGCGGAAAGTTGGAATTGAAAGGATCAGTTGAGGTACAGATCAGCCGTTATCTAATGAGATGGCGGAACAGGCTCGATGGGCTGAATGGCCTCATCCTGTGTTCCTGTGGAGATTTGTATGCGTGTGTGTGTGTGTGTGTGTGTGTGTGTGTGTATGCAGCGTTTTTGGTTATTAGCGTTTCTCACCTGTATTTTTCTTTAAACTTGATTGGCTTTGCTTCTCCACGTGAGGTCCCATTCATATTCACATCGGGAATACCAGTCACACGCCGGCACAGCTCATTCCGTGTGGCTCATTTTTATTGCTGGCTCATTCGCGGTTAGTGCAGTTGTTGGGAACCGCTTTGTGCGCTCGTCGTGTGCGCTCTTAATTTCTTCTGGGAAAAGGGACCACGGTAAAGATACATAAGAGAGCTGATCGCTGCAGTGATCGCTCAGGGAGAGACGCGTGAATGAACCTTTCACATAAACAGCATCAATGTCTTGTGGGGTGGGGGGGGGAAGGTTTCTTACTCCTTTCCCCCCCCCCCCACCATTGGAGATCTATTCTAAATGCGGTTTGGAGGGTTCTTTTACTTATTATGATTAATATTGCATTTGGTGGGGAGAACGGTGCCGCTTTGCTTCACTGACGAACGAGGTGCGATCCACGACTGTTTGTGGGACACTGCTGCGCGCAACAAAACACACACCGTACGTGTTCGGCAGTTTAGTATGTTAATGCCTTTCACTGCACCATTCAGTAAAAGGTAATACCTTATCGCTGATGCGCTTCTTCATTAGTTTCTGCCTTCCCTTTTGTAACCTCGGTCGGATCCTACACTACAGGCCTAATGCTTGGGTTTCCCAGCGTGAGGAAGGGTCCAATGGGCCATCCACACAAACATTATTAATGTAATAACACGACTTGCATTTATTACCCCTCACCTCCTTCAAGACTCATCTCAAGACCCTCCTCTTTGACCGTGCCTTCGGTCACCCTCCGACCCCCGGCTCGGGTCCAAAACTCTGACCGTCCAGCACCTCGGGACGTCCTCCCGACGTGAAAGGCGGGTGACAGAATATCATTTTGTCGTTGCTGTTGTGTCGCGCCCTTCACGCTAGGGGTCGCGTCCCGGAGCGCTTAAATGATAATAACAGTCCTTGCATTTGATACGGCGCCTTATCACATCGTTGAGACGTCTCAAAGCGCTTCACGGGATGTACGGTAGAGTGGAGTGACTGGGTATTTGGAAACGCAGCAGCCAATTCCGCACAGCGCCGTCCCACAAACAGTCGTGGATTGAATGATCAAATCATTGCCCCCGGAAAGAGATCAGCCAATTGACTACCGACCGGGTTCCTACTCGCCGCGAGGTAAACAGGCGTGCGGAGCGAGGAAACCCTCCGAAGGTTTGGCCCCGCCCGGGAATCAACCCCGGGTCCTCTCGCTTGCGAGGTGAGAGAGCTCTGACCGCCGCGCTACGGGAAGCCTCTTGTCATCTCATCTAATATTACTCCTCTAAGTAATATTATTATTATTATTATATTTACTATTGTTAGTATTGTTGGTGTATTCACTCCTATGATTCTCGTTATCATTCTCTTCATTGTTTATTGTAGGGCTTCTGTTTCGTCGGTGTTCATTAATTTGACCTGCGCGTGCGCCCGCGTGTGCGTGTGCGTGTGCGTGTGTGTGTGTGCGCGCGTGTTTGTGGGGGGGGGGTTGTCTGTAGCAGTTTACGAGGGTAATAACCCCCTTAAAAAAAATGCGGTCACTCCACTCGATCCACGACTGCTTGTGGGGACGCTGCTGTGCGCAATGCGGCTGCCGCGTTACACCCCCGAAACGCACAGTCGCAGTCCGTTCTGCGAAGCGCTTCGAGACGTCTCGACGATGCGATGAGCATCGAGTGCCAGGATTTCCTATTATTATTATTATTATTATTATTAATACTACTACTACTTGCATTCGATACGCGGCGTCTCGACGCGCTTCACAAGTCACGCCGCGAAGCGGATTTGGCCGACTGCGCTTTTCGTGGGCGAAACGGGTGCAATCCACAAGAGAGTAAAATAAAATCACACTCATCGCGAGTGAGCGCACGGACAATAATCAACGGAGCAACGGCAACGATCGGAGTGAACGGAATAACGATGACAAACGCAGCGAATAGAACGGCGATAAAAACCTTTGCAAAACACTAATAACGTCTCGACCGTTCGATACGGCGCCTCAGCGCGCGGCCGAGACGCCTCGAAGCGCTTCCCCCCGGGACCGGCCGTCAAGCCCATCGGCCGCGTACCGCGCGGGCGCAGCGCGGCGGCCGATCGCCCACCAACCACGCGGTTTTTTTTTATTTAATGTAAAAAAAAAGATCATTGTTTTCGAAAGGATTATTTCCCCCAAACGCCCGCCCGCCCGCCACCCGCCCGTCCGCCGCCGCCACCCCCTCCGCCCCAGGGTCCGGCCAATCCCAGCCTTCCCGGTCAACAGGAGGCGAGCGGCGTAAGGAAAACTCGCCGGAGGGTTTGGCCGTCGCGCTTTGAAAGAAAAGAGAGCAATGACAAGAAGAAGGAGGAGGAGGAGGAGGAGGAGGAGAAGAAGGAGAAGGAGAAAATATCCGAACGCAGAGAGAGTTCAAGCGCAGACGCGCGGACGGTCGCACAAAGAGTGGGCAAATGCAATGCGCTGTCGCTGTGGTCTCTCGTCCAACTCCTTCCTCTCTGCGAACCAGAGCCAAAGGCCAATGGGACTTGGACTTCCTCTCCTTTTTTTTTGGTTTCTCTTTCTCTCTCTCTCTCTCTCTCTGTCAGTCAATGTGTGACTCTCTCTCTGACTCTCTCTCTCTCTCTCCTCCCCTTCCCTTCCACATGCTCTTGGACTTCCTGCACAAGAGCAAATAACTCCTCTCCTCTTGTGACTATTGTGAGGGACAGAGAGAGAGAGAGAGAGAGAAATAGAAATAGATAGAAAGAAAAAAAAAAGAAAGAGAGAGAGAGTGTGTAAAGAGAGAGAGAGAGAGAGAGAAGGAGAAGAAGAGAAGACATTTCATTTTTTTTCTCTCTCTGTGTCTTGTCTTCTGTGTTGACTTGTGTCCCCCCCCATCCCCACCCCCCACCACCTCTTACCCCCCCCACCCCCCCCCACCCCCCCAACCCCCCCCCACCCCACACCCCCTGAATGTATCCATTCCCCCCCCAGAAATGTAACAAAATTGTAACAAAAATGTAACAAAGAGAGGATATGATTGTATCTGTTTTTGCACACAACCCCCAACACATTGTCTCCCCCCCTCACCCCCACTCTCTCCCCTCTACCCCACCCCCCCCCCCCCCCACCCCCCCCCTTATTTTTTTTGGGGGGAGGGGGTTCTTCTTTGACCAACAGCAACAGCAGAAGCAACAACACACCTCATCCTTCTGATTGGGAGAGAGGGAGAGAGAGAGAAGGTGAGAAAAAAAAGGAGAGAAAAATATATATTTTTATCTATTTATTTGTTATATATAAAAATATTTTTGTTTGGGTGGGGGGGGGGGAGGGGGGGGAGGGGGTGGTTTCTGTGCCTTATTCGGTGGTGGTTGGGTGGGGGCGAAAGAGGGTAAGGCTTTATTTTTTTCTGGGTGGGGGTCGGGGGTGGTGGGGGAGGGGGAGGGGGTTTAAGAGACTCATTGGGGGGGTGTTTTTTTGGTGGTGATCCCCCCCCACAAAGAAAAATATACATGTGTGTGTGCGCGTGTGATGTATGTGTGTTTGCACATGTTATGTCACCCAACTTTCTGTCCTTTCTGCCCCCCCACCCCACCCCAACCCCTCCCCACCCCAACCCCTCCCCAAGGGGCAGGAGAGGGAATGAAGTCCAGGTGGGAGTGAACCCCCCCCCCTCCACACACCACCCCCCCGACTCACGACCAACCAACAGGGGCAGGAGAAGGGAGCGAGAGACACAACAATGTACCGTGACCCCCTCCCTACCAGTGACCTGCGACAAGCCGACTCCCCTACAGGTAAGGACCCTCGTAAACCCTCCCCCCGCACCCCCCCCCCCCACCCCCCACATCTCCCACCCACCCACCCGCCCGCCCCGCCACCCCCCCCTTCCCCCCCTCTCTCTCTTCCCCCCTTCCCCCCATCTTCCCCTTCCCCATCTCTTCCCCCCAACCCCGTCCCTCGTCTCTTCCCCCAACCCCTTCCCCCCCCCCGTTCCCCTAATCCCCTTCCCCCCTCTGTTCCCCTAACCCCTTTCCCCCCTGACTCTCTTCCCCAAACCCTTTCCCCTAATCCTTTCGCCCCCACTCTTCCCCTAATCCCTTTCCCCCCACTCTTCCCCTAATCCCTTTCCCCCCGCTCTTCCCCTAATCCCTTTCCCCCCGGTCTTCCCCTAATCCCTTTCCCCCCACTCTTCCCCTAATCCCCTGCCCCCCCTCCGTTTCCCCTAAACCCCAGAGAGTGGGCAGTTTATTTCCCTCTACGGTTCTCTGATTCTTGTTTATTTTTAGTATCAGCTCTACTGAGAACTCTTACCCAAAATAGTCTGTATTTACCTTGTTTTTTGGGGGGTTGGTGGGGGGGGGGGGGGAGAGGAGAGAGGGAGGAGAGTGCACAGTGTGTAAAGTCCGTGCCAGAGGTTTTCCGCCCCAAACCCAAACCAAATCTAGAACTGTAGAGATACCAATAGTACTATTCCTCGCATTTGACATAGCGCCTTTTATCGCGTCTTCGAGACGTCTCAAAGCGCTTCACGGGATATACTGTAAAGTGAATTGACTGTGTATTTTGTGGGTGACATCCTTACGTTTGATATAGCGCCTCTGAGGCTGTCTCAAAAGCGCTGCATGGGATTTAGCGTAAAGTGTAGTGACTGCGTGTTTGGTAGGCGCGAGTTGTGTAACTGTCTTATGACTTGGAAGGCACTTCTCGTGCCTCAGCCCCGGCTCAGTTGGTTAGTGACGCTCTCCTTAGACTCGAAAGCTTATGGGTTCGGTTCACCACACACACATACACACATACGCAACACACACGCAACACACACGCAACGTCATATCTTAGACCCATGCTCAATACTCCATCCTTCGGATGAGACGTTAAACCGAGGTCCCGTCTGCCTGTTCAGGTGGGCGTTAAAGATCCCGTGACTCTATTTCGAAAAGAGAAGGTGGTTTCTCTCTCCCGGTGTCCCTGGCCAGCAATCCCCCCAAATAAAGGCTCCACGGCTGTTTGTGGGACACCGCTGCGGGCAACTGGCGGCCACGTTCCATCCACCGAAACGCACAGTCACTCCACTTTACAGTGTATCCTGTGAAGCGCTTTGAGACGTCTCAACGCCCTGTATCAACTGCGAGTATTATAATAATTATTCAGGCTTCGAAGCCATGCTTTGCCAAGCGTGGAGATGTCAGCTCAGCCGCTAACGGGCAATAGAGATACGGGTTGAATTTTTGCGCGACTCTGTGTAATATTCATCGTGGGTCTTGTTCTTTGTACTTTCTGCAGAGACGTTTTATCCGTTGCCTTTGACCTCTGGGAGGTTCACAGAAGAGATCCTGCCAATTCTTCAGCGGGCGTATTTAAAGCCTTCGTCGCAGGGTTGCTTTCGCTACCGACAAGTGATTATCGTGAAGAACAAGGAGCGATTAGACCAGGTATTGCTCGATTTGGCTTTGGACAGGGTGCAAAGGAGACTTACCAGAATGATTGCAGGATTGAGGGGCTTCGGTGATGTGGGGGGGACTAGAGAGGTTGGGGTGGTTCTCCTTGGAGCGGAGGAGCTTAAGGAGAGGTTTAATAATGAGGGGTTTTGATAGAGTAATTAAGGAGAAGGAAGAGAATTTGTTTTTTTCTACGCACAGCGAGTGGTTACGGTCTAGAATGCACTGCCTGAAAAGGTGGTGGAAGCAGATTCAATCGTAACTTACGAATCCCTTTGTGGTCTTGCTACACCTTACCTGTTCGACCTCCTCCAGCCCCGTTCTTCTGCCTAAACCCTTCGCCAAACTGGTCCCCATTCCCCGTGTCCCACCATCGCAAGAGTCCAATCATCAGCCACTATGCCCTGTTCTCTAGTTTCCAAAAATCCCTCCGCCTCACCCTCTCTTCCCTCCTTCAGTTCCCATCGGAAGACCCAACTCGCAGCTCGGGTCCAAAAACCCTGATGGTCCAGCGCCCTGGGAGGTCTTTTTCTGACGCGAAGGGCGCTATACAAGTGTAGTTTGTTGTTGTTGTTGTTGCTATAAACGCTCCCATTTTAATATGTAATAACAATTCTTGCAATTTGATGTAGTGTCTCAAAGCGCTTCTCAAGATTTAGTGTAAATCGTAATGACTTTCGTATAAAATGCAACTTACGTTGGTACACGTAAAGGAGGACGTCGCAAAGGGCTTAGCAATGCTGGATTGCATTACAGTCACTACGCTTTACAGTGCATCCCGTGAAGCGCTTTGAGACGTCTCGAAGACGTGCTAAGGCGCTGTATCGAATGCCAGGATTATTATTACATTATGTGACGCACTTTCAGGACGTCGCAACTACGTGATAAAGCGCTCTATTATAATAATAATAATAATACTCGCATTTGATATCGCGCCTTAGCATTTCTTTCGGATGTCTCGAAGCGCTTCACGCAATGTACTGTAAAGCGAATTGACCGTATATTTTGTGGGCGAAACGCGACAGCCGATTGCGCACAGCAGCGTCCCCGCAAACAGTCGTGGATTGAGTGACCAATTTTTTTTAAGGGATATTGTTACCCCTGGAAAGCGATCCGCCAATCGACTTAACAACCGGGTTTCTACTTACTGCTGTAAACAGAGGCGCGTGGAGTAAGGAAACTTGTCCAAAGTTTCGCCCCCTACCGGGGAATCAAACCCAGGTCCTCTCGCTTGCGAGGCGAGTGCTCTAACCACTGAGCTACAGGGCTCCAGCGCAATAATTATTATGCACAATAATCCTTCACCTGTACGTAACGGAGGGTCGGTGACGGTGTATTTCTTGGTCGCAGTATAATGCCCGCCGACTGGACATGGAGAAGAAGGGATACAGCCAAGAGGAACTGGCGGAATCCTTTGCTTTTGTACCGTTTCAAGGAGAAGATCAGGTAAAAGAAAAAAAAAACACACACAGATCCTCAGACGTTGAGTGAACACTGTAGTCAGAAATACCGTTAAATGCCTCGACTGCTTTCTTTACCCCACTGAAATGCATTGAGGTGAAGGTGTCTTGCCCCCCGTGGGTTTGCATCGGAGTAGATTTGCCGAGCTCAGTACAAGGCGATTCACGTCACGTGTGGGTTGCTGAGATCCCATCGATTTGGAGACCCGTGTTACCCAGGAGAGCGTTGCAGGATCTAACCAGCTGGGAATGTAGAACCGTACGAACGTGTGGACGGGAGGAAGCTGTCCTGGGTTCTGTCCCTTGGGTTCTTTGCTGGAGCAGCCTTCTTGTAATAATATACTAATAATAAAAATAATAACTCTTGCCTTTGATATAGCACCTGACCACGTCGTCCAGACTTCTCAAGCGCTTCACAGGATACACTGCAAAGTAAATGGACTGCGTATTTCGTGGGCGAAACTCGGCAACCAGTTGTGCACAGGCAGCGTCTCACAAACAGCGGTGGATTGAAGTGACCAGTTTGTTGTTGTTGTTGTTTTTTTTTGAAGGGATTATTAGTCCCAGAAAAGCGATCCGACAACCGGGTTCCTACTTACCGCCAGGTAAACGGAGGCGTGCGGAGTAAGGAAACTTGCCCAACGTTTCACCCTGCCCGGAGAATCGAAACCCGGGTTCTCTCGCTCTAACCGCTGAGCTTCAGGACTCCGCATTATAGTCAGTCCCCTTCTCTTTTCACCTGCCCTTTATACCAGCTCTGTCCGTTTAGGGCTTTGGCTCAGTTTCCCACACCCAGCGGGTCTCGATGAGGAGCCAGCCTGGCGTTTCCAGCCGCGCAAGCCGTTGGAGCCAAGACTTGAGAGCGGCTTTCGTCCCGAAACCTCAGAGCGCGGTTGCTTTGTTTTGTAACGTAAAGTGTAACGTGTGTATAAAAGGGGGTGACTCCCCGCGTTGGCTCGCAATGGGCTTTACATAATATTTACCGAGATTGTACAGCACGGCACCAGGCCACCTGGCCCAACCAGCCCGTGCCGGTGTATATACTCCACCTGCGTCTCCGTCTGCCCCTTCTTCCTTTCCGCGCCCTTCTCGTGGAGTCCTGCAGCTTTTATGGTTAGAGCACTCTTCCCCGCAAGCGAGTCCCGGGCGGGCCCGAACATGGAGGGTCTCGAATAGGGCCTTGCTCCACACGCACGCACACGCCTCTGTTTGCCCGGCAGTAAGTGGGAACCCGGTTGTCAGTCGATCGGCGGATCGCTTTTCCGGGGGTGATAATCCCTTCCAAAAACAATAATAGTAGTAAATTGGTCACTTCGATCCACGACTGTTTGTGGGGACGCTGCTGCGCGCAGTTGGCTGCCGCGTTTTGCCCAGAAAAAACATACAGTCAAATTCACTTTACATTATGTCCCGTGAAGCGCTTTGAGACGTCGCAAAAGACGTGATAAGGCGCTGTGTCAAACACAGTGTGGTTTCACCGCACGGGTTGACGAACCTGTTAAGAAACTGCTGCCTTTTCGGTCAGTGGTTAAACAACCTGTTTTAGGGCTTTGTACTCTTTCCACACATCGCTCCCCCCTTTCCATCAGCAACCACACCCCCCCCACCACCCCCAGTGTGGCCCAATGGGTTGTCCTGTATGGCTCCTCCATCCAGAACATCCAAATCTTCAGACCCAACCCCTTGTGATGAAACGTGAGGGGCGAAGGCCAGAGGGGGGGAGAGAGGTGATGAAATTCACCCTTTTCTTCACGATCAATTCTGTTGCGTAACGTGGCATTGTTTCAGACACATCCCCTTAACGCTCCTCCCCCCCCCTCCTCTAGCTCCAAAAAAAAAGCTTCCTTCCTTATAGGAAGCAGGGGAAAACGCAGTGCGGTTGGCCAGTAGGTTTTGGATTGAATAAGGAAGTGGCGGGTTTATTTTTAATGCAAATTGTGGAAACTGGGGAAGAGAGTTTCGAGCCGTTAGTCGTCTTGTGACAAGTGGGGTGGGGGGAGAGGAATGTGCGTGTTTTAGTTTATCTTCTGCTCGTCATGTCTGCCTGCCTGATCCCTCCGCTCAGCGGGCTCCGGCCCGCTTCAGGTCCCGTCCCCTCGCCTGGCCCTCCCCGCCATCGTGGGCCATCGTGGGCCATCGTGGGCCATCGTGGGCCATCGTGGGCCGGGCCTTCGACCTCTCTTCGCCCACCCATTGGAACTCCATCCCATGTTCCCTTCGCCTCGCTACGCACCCCCACCACCTCCCTCCCTCCCTCGCCTCCTTCAAGGCCCGTCTTGAGACCCTCCTCTTCGACCGCGCCTTCGGTCGCCCTCCCAAGCCCCTGCCCTCCACCCGCTCCTGATCTCAACCCCCAGCTCGAGGGGGTGGAGATTCTCGACCGTCCAGCGACTTGGGACGTTCCTCTCCATGTAAATGTAAGTTGTTGTTTGTTTGTTTGTTTTAGGCAAAAGTAGTCTGTCAGGAAGGACTGGGTGTTGGACACAGCGCGATCACGACCCTGGGAGATCCGACGAAGGGTATTTGTTCTTTTGAATGTTTCCTTTTCGCGCGACGTGCGACCTTTTTAATTAAACGCCCGTTTTTTCTGGCAGTGTGCGCCTTGCGGGGCATGGCCGCGCGCGGTTGGGCCGCTGCCGCGTTTCGCCCTCCAGGTGCCGTGCAGTCGACGCACTCTACAGTACATCCTGTGAAGCGGCGGAAGCGCTCTCGAGACGTCTCAACGACGTGATCAGGGGCTGCGTCGGAGGCAAGGATTATTATTGCCTTGTCGTTATCACCGCTGAGCAGTAGCGTTGCTCAAGCGTCGGCCCGGCTCGGGTCGGTGTAGTGACCTCTGTGAGCTCGTGGTCAGGGCTGACGTTTCCTGATGCAATGCTGGGGGAGAGGTTGGGGATGGGATAGGATGGGGTGGGATGGGGGGAGAGTGTTGTGCTGTCAGAGGCGCCGTCGTTCGGGATGAGACCCCAAGATCACGCAAGGATTATTATCGTGACGATAACCAGAACGACACCCGCAAAGCTACACGTTTGCGGCCACGGTTCGTGACTCACTTCCTTCCGCCTCTCAGTCAGAGTTAACTCACCAGAGAGCCCAGTCTCTCTAGACGTGTCGGCTGTGTAAGAGTTAACAGCCAACCGTCAGAAATATTTGCCTCGAAACCTGAAGACTGTTCCTGGACTTTAACCTCATTTTGAAAGGTGCAGCCTGGAATCTCCCCCACCCCCCCCCACCCCCCCCCCACCCCTTCCCCTCCCCAATATCGTTCAGCTCACACGCTGAGACACTGAAGTAAGTCACAAACTGTTCGGACTTGTTAGAAACTCGTCGATTTGCTTCACGGAAGCGTATGTTTGCACCATTGACGGCCGTCTCGAGCTGAAGAGGGGATTGGAACCCGCATTTTCTCCTCCCTCCCTCCCTCCCCTTCCGCCAACACCCAAACACGCTCACGCGCAGTTGCTCACCCAGGTATGCCTCACCTATACTCGTTCGATCAGCGTGTTAAGGCACCTTTTCCTTTCTCCCCCACCCCTCCCCTCCCCTTCTTCGAGTACCTCTCTGGTTCCCTTTTGAAACTCAGTGTTGAATCCGCTTCCACCACCAGCCTTTCAGGGCATTAACGACGGGTCTGCGTTTTAAAACGAAACAACCACAAGAAATTCTCCTCGTCTTACCCTCCGCTGCTTTCGCCGATTATCTTAAACCTGCAGTCAAAACCCGTCCGCTCTTGTCAAAACCATTCATAATTTGGAGCGCTCGTTTGCTTCTCTCGGCAACTTTCGGACACTGTTTGGCGTGTCTGGCGGCTCTTCGGGCTGCTTGGGCGTCCTTCCCGACGTGAAGGGCGCTGTGTAAATGGAGTGTTGTTGTTGGCTCGCTCTGAGGTGCGCGCGCGCGTGCGCGTGTGTATGCGCGTGTGGGGGTGGCTGGTGTGTGTGTGTGTTGGCTGATGTGTGCGCGTGTCTGTCACATGTTGTTAATGCCGTGGCGATCCTGAAAGTTTGGCGATAAACTTGGGCCAGTGGAAAAGCACTTTAAACACGAGTGCAGGTTCAGGAACCGCAGCCTGTGCGTAGTTTCTCAATCGCACCAATTAATTAGCCCTCTGTAATTTTCCGGAGAGCGTCGAACGCGCCCGCAGAACCCGGCCCCGCAAGTTTTTGGGCAGATATTTCCGCACTTTTCTGCGGGGCCAGAGGGTGAAACACCGTTGATCGGATCCATTGAATCCTTTCCCGGGCTACGGGGAAGCAAGATAGGACAGTTTTGCTTCCTGGTTGTAGCTCGGAGCAGGAAGTGACGTTGGTATAAGCGGTGACTTGGAAGTTGGCTGTTTCCCTGTGGACAGTATGAGCAAAAACCACGTGGTGCCAACTTCCTGGTGCATTTTATTGCTTCGTAGACTTCCCCCCACCCCCCCCTCCGACCCCCCCACCAGTGGAAAGCTGATGGTTTTAGGATCAATTGCAGCAAAGCCAAACCACAGAAATATACAGTGCAGAAGAAAGTTCGTTGATAGTTGATAAGTGTACAGTTAGGAGCCCGGGAAAGGTTGGGTTTTTCCCCGGGGGGGGGGGGCGGTGGGGGGTGGGGGTGTAATAATGCCTTCAGAAATAATAATAATAATAATAATAGTAATAAACTGGTCGATCCAATTCAGGACTGTTTGCGGGGACGCCGCTGTGTGCGTTCGGCTGTTCCGTTTCGCCCGCAAAATATACAGTCAATTCACTTGGACCGTATATCCCGTGAAGCGCTTTGAGACGTCTCGAAGAACGCGATGAGGCGCCGTGCCCGACGCGAGTCTTACTATTGCTGCGGTCGGTCGTCACCGAGTGCAAACGAATGCCAAAGGAACCCCCGAGAGAGAGAGGTTCGCAAAAAGACGACCCCTTTTAAAACCACCTTCGCGGAAGGAACCCCCTACTTTGCGTCCGGAGAATCGTTTCGAAAAGGTGCTGCCTCGCGCGGAGGCCGACACGCGATGGTTTCATGTTTCGGGCACTCGGGAGCAGGTGGAACCTGTTTTTTTTTGTATTTTTTTTATATCAACCTCCCAAGAGTTCCTGCCATTCGATTCGATTCGAAAGGTTTTTAATGAGCTCCCAGGTTACAGCGGTCATGTTTCAACAGGCGCTGGTTGGTGCTTGTTGGCCGCGGTTCTCGGAGACGAGACGGCTCTCGTTGTCTGCTGGATTCCTTATTCGTAAGGACGATCATAATCCTTGCACTCGATGCAGTGCCTCATCCCGTCGTTGAGACGTGAAGCCTCGAATCGCGTCGCAGAACGTGGCGTAAAGTGGAGTGACTGTGTACCTTGCGGGCCAACGCCGCAGCCAGTCGCGCACAGCGGTGTCCCACGGACAGGATTTTCTTTTATAATCCCTGGAAAGCGGTCCGCCGATCGATTAACGACTGCGTTCCCCGCTTACGGCTGGGTAAGCAGAGACGTGCGTGCGTGCGTGTGCGTGTGTGCGTGTGCGTGGAGTAAGGGAAACTTTGCCCTGGCCCCGGGAATCGAACCCGGGTCCTCTCGCTTGCGAGGCGAGCGCTCTAACCACCTCGAGTGTGATCACACTCACGTTTGGTGCAGCACGTTTTGCGTCGGGGTGGGGGGGGGGGCGGACGGGGGGGGGCTTCTCGAAGCGCTTGCACACCTCCAACTCCCCGTCTCTCTCTCTCTCGCTCCCTCCCTCCCTCCCTCCCCTCCCTCCCTCCCTCTCACTCCCCTCCCGCCCTCCCTCTCTCCCCCCCTCCCCTCCCTCTCCCCATCCTCTGTTCTCTCTCCCCCCTCCTCTCCTTCCCCCTCCCTCCCTCCCTCCCTCCTCCCCCCCTCCCTCTCTCCCCCCCTCCGCTCTCTCTCCCCCCTCCCCTCCCTCTCTCCCCCCCCTCCGCTCTCTCTCCCCCCTCCCTCCCTCCCTCTCTCCCCCCCTCCGCTCTCTCTCCCCCCTCCCTCCCCTCCCTCTCTCCCCCCTCCCTCTCCCCCCTCACTCCCTCCCCCTCTCCCCCCTCCCTCCCTCTCTCCCCATCCTCTGCTCTCTCTCCCCCCCTCCCTCCCCTCCCCCTCTCCCCCCTCACCTCCCCCTCTCCCCCCCCCTCCGCTCTCCCTCCCTCTCTCCCCCCTCTCTCCCCTCCCTCTCTCCCCCCCCTCCGCTCTCCCTCCCTCCTTCCCTCCCTCTCTCCCTCCCTTCCTCCCCTACCTCTCTCCCCCCCCTCCCTCCCCTCCCTCTCTCTCCCCCCCCCACTCCCTCCCCCCCTCCGCTCTCCCTCCCTCCTTCCCTCTCTTCCCCCCCCCACTCCCTCCCCCCTCCGCTCTCCCTCCCCCTCTCCCCCCTCCCTCTCTCCCCCCCTCCGCTCTCCCTCCCCCTCTCCCCCCCTCTCTCCCCCCCCCCTCCCTCCCCCCCTCCGCTCTCCCCCCCTCCGCTCTCCCCCTCCCTCTCCCCCCTCCTCTCCCCCCTCACTCCCTCCCTCATTGAATCCATTGTGACCCGCACAGAGGTTGCACCACCATAAGATTTCGCCGTCTCGTTCGGTTGGGTTGTTGCCCGGTAACGGCCGGTATTTAATTTAAACTTATTTAACTGTTTTATCATCTATTTTAGGGATCTTCTTTGACTTGGACTTATGTTCTCTCTCTCTCTCTCTCTCTCTCTCTACGCACATAGACGCAACGTAAATGTACATTAAAACACATACGCGTTATTTTAAGAAAACTTTTTCCGCGTCTCAAGCGATTTATTTTCACGTTCTCTCCGGTTTCCGGCCCGCAGTTCCCGCTCGCTGTAAGTTACGGTTACTTTCCTTTCCATTTGGTCCCTGGCGCTGCGAGCTCCTTCCCTCCCCTCCCTTCCTTCTCGTTCAAGGTACGTCTCAAAGCGTAGCTCTTCCACGTACCTTTTGGGGTCATCTCCCGAGAGGTCCTCCCGAGATGAGAGCCGCTGCGGAGAAAAAAAATCGCAAATGTATATCGCGCTGTACCGGCTCGTTGGATCGACCCGATCCGAAACGTATCTGTCGAGGGTCGACACTCCAGTGGCTGCCCGACAAAATAATCCTAGAAATAAAATGCTGCAGTTTTATTGCCACGAGTCAAGAAATATTCAGCCGAGAAACATGTATTTTGTTGCCCACCGCTGTCTGCTCAGCATCGGCAGTGTTGTGTGGTGTTGAGGGTTAAGTGCTGTTCGGTGTGTGTTGTGGTAATATAACCTACATTATCTATACCTTTATGTATATATATATATTATATATGAAATAAAAAAGCCTGATAGATATTTTCTGGAGGATTTATTGGACCAGGGTTTTAAGAAAATACTAAAGTACGTTGACTGAACCGTAACCTCACAGGAGAGGAGAGTTTTTTTTATTTAAAAGCACTTTTTCCTCTTAAATCGAGGTGGTGGGTGTATGTTGCTGTTGTGTAGTCCGTCTTGAACGCGGTTGTGGGGGTTTATTATTATTATTATTTTACAGCATACGCAGTGGAGCACTTTGGGATGTCCTCCCCATGTGAAAGAGGCATTGTACCAAATGTAGTATTATGATTATTATTATTATTATTATTATAATAAATCACCTTGTTTTCCCATTTCATCCTCTGCAGGAGTGTATCTATGCCGATATTCCGATTTCCTTCACCCCGCGCCGTGGCTTCACAAGGAATCTGGCTGCCTTGTCATATTTAAAGTCATTCAGGTAATGTTCACGCTTGCGTGTTGCGATGTATTTCGCTTTGTGTCTGTGAATGTTTGTTCAGTGCCACTTTGCGGAGCTCCGGGACTTTTCCGGAGGACGTCCCAAGGCGCTGGACAGTCGGGGATTTGGACCCGAGCTGGTGGTTGGGATCAGGAAGGGTGGAGGGCGGGGAGGGTAGGAGTTAGGAGGATGACCGAAGGCGCTGTCGAAGAGGAGGGTCTTTGAGACGGGCCTTGAGGGGGCGAGGCGTGGGACTATGGGATGGAGTTCGAGAGGGTGGGAGTTGAAAGGCTGAAGGGCTCTATGTTAAATGCAAGTTGTTCTTGTTTAGTGTTGACAGTGTATTTGGTAATCTGACAAGATGCAATCATCCTTTGCGTGAGACGTTAAGCTGAGTTCCTGCCGCCTGTTCCGGTGGTTACGATTTGAGGAAGTGGGTGTGTGTTGTTTTTTTTGTAAAAAAAAATCGCTAGTGTGCCATTTGAAACGAGAACATGCGAGTTTCCCCCCCGGTGATCTGGCCAACACTCCTCCCCCCCCCCCCCCTCAGGCAAAGTAAAGGACCAAAGCCCCAACCAAGGGGGTCCAAATTGGTCTTGCGTTGGCTTAGCTCGAGATTAATCACGGCAGTCACTGCGCTTGTAAGCAACGTGTTTTGTTGAAGTGTGTGCGTGTGGTTTTTTTTTGAAGGAGGTTTCAATTTCACCACGAGGAGAAGCCATGTCAAGCCATGTTGGAGCAGAGAAGGTTAAGGGGGTGACGGGGGGGGACCTGATGGGAGGTGCACAAAATCAAGAGGGTGGGTTGCGACAGGGAAAACAAAAAAAAATGTATTTGTCGGGGTGATGGTTGGCCAGGACACCGGGGGGTGGGGGGGTGGTTAGAGAAACTCCCTTCTCTTTTTGAACGCGCCACAGGATCCTTAACGTCATCCACAACCACGCAAGGATTATTATTATTATTATTCGAAAGATGAGGGCTCCACATGCTAAGAGCGTCAGCCCAGACCGGGGATGGTCCAACATGTGGCCCGCGGGCCGCATCCGGCCCATTTGGGGAGAGCTTTGTTGTTCCGATGAGCAAATGCAAGCGATCCCAACCACCGGGGGGGCGGGGGAGGTCACGAAGTAGGGGGGGGGCTCCAGATAACCCGCAACCCACTGGCGAGGGAGGCGAGGGAGAACGCTGCCGAGCGAGCCCGGCCTTGACGCCTCGCCCCCTACGCTGTCTAATCGCACGCCCTTGCGTCTCGCCGGCAGGGTCGCGTGAAGTCGGTGGCCGAGAACTACACGGATGATTTCACCAGCCCCTCCCCCGGCTACGATTGCCACGTCTCCCCAAACCTCCGCAATGACGTCTCCTGCGCCACCGCCAGCCGCTTCGAATTGACGCAGGTGAATCGGGGGGGGGGGGGGGGCGGGCGGGAGGGAGCGACTGGGGGGGGGGGGCTTCAGCTCGCGTCCGGCGCCAAGGTAGAAGGTTTCATGGCCGTAGTATCCTCCCCTTTTCTGCTCAGCCACCCCGAGGGAGCCTGTTCCGTACGCGTCCTGCGAAGCAGTCCGATGTTCTCGGGCGCAAAAGGCTCTGGCAACGGCGTGACCGAAAGGGCGGTGATGCCGTCACAAACGTCTCAATAAGTCTTCCAAGAAATTCCGAGATTTTTTTAAATATATATATATTATATATACACACACGCAAAACGACGCAGTAGATACCCTCAGACGCCGATTGCTAATAGGTTTTCCTCCTTGTTTCAGTATTACGTCTACGAATTCGGGCAGAGCGACGGATTCCTTCGTTGTCCGAGACAGTTATGCCCTTACGCGCTCGTGGAATTCCAGTACTGCGGAGGCGCACGAGCCATGCGGGAGTCAGTCGACGAGGAGATGTAGGTTCTCTTTATTCCCGTGGAATTTAGCGGTTACCCTTTCATTTTACTCCCTTCGATCAACTGTCCGTGTTGGCCGTCACTGGAAAATAATACCTTTTTTTAATAAAATGATGTGTTTGACATTGTTTTGACGTTGCATTCATGCTTTTTTTTTTCTCCTCCCCCCCCCCGCCGCCCACTCCCCACCCCCCCACCCCCCCCTCCCCATCCCTTTTTTTTTCTTACCTTTTAACAGATTAGTTTCCGAAATTCACGGTGAGTTATTTTTCCTTATAGAGCTACGAAATGCGGTTGATGTGTCGTTGGCTTTTTTTTTTTTAAATCAGTTAAGTAATCAAGTAAATAAAATGAGGGACCGGGTTCGAAATCCCGGCCGGGGGGTAATATTCGATCCAAAAAAAAAAGATAATTTGGTGACTCAATCCACGACTGCTTGCGCGCAATTATCTGCTGCATTTCGACCCACACAATCCGCAGTCGATTCACTTTACGGTGCGTTCTGTGAAGCGCTTTGAGACGATGTGATCAACGATGTGATCAGGCGCTGCGGGGATTGGTATTATCGTAAGTGGACTGAAGTGCGTGTTAATGACCGGGGCGTTAAGTAGGAAGTCGAAGTGTCCGTGTGGGAAGGTTATTACGTGTTGGCGTAACCCTTTATATTTCAGCAGAGCAGAATTACTACCCTTGGAGGGGGCAGCTTATCAACAACAACACGGCCATCAATGTAGCTCTGAAGTCACAGGTTGGCGGGGCACTGATGCCAATTGTTTTGTAAGTTGACCGGCCTTTTGTTTGCGACATTTTCCCCTCTTTCCTTACCTGGCTCTCGATTGCGGGGTTTGCGGGAGTCACTGATAATTAATGACTAATCACGGACGGCGGTAAATCCACGCCATTGACCCCAGACCCCCTTCCTGTGCGTGCAGGCCGTCGAAGCTGGAGGTCAAATGGGTCATGAACGTTTGCGATCTGAAGACCAGGCTTCCCCCAGCCGTTTTTGATAAAGAAAGTTATGATCTGCAGGAAGGTAAGTTGCCTGGTTTTGACCCCGAGTTTCTCCCCCCCCCCCACCCCCCGTTTCTCCCTTTCTGTGGGGTCGCAGACTCCACCCTCGCGGTTTGTGAGATTTGGGGGGAATTATAGGCACAACAGGCAGAGGGCGAAACCTTGGGAAAGTTTCCTTACTCCACACAGAGCCTAATAATAATCCCTCCAAAACCAAAAACAATAATAAATTGGTCATTTTCAACGCACGACTGTTTGTGGGACATTGCTGTGCGCAATCGGCTGCCGCGTTCGCCCACAAATATACAGTCAATTCACTTTACAGTGTGTTCTGTGAAGCGCTTTGGGACGTCCTCTCCCGACGTGAAAAGCGCTATATCAAATGCGAGGATTATTATTATTATTAAGATAATTACAGGAACCACAGGACACGGCCTGCGATTGACGGGGGGGGATATACAGAACGAATCCACGCAAACACTATTGCAGTCAGCGAATAGCGAACCTGTGGAACCAGGCTCCCGAGGGAGACGGTTGAAGCAGGAAGGGTTGATTCTTTCAAACGGAGATTAGATAGTTTTCTTTTAGGAAATAACATTATGGGGTACAGGACATAGGGAATTTGGGACATATGTGCATGCGGCTGACTGCAAGGAAGGTTAGAAGGCGAACATTAGATGGACCGTGGTCTTCTTTCGTCTAACGATTCTTATGTTATAATTCCACGAACTGCGTATTATTATATCTATAAACTATGTTATATGTACCTCTTAAAAAAAAAAAAGATAATCTGGTCACTCAGTCCACGACTGTTCGTGGGACACCGCTGTGTGCAATTGGCCGCCGTGTTTCATCCCACAAAATGCACCGTCACTGCACTTTACGGTATATCCTGTGAAGCGCTTTGAGACGAGATATTCTTGTGAAGGCCCTACTTCGAATGGAAGTTTTATCATTATGTTATATTGTGCTTTTGCCTCAGTTTGCCTGGAGGGCCTGTACTGCAGCTTTTACGAGCTGGTGGAAGTCTCGCAGGACGAGGCACTTCAACTGAGCCCTTTATTGGACCGGCTGAAGGAAAGGAATCTGGTGAGAATGGATCCTTGCTGCGCGCGATCAGCTGCCGCATTTCGTCCACGAAATATACGGTCAATACGCCTGACAGCGTACCCTGCGAAGCGCTTTGAGACGTCTCGACGACGCGATCAAAGTGCTACGTCAAATGCAAGGATTATTATTATTATTATCCCCTTTTGTACTCCTTGAAATCGAGGGATATGTTTGGACCACCGTTGTACATCATCAAAATAATAATTTGATCATTTTTTTTTTTTTTGACATGCGCAGAAACTCGATGCGACGCTTTAGAGTCTGTAAACCAGATGAGTGAGGGTGCGCCGGGAGCGGGGGGGTGACGGGCGGTGGTGGTGTGGGGTGGGGGCGGAAAAGCCTGGCTTGTTCTCGAACGACGACAACCACCCTTCGTGCGGGTGGTGGGGGGTGGCGGGTGGGGGGGTGGTAGTGTCTCGGGAGCTGCTCGTAATGGGATGTAGCCGGGTTGACGTGCGATATGAAGGGATTGGGCTGTGCTTTAACTCGGAACTCGGGCTGAATTCATGTGTGTGTGTGTGTGTGTTTGTGTGTGATTGTGTGCCCGTGCGCGTTTGGGGTGCCTGCCCACGGGTGAATTTGTGCGTGTGGGCGTGCGTGTGGGCGTGCGTGTGGGCGTGCGTGTGTGCGCGTGTGTGTGCTTCATTTCAGGCAGTCGTAAAATTCTTAAAGGATCAAGGGTTGCTCGTCCTGTTCGGTGGTCCCGTTTGCTGCAACACCGAAGGTAAGCGAGCGGAGGAGCAGTCAAAACGTTTCGAGTTGCTGAGTTTAGGAAATGCCTCCAATGTCTAATGCCTTTCTCCACCTTCCCCCCTCCCCTACCCCCCACCCACCCCCACCCCTTCCCACTGCAGAAAACACAGAGAACGTCCCCAAAACCGTGCAAGCCGTGTTCATCTTCAAAAGTTCCAGGATCGCTCACCTGAGCTCCAGAGCCCAAGCACCTGCCGCGCCAATGCCGGTCCCCAACCCGCAAGAAGATCCTCACGTGGAAGGTGCTTTCCAAATGCTATTGTACCAGAGAGAGTGATGGAGAGGGCGGGGGGGGGGGGGGGATATGGGTGTGTGTGTGTGTGTGAGAGAGTGAGAGAGGGAGGTGGGTGAGGGGAGGGGGGTGGGGGGAGGAGAAAGAGAGAGCGGGGTGTGAGAGTGGGGGGTGTGTGTGAGAGTGTGGTGTGTGTGTGTGTGTGTGCATGCGCTGCGTGTAAGAGCGCGTGGGGGGGGGTGTGCGGGTGTGAGAGAAGTAGCAGAGGTGTGTGAGAGAGAGATGAGGGGAGAGGCGGTGGGTGGGCGGGTTGAGGGACGGGGGGGGAGGAAAAGAGAAGGAGCGGGGCGGTGGGAGGGGAGGAAGGGAGAGCGGGGGCGTGCGGGAGAAGGAGGGAGTGAGGCGCGAGCGAGAGAGAGAGAGAACGCGCACGGGCGGAGGGTGCGATAGGAGATAAAGGGTGAGCGAGAAAGAGCGTGAGAGAGGAAAAGGAGGATTAAATAAATGAGAGAGAGGGGGAGAACTGGGGAGTGGGGGGGGGAGAGGAGAGATGGCTTTGCCTTCGGGTGGGGAATCCTTCACGAATCCCGCTTCCCTCCCCCCTCCACCCCACCCACCGCAGATGCCAACGGGTGGAGCTGCTGCCTGGAGTCGACCTGGGCGAGCCCCCTGGTGCCCACCATCCAGGACGCAGACGACGGGGCTCGGATCACGGCGGCCTGCGCAGACCGCTACACGGAGCTGGCTCGCTGCGTCTCGGCAGGGAGCGGGGGAGCGGGGGGCCTGCCCCAGCTCCCGCCCGCCCCCACGGCCCCCGGGAACAGCCCGCCTCCTCTTCCTCCTCTTCCTCCTCCCCCCTCCCTGGCCCGGCTCCGCCTGTACCTGGCCCGGCCCGAGGGCTACGCCCTGCCGGTGTCCAGGGCCTTCGGGCTCTTCATCTCCAGCAGCAGCCCCGACCAGCGGTCCCTGCCTCTCTACGAGACCTTCTGCTACTCCCTGATCCGGGGGGTCACGCCCCCCCTCCTGGACGCTCCCCCCGACGTCGCCCCCGCCCCCCGCCTCGAGACCGCGGGCGGCCCCCCGGCCGGGAACGAGCCCGGGGGCGGGAGAGGGAGGCGGAGCCCGAGATGCCGGGCATCGAGAGGGAGCTCCCGGCCGAGCCGGGGAGGGAGCCCCGAGGCCCGGGGAGAGAGGCGGCGCCCCGGGCGCTGGTGAGGCCGCTGGAGGAGGAAGAGGAGGAGAGGGAGCCTCCGATCCTGGAGAGAGCTGTAGAGCCCCAGGCCCTGGTCGTGGAGAGGGCCTCCCAGACGGTCGTCGAGAAGATCGAGCCCCAGGCGTTCAATGGGGAGACGGAGCCCTCCGCCCCCCCTCCGCCGCCGCAGGGGGCCTCGGACCCCCAGGCAACGCAGGGCGAACCCGCGCCGACCCCCGACGCCAACTGGAACAGGGAGTGGGAGTGGGGGTGGGAGAGCGAGTTCGAGCCGCGGGCGGGGGGCCACGGGTGGGTTTCCCGATTGCGGGAGAGAGGGCAGCAGGCGGGGGAGGGGCAGGGGCAGGGGGTTGCCAAGAATAGGCGAGGGGGTCCCCGGGGGAAAGCTAAGGTGGTCCCGACCTCGCCCGACAAGGGCGGGGTTCCGAAGGTGAGGCAGCGGAGGCTGAAAGCGGGGGAGCGGAGGGGGCGGAAGCCGGAGCCGGAACCCAGCGCCGCGGGGACGGAGAACCGGCAGGGAACCACGGTCCAGCTCCAGGCCTACGGCAGCGGGAAGGCGGAGGATGGGGGACGCTGGGGAGGCAAAAGACTCGACGAGGAGGAGGAAGAGGAGGAGGAGGAGGAGATGGTGGTGGAGGAAGAGGAGGAGGAGGAGGAGGGGCGGGGAATGGGAGGAGGTGGTCCCGGAAGTCCGGCCCGCTCCGCATTGCGAGCCGCCGCCAGCAGCTACGGGAGGAAGAGACCGTCGCCGGGGGCCGGGAGGGCGGAGGGGGATGTTCCGGAAGACCTCGGCCCGGCTCCTCAGGGCAAAAGGCCCGTCAAGCTCAGAGCCCCCAAAAGAATGGGCCGCCCTCCCAAGTGCCTTCAGGTTGTCCTGCCGCCCCCTCCCCCTCCCCCGCAGGACTCCCAGTACCCCAAGACCTCCCGCATCGGCAGGCTCCTCAAGAGGCCCCAGCCGGTCCAAGCCCCGAGCGCCCCCCAAGACCCCGGCCGAGGCCAGAGGACCTCCCGGAACGGCCGCCCCTCAAGAAAACCCAAGATGCGCCCGGGCGGGGGTTCGGCCCGAGCCGGCAAAGCCCCGAAAAACGCCCGAGCCCCGAGGAAGGCGTCGGCGGACGGCAAGACCAGCAGGTTGACGGAGGAAAGCGGTGAGTGGGGTAAGGGGTGGGTACGGGGTAAGGGGTGGGGGGGGACATTCTCTCGTCGTCGCGGAAATCTGGGCAGAGTGGCTACCGATCGGGGGAATGGTGGGGGGGGTGGGCTGGTGTGGGGATGGGTGGGGGGGGGGGGGAGTAGGCGGAGGGCAGGGGGACGCCTTCACTTCGTTTCGAGATGGGTTCGGCTTCTTGAGGTCCCTTCGCAGACCCCGAGCAGAGCATCGATCGATTGATTAGTTTGGGGGGTACGAACGGGTGATTTCTTTTCGACTCATTGGGTGGGGTTTGGGGGTTTTGGTGTCGGAGGGGGTGGGGGGGGTAAGGGGTCGGGGGTCAGGAGTTGGGGGGAGGAGAGCCTCGGAACGCTTTGCCCCCAGATTTACCGACAAACCAACCTCCCCCCCTCCCCTCCCGGTTTGTGTTGCAGGAGGAGAGAGCGCGCGCAAGCCCAGGCGCGGTGGTCCGACGACAGAGGCCGGGAGTGGAAACGCTCCCAGCGATGCCGAGACCTCCGACGCGGAGCCGGACCCCGGAACACCGCCCGGAGAGCTCCGCACCGTCTCGCCGCAGGGAAGCACGGATGCCCTGAAGATCCTGGCCCAGATCTGCAGCTCGGCCTTGCCCTGCGCCCTGGCCACCCTGGCCAGCCTGGCCCAGCCGGGCGGGGGTGGGGGCGGGGGCGGCCCAGAGGCCGACCAGGAAGCCGGGAGCGGTGACCCCCTGGAGGCCGGGAGCCAAACCCCCCCCGCGCCGGGGCCGGGGACGGTGACGCTGATGGTGATGGCTTCGCGGGAGCGCGAGGGCCAGCCCCGCTTCTCCCCCTACGACCCCGAGGTGCACAGCGCCCGGACGGCGGGCAGCTACCCCACCCACCGCAAGCTGGGCTCCCTGCTGCTGGCCGCCACGGAGTGGGCGGGGGAGCCGGCAGCGGCCCCCAGCGTCCCCCAGAGGGCCCGCTCCCCGCAGGCCCGCCCGCCGGCCAAGGTCCGGCCCCTGGAGGGGCACCCGCCCTGCTTTGTCCACAAGGATCACTCGTACTCCCAGCCCCGGTGGTCCGAAGAGCCCCCCTCCTCGCCCCCCGGGCCGGCAGCGGAGCCGGAGCAGGAGCCCCCCGCCGGTGGCCAGGCCGGGGGCGCCTCCCGGGACGAGGAGCGCAGCTACGAGGAGGGGACCCTGGTCGGGAGAGTGAGGCCCTTCAGGCGGGAAGAGGCGGGCATTAGCCCGCTCGCCCCGGAGAAAGAGCTGCCGGAGGCCGGGAAGGACTACGGGCGCCTGCCCGAGCCGGAGCTGGAGCCGGAGGAGGGCTCGGAGGAGTGCTGCGGGCGCGGGGAGGAGGAGGGGTGTCACCGGGTGTACGAGGAGGAGGGGTCCCTGAGGGTGACGTTCGAGTGGAAGGGGCCGTACCTCTCGCAGTGGGACAGCAAGTACACCAACGACCCTCTGGAGAAGTCCGTGATTCGCGCTCTGCACGGGTAAGATAAAGAGAATAACACAAGTAATTACCAGTACTAATTGATAACACTACTAATAATAAAAATGCTAAACGTAACGAAGAGAATAAAATTAATAAGTCAGAATAGGAATGATCCTGGCGTTCGATACGGCGCCTCGTCACGTCTTCGAGGCGCCTCAAAGCGCTTCGGTGCGTGAATCGGCGGTTCGTTTTGTGGGCGAAAGGCGGCAGCCAATTAATTGCGCGCAGCGGCGTTCCCGCAGACGGCCGTGGAGCGAGCGACCGAATTACTATTGTTGTTTATTTCTTTTTTAAGCTCCGTCCCGCCAACGCGCTGAGGCGCTGCCCAGGTGTGAGTTTCGCCCGCGGAATATCGCAGTCACTCCCACTTTACAGCGTGTACTGCGAAGCCCTTGACGTGATAAGGCGCTATTATTATTATTATTATTATTACTATTATTATGCTGCTCAGCGTGGCTCGGGAGGTGTTTAATGTGAAGTCCTGTAGCGTAGTGGTTATCGCGCTCACCTCGCGAGCGTGAGGACCCGGGTTCGATTCCCGGGCCGGGGCGAAACCTTAGACCCAAGTTTCCTCCCTCCGCACACGCACACGCACGCGCGCACACGTGCGCCTCTTGTTTATCGAGCAGTAAGTGGGAACCCGGTTATCGAGTCGATTGGCCGGATGGGTTTGCGGGGGAAATAATCCCTCCCCAAAAAAACCGTGTCTCTCGATCCACGACTGTTTGTGGGGACGCCGCTGTGCGCAATTGGCTGTCGCGTTTCGCCCACAAAAATACCCGGTGAACACTTTTCCCTTCACCGCGTAAGGTGCGGCGCTTTGAGACGTCTCAGCGGCGTGGAAAAGGCGCTGTATCAAATGCGGGGGTTATTAATATTATGATTTATTGTTGTTATTATTGATCGTGCACGGGTTTTGCTTCTCATCCTCTGCCCTCCCCCCCCCCCCCCCCCTCGCAGACCCTGGGACCCGACCATTCAGGAGACCATGAAGGAAGTGAAGCTTATCCTGCACATGTGGGTGGGTCTTTTCTACGCCAGTTCCAGCGCCGTGACCCACAGCTCCATCAGGGAGGTCCGGGAACGGATGGAATCGGAGATCTCCGGCGATCTGGCGCACGGCTCCCCGGTCCCGGTGAACAGCGAAATCCCCTCGGGGCCGGTCACCCCGCTTCCCAGGCAAACGGCGGGAGGGGCCATCAAGTCGTCCGTGATCAAAAGGATCCAGAGGAACTCCAACCTGGTCACCTCGTACGACGAGAGCGAGCTGGAATCTTCTTGCGCCGGAGCCCACCAGCCACCGGCGGGACCCCCAGCGGTCCCCGACCCCGATCCCCGCTGTGATTACCCGACGTACCTGGAGGCTCGGCGGGCTGCAGCCTGGCTTCCGGCGCCCGGAGACGCCACGATCGACGCGGTGAGAGACATGATGGGTTTACCCGCGAAGCCCTGTAGCTCAGCTACAGGGGCGCAAGCAAGAGGACCCGGGTTCGATTCCCGGGGCAGGGGGCGAAACGTTGGGCAAGTTTCCTTACTCCACACACACACGCGCGCCCCTGTTTACCAGCAGTGAGCAGGAACCCGGTTGTTAAGTCGACTGACGGATCGCTTTTCCTTGGGTAATAATAATGATTCGGTCACTTCAGCGCTGGGGGGGTGGGGGGTGGGGGTGTTGTGTTGTTGGAGGTGCCGTCCTTCGGATGAGACGTTAAACCCAGGTCCTGTTTGTCTGTTCAAGTAGACGTTAAAAGATCCCGTGGCCCCTATTTGAGAATTGTGTCTCCTTGTGTCCTAAACCCCCAATCTTTTCCTCCCCACTCCCCATTTAAAAAAAAATGGTCATTCACTTCCCGTGTGCGTGTGTGTATGTGCATCTGTCTGTCTGTGGTTTTGTCTGTGTCTGTGTCTGTGTGTGTATGTCACATCGCTGTGTGCACAATTGGCTGTTGCAAAATACACTCATTGCACTTAGCAAAACTCCGTAAAGGGCTTCAATGTATATCGTGTGATAAGGGGCTACAGCAGAGGTTCAGGATCATTATTATTATTATTATTATTACGTGCCATGAAAATACATACACAAAAGCGAACGAGAAAGCTGTGAATCGTTCTGAATTGCAACACGTATCTTTTCACTGCGCCAGCAGCCTCAGCGGGAGCAAGAGTCCTCCGACGGCGGAGAAGAGAGTGAGGGTCGGGGGATCTCCGAGGAACTGGAGCTGAACCACCGCTTCCCTGCGGACCCAGGTCTGAGACGCGCACAGGACACGGGTTTCACCAAAAGGGTTCGCCCATCAAAACAGCACAGGCCCTCTCGCTCCACTTGGCAACATATTCGATGGAGCGCTTTGAGACAGCTCAGCCATGCGGTAAAGAGCTGAATCAAATCGAAGCCGTCAGCCCCCCCCGCCCGCCGCCCGCCCTCTGGAACTCCATTCAGGAGGCCCTCTGCCTCGCCCCTTCCAAGGTGCAATCTGGCGGCCTTCCTCTTTGACCCCACGTTCGGTCGTCTCCCCACCCCTGGCCCCCAGAAGCCCTCCTGAATCCAACCGTCTGACTGATAAGCCCCAACGGGTGTCCTCCCGACGCGAAAGGGGCTGTGGAAATTAAAGTTGCCGCTGTTGATGGAGCCCTCCCCCACCAATCCCTCTTGATGTTGAACAGGTGGAGGAGCGAGGCTGAACAACGCGTGGCAACTCGACGACGGCCACGACACCAATCCCGGGCACGTTTCGGAGAGGCAGACCAACTCGGTCATAAAACCGACGGAGATTATTCAGCAGCAGCGACAGTTTACAGGTAAACTCTCACCGTCGGATTACGATTTGTCAGTCATAAGAAATAACGTCCCCGTGTAGGTGTTGCTCACCAGGACTTGGTAATTGTTTTTACAGTCGACTGCCTTGCCCGTTTGGACCCCCCCACCCACCTACCCCCCCACCCCTAGCCTTGAGATGACTCTCCAGTGCAGTGCTGGGGGCAGTGGGGAGGGGGGGATTAATTGTCGGAGGTGCCGTCCTTCGGATGAGATGTTAAACCGAGGAGGGAGTTTCTGTCTCTCCCCGTGTCCTGGCCGACCAAACCCCCCCCCCCCTGCCCCCCCCTCCCCCCCCCCCCCACAAAATACGCAGTCGATCCACTCTGCAGCGCGTCCTGCGAAGCGGTTTGAGCGACGTGAGGAGGCGCGGGCGCTGCATCAAACAATTATCATTGTTATCGTTAAATCCCGCTAGAAATCATGCAGATCCATGAGGACGCCAGCCCGGAAGATGATTACAGCAGCGAAGAGCTCCCGTGTGTCGGTGAGAGCTACCGCCTCGTTACCTATTTTTTTTTCCCCCCAGTTATGGAAATCTTATCGGAAATCTCTAGGGAGTGCGTCGATAAGCTGTCGGCCGGACTCAATGAATAAGTCCTTCATTGCGCCTAATAATAATCCTCCAAAACCCCAAACAATAATAAATTGGTCATTTTCAATCCACGACTGTTTGTGGGACATTGCTGTGCGCAATTGGCTGCCGCGTTCGCCCACAAATATACAGTCAGTTCACTTTACAGTGTGTTCTGTGAAGCGCTTTGGGACGTTCTCCCGACGTGAAAAGTGCTATATCAAATGCGAGGATTATTATTATTATAATATTGCGGCTTCAAGGCTTTCAAAATCGGGCTCTGCTACAAGTGCTTTGCGGAGGAGAGGGTCGCTTTGTTGAAAAGCGCTGTGGCGCTTCACGCGAACAGCGTTCAAACCGTCTGACTGCTCGTCAGCTGGAACGTTAAAGATCCCGTGGCTCTGTTCGGCGCCCGGGTCAACTGTTTCCCCCCCCCCCCCCCCCTCCAGATCGGGTGGGCCGTTCGCTTCGTGGCTGTTTGCGCGGAAATTGGCTGCCGTGCTCACCGGCGGATAGATACTCAGTCACTGCACCTTCACCAAAAGGTTTTGAAGCGAGGATTGTTATTATTATTATTATTGTTGCACCAAAGCTATGACCCAAAGGGTAGTGGCCATAACGGTGACGGATTTGCTGCAACTATGGGGGAAAGTGTGTGGAAATAGTCCCCCCCCCACCTCCCCTCCGATTGACGAGTTACTTATCTTCTCCCTTCAGAGACGAAGGACCGGTCCCCCCCCACCAGCCTGTGCTCGCCCAGAAGCGGCGGAGAGGCCGAGGGCGCCGGGGAGCCCCCCCAGGCCGGAGTGGCCCGCCAGTCGTCCGTCATCCAAGGCGGGTACGTGGCGCAGCTCAGGAAGCAGCCGTCGTCCGGGGGCGAGGAGGAGGTGCTGAGGATGAGCGACGTGCTGGCCCTGCGAGGTGGGGGGGGCCGGGCGGAGGGGGGGCCCGGCCCGAGGCAGCGGCACCCCGAGTGCCCGGAGACGGTGGCCAGGGGGCCCCCCGGGGGCAGCCCGGCCGGGCAGGTCTACTCTCACGCCGGGACCTTCTCCCTGGCCGCGGCCTTCGCCCTGGCGGACCCCCTCCCGCCCGGCCAGGCGGAACGGCCGGAGAGGGACCCCGGGGGGGGCGGGGACGAGCTGCCACCTCCGACGCCGAGGGCCGGGGCCGACTCGAAGAGCGATGGGGAGATCACGAGCGACTCCGACGACGACGAGCGGGGCGCGACCCCTGCTGGCCCCCACCCCGGCCCAGAGGCCCCCCCCGGGAACATCGGGCGGGGGAACAGGCTGGGGCGCCGCTCCGCGGGCTGCGGCCGGGGGTTTTCCGAGGCCTTCGCCGCCGCCTTGGCCCCCGACCCCTTCTCCAACTCCGAGGGGCACTGGATGGACGGCGGGGGCTGGGGCTGGGCATCACTCCCGCTCCGCGGTGGGGAGTGGGCGCCTGCTCTCGCCCGCGAAGCCGCCTGGCGAGACGGGAGGGCCATGGCCTGGGCGGAGGCCGCGTGGGAGGAGGAGGAGGCGAGACGCCAGAGGGAGACGTGGTGGAGGGAGGCCGGTGGCTGGCGGAGGAGGAGGCGGAAGAGGAGGAGGAGGAGTGGGGGGACGCAGGCGGAGCCCGGCTATTCGTCCGGCGATACCCCGGGGGAGGGCTCGCTCCCGAGCAGCTCGGCCCCGGAGGACGGGCCCGACGAGGAGAAGGAGCGCGAGCGGGCCAGGCCCTCGGTGGTGAGGGTCACCGACCTGCTGGGCCGGTCGCTGCCGTACCTGAGCCTCTCAGGCCCGGGGCACGGGCTGGGCGGGGCCCCGAAGCCCCGGGTTTACCGCATGGCGTCCCAGATGTTCCGCGAGCGGCAGAGGGCGGACTGTACCCCTCGCCTCCGCTCGGAGTGTTTCGGGGGAACTCAGCAACAGCAACAACAGCACCATCAGCAGCACCAGCAGCAGCAGCAGTGTTGGAGGAAGCCCAGTCTGGTGCAGGAGATCCTGGACTGGGAATACATGCGCTTCTCCCAAAGGCTCAACAGCCTGGTCAACAGGTCCACCGGGATCCTGCCCTCCTCCTGCAGGAACGAGGGCAGGAGGGCGCCCAAGGGAAGGACGCGCGGGCAGAAGGATCCCGAGGGCAGAGGGTCCCCAGGCAGGAGAGCGCCCCCGGCATGCCCCGCCTCCAACCCCGGGCCGGGCGGGGGGAAGGGGGCCGAGACCCGGCGGCGGCGGTTGTGTTGGAGGGGAGACGGGGACGGAGATGCTGGGCCCCGGGAGCTGGAGGGAACCGCGTCCAGCAGCCGCCGCCACCACCATCGCCACCGCCGCCACCACCACCACCACCACCGGGCCCCCGGGGTTTCCGGCCACCGGCAGAAAAGGCGGAGGCTGGCCCGTCGGGCCTCCGGGGAGGCGGTGGATCCTGGCGGGTGCCCGGAATACCAGGGCCCCGCCCGGGGTCCGTCCCGGCCCCCCGGAGACCTGCCGGGCGGGGGGGGCCGCAAGGAGCGAGCAGGCTGCTTTCCCCCGGGCGAGGGCGAGGCTGGGGGCGAGGACGAGGGCTGGACAGGCCGAGGCCTGGTTGCGCCGGCGCCGACTGGGACTCAGGACCACGACTTGCACCGAAACCTGAACGAAGCCGAGATGGACGACATGTGGAGAGGCACCTACAGGTACTACGTGGTCGAGACCAACACCGAGCAGTTCTTCGAGGAATTGAAGGTAATTTGGTTCTCTTTGCCCTCTTTGCCTCCCCCGACACCCCCTCCTTTCCTTCCCCACCTTCAGAAGACCTGCCTCTGACCGTGCTTACTGTCACCTCTCTCCCCCTTCCCCCCCCTCTCCCCCCCCAACAACCCTCTTGTTGCCGAAGACGTGTGTCAGTCTGGCTCTGTCGCTGGCGCTCTCTCTCGGTCGCTCGCTCGCTCCCCATAAGTCAGAAAGTTGTGGGTTCACCAACATCCCCTCCTCCTTATTAAGGCACTGATCAGATGATGATGTTGTTATTATAAGCTTCAATATAAGGCACTTTATCAAACGTATTTCTTACTGTGCGTCTCCCTCGTTTCGCTCTCGTTTCCTTTGCCCCGTGAAATGGTTTTAAGTCTCGCCAAATTCCACCTGAACCAACCTCGCCAAAAACCCCCTTGTGTTCCAGAACTTGCTGAAGAAGGAAAGCCACGTGGAAATTGGGGCTTCGGATCTCTCTTCGATACAGCTTCATCCTCCCGAGAAATGTTTTGTCATCATTAGAAAAGACGACGTATGGAACCATCTCCATCAGGTGAGGTCAGAGTCAACCTACGCCTTTGCCAAACGCTCTGAGATGCTGACGTGTGCGAAGGCCGCAGGTTGTTGTCTGTAACCCAGAATTTGGGGGTTGGGGGTGTCGGGGGTGCGGTTGGTTGGGGGGGTGAGGGTGTGGTGGGGGGGCAAGAAAACCTGTAGTTTCGTGGTTAGAGTGCTCGCCTCGCAAGCGAGAGGACCTGGGTTTGATTCCCGGACGGGGCGAAACATTGAGCAAGTTCCCTTACTCCACACACACGGCTCTCTGTAAGCAGGAACCCGTGGATCACTTTTCTGGGGGGGGGGTAATAATCCCTTCCAATAAATAAATAAATGAATAATTTGGTCAGTTAATCCACGACCTCTTGTGGGACGCTCCCGCGTTTCTTCCCTTGACGGTGTATCCCGTGAAGCGCTTTGAGGCGTCTCAAAGATGTGATAAGGCGCTGTATCAGATGCAAGGATTGTTAGTAAAACTTCTCCTCGACTTCCTTGTCTGCGTGTAGACTTGTGGTAAGAAATGAGAGGGTGGTGCCCAGCAAGGGGGGTGGGTGGGATGTCCTCCTGACCCGAAGGGCACCACGTGAATTTGTATTGCATTTATTTTATTGAAACGATGGCATCCTTCATGTCCTGTCCCCAGATTCCACATCTAACACTATTGAAGCGAACGAGAGGTGTGCATTTTGCTGGGGTGGACAGTCCAGAGGACATGGAAGATCACACGTTCCAGGAGCTGTTGTGTTCAGGGGGCTTTGTGGTCTCCGATTGGGCCGTGCTGGAGTCGGCGACTGTAGGTAGGCACGAGTGTTAGCGATAGGTTCGTCCTCTCGCCTCCGAGTCAAGATGGTTGTGTCTGTGCCCCCTCCTTTTAAGAGCGATGCTCTTAGTCTCGTGTTGGGAGACTTGGAGCCCATGTAGTCTCGGCTGACACTCCAGTACGGTGGTGGGAGGGTTGTAAGAGGTGCCGTCCTTCGGATGAGACGTTTAAATCGAGGTCCCGTCTTGCCTGTTCAGGTAAACGTTGAAGATCCAAAGGAAGTAGTGACGATGATGATAATAATCCTCGCATTTGATATTGCGCCTTATCACGTCGTTGAGACGTCTCAAAGCTCTTCGAAAGGCTACACTGTAAAGTGAATTGACTTGTGTATTTTGTGGGCGAATTGCACCTAGAAAGTTTCTTCTGGTGTCCCGAACAAGAAATCCCCCAAGTAAAATTGCGGGGCCCTGCTGTTGACATATTGACTGCTACATTTTTGCCCGCAAAACACACAGTCCCTGCGTGTTACAGTAAAAATCCTGTGAAGCACTTGCAACCGGTAAGTCACATTATCAAAGGCAAGGATTATTATTGTTGTTGTAATTATTATGCTGTTAGCTGAAACGCGTCCTACGTACGTGGACTGCAGTGGCTGCTGACGGTTTCGTAATGCGTAGAATGGTTTACATTTCGCCACTGCACGATTGTGAATAAAAACGCAACTTTTTTTTCTTTGTTCGTAAATCAGAATATTTGCAACAGATTTCAGACGTCCTAATGGAGCTCAATGAAGAGAGCGAGTGGAAGTGGATGCTTCACATGAAAGAGCTCAAGCAGCTGAAGGAGAAAGTGAGGTGAGCTTGTGACGTTTGGAATCAGGTGAACGGAATGAAGTCTTCGCAGTAGTAAGTAAATGGTATTTAAGGGATCCTCCGTTTACTTAGTAGTAAGTAGGAACCCGGTTGTTGGTCGATTGGCGGAATTGCTTTCTGGGAGTAATATTCCCTTCACCCCCCNAAAAAATTATTCACTCAATTCATTACCGTTTGCACAATTGGCTGTCATGTTTTGCCCACAACATACACAGTCATCTCACCTTGCAATACATCCTGTGAAGCGCTTTGAGTCGCTTCAGCAACAATGATAAGGCGCTGTATCAAATGCAAGGATTATTATGCTATCGTCTGAGGCCTTCAAATGTTTTTCTCGAGCCTGCGCTGTTTTTCATCTGCTCGACCAAAGTTGTAGGGTGGTCCTAGCTTTGTCAAGGGGTGGGAAGCTTGCTGGACGTTACATCAACGTCAAACTATGTGCTTCTGGCTGGTTAAACACCAGCAGTTACCCCAAAGCACACTCTGGGGTCTCCAATCCTTGGCTCTTGCCAACTCTCTGGAATTAGGTAAGCAGGGTGCGTCCCTCCAGGGAGAGAGAGAGTGCGCAATGCATTCCAAACGTGGGAGTTTTCATGTGGAGATGGCACCCACGGAACTCTTGTCTGGCTTGGGTACTCTTAAAGCACGGTGACGGGTTTCCGCACGAGTCAAGACCACCCCGCTGAGCCACAAGTGAGTGCGTAACGCTGTCAATTATTGACGCAGGGATGAGGATGTGGCCACAAGGAAGAATTCGCTGCTGACGTCAATGATGGCAGCAAAAGTGGTGGAAGTTCTTCCTTTCCACGAGTGTGACTCCAGGCTACAAGAGAAGCCCGACTACCTCAACTGTCTCATAAAGCTACAAGTCCAGAAAATTGCTTCCAGGTTTGCTGTGTTTCTCACAGGTGAGACATGACCATCTGTGCAGGGCTCCCTCCCACCTGCGTTGAATCCCGGTCAGTAAGGTTCTGCGGATTGTAAGAAAAACTGGAGAGAGAGAGAAAAAAAATATATGTCGGGAGTACAGGGAAAGAGCGGGGCAATGGGATTAAAGCACGCAGCTCCAGTGAGGGGGAGCGAGCATTAGCTCACACCCGATTCGCCAGATAGTGTCCCTCTGCGCTGTAAACTTCCTTAATAATTGCCTCGACTGCAAAGGGCACGGCTGGTTTTGCTTTACGTGTAAAGAAATATTAATTATGGATTTGGGTTTTATTATTTTTTTTGTCTCTTCTCTCCCCCCCCCCCCACTCCGCCACCACTCTCCAATCTAGGTAAGCCTGAGGAGCATCGAGACACTTTCATGCAGAATGGCATCCTCGTGACAGATGCAAATAGTTTCGTCAAAGATTTCAATGCGTGGAGCACCCCTTCGCCAAGTAACAGCACCACGGAAAACGGTAAGCTTTATTTGAACGGCGGCGACGTTCTCGCGCTGACTTTCCCATTGTAATAACGATAGTTATAGATAATCCTTGAGTTTGAGGTAGCGCCTGATCGCACCTTTTGACACGTCTCAAAGCGCTTCGCAGGATAGACTGTAAAGTGAATCGATTGTACATTTCGTGGGCGAAAGGCAGCAGCCAATTGCGCACGGCAGCGCCCCCCCCCCAAACAGCCGTGGATTGAGTGACCAAATTACTCTTTTGTTTTCCCTTTCCTCATCTCTTATGCTTTACCACTTCCTACTCCCGTCTTTATCTTTTCCTGATTCTTTCCGTCTCTCGCCGTTTTGTTCCACTTTTCCTTTTGTTTCCTCCCCCCCCCCCACCCCCATTTTCACTTTCCTCTCTGCTCGTTCTTTTCTTTCGCTTTCACCTTCCACTTTTGCTTTCTTTCTTGTTTTGCTCGTGAATCTCTTTCACTTTCTTTCTTTCGATCCTTTTTTTAAATGTGGGTTTACATCTTTTCAAGGCCGTGAAATCCCATTTGAAAATGTGTCCAATTAATTGTTTCGCTCCCTTTAGGTCTGAGCTGAGAGGCAGATGACGATGACCTGTATCCCTCTCGACAGTATTCCTGAAACGCAGTGAAGAGACCAGCTCCACAAAGGTGACAGCTTTCCATTTCACCCGGTGTCTCCCTCCCTCGCTCGCCCCCACGACCAACTAAAGTTAAGGAATTTAATGTTCGCATTGTGTTACCGATTTGAGTTTCAAATGTTACCACGTTTCCACCAATCGATCAGTTTTATTGGTCTTTCGGCATGGTAGATGCTGTGTTTGCCGACATTAACTTCCCACCCCAGTTTTGTTATCAATGAAATATTGTATTTTTCTATTTATTTGTAAACGTTTAGATATTTTATTGGTGTCAAATGAAGACGATTCCTGTATTTTAATAGGGACATTCCATTTTACACATATTTTAATAAAAAGCACAATTTGGCAACAATTCATGTAAGCTTGTAATGTGTGTGTGTGCGTGTGCGCAATACTACCTTGGCCTCTGCTTTGAGCCCCAGCTTTTCTTTCTCACATCTACCTTGTTGAATGAGCCGATGACCACCTCCCCCTTGCTCAATACCCAACCCCGTTCCTTAAAGCACTTGGAATAATTACCCCACCTGAAGGCCAATAACCACAAAATATACAGTCAATTCATTTTACGACGTCTTCAAAGACTTGATCAGGCACTATATCAATTGCAAGGAATATTATGTGACCACTTCAGACTGGCACGAAGGAATTTCAACTAGGTCTGTTCTGCAAAACACCCAACAATGTTTAACATTTGATTATCGTGCCCCAAGTCTGTCTCGGAGCTCTTTTGAGTAACTGCTGTTAAATGCAGCGAGTGTGTTGGTCAGCCACTTCCAAAGACCTTTAAAGTGAATGGCCTATTTATCTATGCTGTTGGTCCATCTGCCTTCTGCTCACATCCCAATCTACCAACCACCTCTGTTCATCTGGCACTAGTCTGGCCTACTGCACATAACCCCCACAATTTGGCAGCCGTGCTATGCTCTGGAACTCTTTGCCTCAATCCCTCCATCTTCAAATCACACCCACCTTTCTGGCTCTGTCAAATCACACTGCTGTTAAGCATTCCATGATGCTACATAAATGCAATTTGTTCTCAAATGGTGGCATTGGATTTTAACATCCCTCTGAAGAGGCAGACCAGACCCTTAGTTTTAACATCTCACTTGATGGAATTATACTTACAAGTGGCTAGTCGTAGCAGCATTTTTACATACTACCTGTACCCGTTGCAGCTAGGCTTGCAACCAGTTTGATTTAATCGTCCTTCTCTTTCGTCTGGCATTTTAATTTGCTCTTAAATGGCTTGATCTTCGCTTCTTTTTTTAAGGCTTAAATAAAGCTTTTTTAATGTAGCTCAACAATAGGAGACCCCCAGTAAAAAAAATATGCCCATGACACTCCCCATTAGGTATAAATTATGTGTCTATGTCAATCGGTTATTGCATTCTTGCCAGACACACAGACAGACATTTTGTCTTTATGAGTATAGATCCCTTAAGATTAAGAAAATGTGCTATTGAACTTATTACCATCCCTTGCACACACCTCCTTTTGGGAGGACTCAGTGGGATGACTCCTGTTGGTGTCTGTCTCTACGTCAATCAGTTAAACAGACACCAGACAGACATTTTGTCTTAATTAGTAAAGATGTCTCTCTCCAGGAGGGTGTGTGACCTCGTTCACGACTTTGTTGTAGAGTACCATGCATACTTTTGTTGGAGCTGAATTAAGAGCATTTTTTAAAATATGTTTTGTATTATAGCTCATAAACAATAGATCCCCCAAAATATGCCCATGACACTCCCCCATGCAAGACCTTTCCGCTGAGGTATAAATCATGTATCTATGTCAAGGATAGACACGCAGACATTTTGTCTTTATTACTGTAGATTTTACAATATTCTAACAATGAACCAATACATTTTGCTGTTAGCAGTCTACTCTACATTACCTACCAGCAGATATACATTCTAGTCTCACTTGAGGTTCACTCCTGTCCCTCAGTTCCACATTCACCTTATCCTCACTCTTCCTATTTAAGACCCAAGTTACATCTCCTGAACTTACTCTTAACAATGCAAAGAGTAAAAATAAAATGTCCGCAGCATTACAATGTCTGGTGGTACATACAAGTTTTTATTGTGAAGTTGTAGTTGTACATAGAATCAATCCATCATAAAGTTAGTCAATCAATCATACAATGCAATTTTAGACTTAAATGTTGGGAGCTGATTAAGCAATGGCAGTAAACACTTCTACAAATGAGGAAATCATTGAATATTGGTTTAGCATTTTTACATCTTTCCACGTTTACAATAAAGAATGCATCAGAAGGAATTAACTGCATCACAGCCTCCTCAATTAAAACCTCTGATCAATTTTGTTTCCCGAATGTCAGTAAGTTGTCTTCTTTGGACAGCACCCCTAAAGATATCAGCAAAATTTACACATGATGCCAAAGACAATGATGGCTTTCCCATCCAGAATCAGTGCAATACTTGTCAGGATCTTGAAGATGTAATTTTAAAAAATAATCAGGGCCCTCACAATAAGAAATTTTTCTGCTGTGCTCATTAAGTTCCTTAACAGCACAATAGTTGAACCAGCCAAATACGTACGAGATTCCAAATGGGTCTTGAAGGTGCTTTTTTTTCTCTCTACTCACAATCTTGGCCGAAGACGTCATTCTGCTTGCGCTTCATTTCTTCAAACGAAAACTCAGAGCCCGTCAGCCTCCTGTAAATATCTTGGATGTCGTCGCAAGTGGTCTCAAAGTGGGTGGTCGCATCATAGGTACGGGAAATGAAAATCTGGAAATAATGGGAGCGTTCAAAAGGAAATCCAAGAAAAAAAATTGATTTGCTTTGTAAATGTATGAATTCTGAATTTGACCATCAGGCCAATTTCCTGCCTAAAGTATTATGAATAATAATAATCCTTGCATTTGATATAGTGCTTTTCACGTCGGGAGGACATCCCAAAGCGCTTCACAGAACACACTATAAAGTGAATTGACTGTATATTTGTGGGCGAACGCGGCAGCCAATTGCGCACAGCAATGTCCCACAAACAGTCGTAGATTGAAAATGACCAATTTATTATTGTTTTTGGAGGGATTATTATTAGGCTCTGTGTGGAGTAAGGAAACTTGCCCAAGGTTTCGCCCTCTGCCTGGAATTGAACTCAGGTCTCTCACTTGCAAAGCGAGTGCTCTAACCACTGAACTACAGGACTCCACACTTGACTTGCATTATTTAGGACAGCTCAAGTTAATAATAATTCTTACTTTTGATATAGCACTTTATGAAGTCATTGAGACTCAAAAGTACTTTACAGAATACACTGTAAAGTAAATTGACTGTAGTTTGCAGGTGAAACGCAGCAGCCAATTGTCCACAAACAGCCGTGATTGAGTGACAATATTTTTGGGGGCGTGGGTAGAGAAAAAAAGACAGTCAGCCAACCAGCCAGAGGATGCCAAGTTGGGTTTCGTTTAAGCGGCACCCTAACCATAAATGATGCAGTTTGGCTGAGCAGGTAATCGATCATTTGAAAATAAAACATTATTTCAAGAAAGATAAGGGAACTTCAATGGTCATAAACTGTACAGTTAGAATTTAACTGAAGTTTTTTCCCCCAAATTACAAGTCTTTTGTAAGGACTTTATCAAGTACTTACCTGACTTTCTTTTCCCAAGTCAGTAGGAGAGTACATATTACTGATACTAACGAACCTGAAAAGAAAAGGACGAGACTTCAATTGAAGTTTAACAAACTAACCAGAAAAAAAGGCATTTCAATGTGCAACTATCAACAAAACCAAAACATATCAGGCCTCTTATGTTTGAGAATAAATTGGATTAGAAATTCTAATCATTTGATACGAGGTGATTTTTAGAAACCAGACATTTAACAAAGGAAGCAGAGGACAAAAGTGGAAGGATTTGGTAGCCAGCAGCTGAAAGCAGTCAAAAGAGTTGGTCTTTGGAAAATATGAAACAGAGAAAGGTAAGACAACAACAAAATTAATTATTGATGAGTGCTTCAGAGGATGACAGTATAATGGCTGAAGCTTTAGCCTCCAGAAGGAGGATTGGGACAAGGCAGAGGTAACAGTGAAAAATACAGGCTGGACAAGAAACTGAACAGGTGCCGCCAGACTCAATGCCACTGAAGTGCATTTCAAACTACTGTATTTGAGATTGTAATAATACTTGCATTTGATATAGTGTCTTATCAAGTTTGAGCCGTCAGAGTGCTTCACAGAATATACTGTAAAGTGGATTGACTGTTCATTTTATGGGCAAAATTGTAGGACTCATCATAAGATAATGCAAGGATTGAGGGGAAAAGCCTTTCTGGATAAACACTGGCCCTGATAATGTCTTAGAAAAATTAATCCCCAATCTCAATACATTTGGGGTTGGGGGCTGAGAGAGAGACCGAGCCTGCTTCTCTTCCCAATGTTCCCTCCAGCCATCGGTGGTCGGACATTCAGCCCTTGCCTTCGAGTGTGCAACTGTGCCTTTGTTCACCCTCCTATCCCCAACCACCCTGTCCTCCACCCATCTTGATGTTCAATGTTCAAATTTAAGACCATAACACCTAGCTTAACTCAAGAGATAAAAGGCATCTGGTCAATTTGCCGCTCAGTTTCACAGATTTTTCTCCAAACTACTTACTACAAGTCTAACGCAAGTCAAATCATTCTCATCAGGGATGGGGATTATTTCAAATGTCACCATTACACAACCTCAAGTCTCTATATGCTTTTACTAATGTCTTTCCCCCGTTTGAAAATGGTAACGTACTTCTGTTCTATGGGTTCCAGAAGGTCCAGTGCTGCTTTAACTTCTTTCTCAGGATCGTTGGTTTCCACAGTTGTACTGACGATGGCAATGTACTTCTGTTGAGAAGCTACATTGTGTGCGTAGGATATCATGCAAACGTAGATATCTGAGGAAAAAATAAGTTTCATAGTACAGTATATTAATTCCTGGTGTAGATAATAGCACCCAGAAAGAACATTGTCCCCACATGGAACATTAACACATTTCCATTTTCAGGCTGAAATACTTCATTTTATTCCCAGGCCATGTTTTACATAAGATGACAGACAGGCCACCTGAATACTCAAGAGTTTCTACTAATACAGGAAGTCCAACTGTGTGTGTATATATGTGTATATAGAGAGAAATAGGTATCAAGATGAGAAGGAAAACGATCCCTGATCACAAGGCAGTGTTGGCAAGATTAGGAGCTTATCTGTGGGGGGGGGGGGGGCGGGCATTAAAAGGAAAGAAAATTGAGAAAACCCACATACAACAACTTGCATTGATACAGCGCCCTCAAGCAGGGTAGTGTCCCAGAGCGCTTGACAGTGGCGCCAAGGGGAGAGGAAGTGGGAGATGACTGTAGACACGGTTGAAGAGGAAGATCTTCAGGCACGACCTGAAGATGGGGAAGGAGGGGGGAGGGGGAGAAAAACTACATTTGGCCGTGGCAAAGTGAGAGCTCTACAGCCTACTCTACATTAATTTTCCGACGAGCAAGCCACAAACCCGCTAACAGCGAAAAGCCTAGGTTAATTCCGATTCAAAATTCTAGAAATGTCTAAACCATGTTAGATAACAATATTGCTCATGCCCCAACTCAGACGAAGATCTCTGCCGACTCAAACCCACCCAGAGTACTTACCGGATTTCCTGTTGACCTGATTTTGTGGAATGATAATCTGACAGGAGTTCACGTCATTTATGCTTTTGATGGGGTGATTCAATATGCAGATGACTCGAACCACCTGACCAACTTTCTTCACGTGATCTGGTACATAACTGGGGTCACAGATCAACTGCTTACAGCGGGCAATCTGTAAGCAGAATACATTTTATTACAGTCAACAAAGTCAAAAAAATGTTTCCCTACATCTCAGCTCCATACGTACGTGCATCAGGGGAAGAAGAGTCTTGTTTCATTCTGATAAGCCGCACAAAATAGTTTAAACTCTCACACATGAGTACTAGAGTGATTTACTGGAAGAAAATCCAAGGCCATTGGACAAGCCAGGGAAATTTAGAAGAGAGAAAATTGGGGAGAGAAAACAAAATCTCACCTCTCCTTCAGATTTAACTCCAACCACTCGTCCGTTCTCCATAATTATTTCTTCAATTGGCTTGTTCAACATGTAGGTTCCACCATAAATGGCACTTAACCTATAAGGAAATGGGTATTAAAACAGCAGACTCCAAAATTTAAAAAAAATTCTGTAGATTGAGAACACCAAAATGGAAACACAAAAATGAAGTCTTTAAACTTCATAAGAGATAAGGTCTAACGTTTTTAAAAGGTCAGTTGAAAGCTTTCAATCGACCACGAGAGAGCATGTCAAAACAATTCACACAGTGTTTATGCTGCAGTGAGGCATCTGCTACTCCTGAAACTCTTCTCCAGATGGTATCAGGAACAGAGCCCCTCAAGCCCATTTATACATCAAGATACTGGCAACTAATCACCATCCTTTAGTGATTTGTAATCAATCTAAATACAAATTAAAAGTAGGCATGTTGTAAGCTTCATAACTTAATTGACTTTTTAAAAAAATGCATTTTCCTGAAAATGTAATAATCCTTACATTTGATATAGCACTTTATCACGTCGTTGAGACGTCTCAAAGCACTTTACAGAATATACTGTGACATGAATTGACTGTATACTTTGTGGGCTTAAACCCAGTAGCCAAATGCATACAGCGTCCCACAAACAGTTGTGGATTGAGTGACCAAATTATTTTATTTATTTTTAATTTATTCATTTAATAAAATTATTCATTTAATAAAATGAATTTAGGAACTAAATCACATGTACCTAAAACACATTTTATTTTTAATTCAGACTCCCACCAAGTTATCCCACACTGGAACTCACCCTAAACTGTCCTACTTTCAATTTCTACTGAACTAAAGAAGCACTAACATCTTATGCAGCAGTTTTACAACAAAGCTTACCTGGCAAAACCCTGAGGCAACTCTCCAAGGCCATAAAGAGGGTAAAGGTATGGGCTCTTTCCATACTTGAACAGCGATTCTCTGTAAAGCTTAATCCTCTGTATGATATTATAGCAAGGCTCCTCCAGATAACTGTGAGGGAAAAACATTTAACATGATTATCTTGTCGATTGTGTCAATTAGAACTTTCTATTACTTGGCACAGTAGATATGGGATAGCATTGATTCACCACAGTGCACGTTTCTGATCTGAGTCATATTAAGGGGAACAAGTTGCAATGTGGAGTCCTACTGATGCCCTAAAGACACTTCAGTCTGCTCCTGTGCATACTGTCATGTAGGTCACAAAGTTACAGAGAAAAGGTGGAGAGAAATTCAGGGTCACTGGTTTGAGGTTGACGTTTCATTCTAAATAGAGTAAACATGAAATGGTGGCAATATACAGGGTTTAAGATTTTTGAACAGTCAAGGAAGGCACAGCTCAACTTGACATCTCTAATATGGTTGGAATCAGAAATAAGTCACTACTTAAAATATTATTTTACTTCAGTTAGAAATGCTTTTGCAATTGTTAGTCTGTAATGGAATGATTTGTAGACACTATAAGCCTAATCAGAGTCAGGCCTAAAGGCAGGAAAAAGATGCTAAAAGTCAAATAAAATAAGCAACAAATATAGTGTATATTAGTGTGTGTGTATATAAATATATATATATAAAAAAACACAACATTACAAAATAACTGCAAACACTCACTCATCAGTTCTGTGTAAGGCAAGCGCATGGCCTGTGAAATCAATGGTATCCACTCCCAGGCCAAATTTCTTATATAAATCCTTCACAAGCATTTTCCTGGCATCAACCCCGTCGTGAGTTTGGGGGTCATTTTCCTCATATTTGGAGACAAACACCAAAAAGTTTTTGAATCTGCGCTTCTCAAAAATACCCATCAAACCTGCGAGAGAAGAGACATTACATTACTTAATAACCCAAATCCATTACTGGTGAAAAACAATCCTGAGCTACTGAAATGTAGGTACCATCAGAGTTCTTTGGTACCTCCAGGTTGACAGGCTGATACTAGCAGTAGCTAAGCCTCTACACTTCACACAAGACATTTTGTAGAAGAGGCACGGGCACAGAGCCATCTGGCACTGCTGATGCCAAAGCAGTTGCATGTCAAATAGCTGCAGTGCAGATAGTACTGAGCTAGTGAGTCTTACACTTCCAGAGGCAACTTATAATGCTCAGCCGGGTGTCTGACACATGCAGGAACCGGTCACCGTGCTTAAGAGTATCCAACCCAAGCTGAGAATTCCATGCATCCCACCTACACATGGAAATCCCTGAGATAGATAGTTGGACTGGAATGTGCAATCTCTCCCTGGAGGGACACATCCTGCTTGCCTAATTCCGGAAAGTATTAGGCGCAGGTTGGCAATAGCCAAGGCTTGGGGACCCCAGAGTGTGCGTTGGGGTAACTGCTGGAGTCTAACCAGTTAAAACTACGTAGCTTACCATTGATAATGCAGAAGCAGCATTTTGGAATGCATATCTAAGAGCTCCAAAACACTCATTTTTCTACAATTATCCAGAATGCAATTATATATAATTATCCCATATCAGCAATAAATCTAGATTTTTGAAGGTTGAGGGGGTCGCCCGAAAAGCAAATCTAGTTTCAAAGACAGGTGGCTGCAAGACACAAATCTGCCATGACTTAAGGAACAGGACCACCTTAGATTGACGGCAGGGGGCAGCAGAACAATGTGCAAACAGAGCAAGATGTGATTTAACACCCACAGCAACTTCCTGATCTAGATTTGCTGGAATGCAACTGGTGGCATCTACCAATAAATGGAAATATGTTTGAAGCTTAAAAGGAAAGAGGAGAGGGGCGGAAAGCCGTTTAAGAATTGCACATATTCCAGTACTTATTTAAAAAGGCAAGCAGCTGAATTCCACTAGGGGGAGGATACTAGGGATGAGTGGTTTGCTCCATGAACAGAGACGGGAGGAATTGCGACTTTTTTTTACTGGAACAAAGAAGGTTGAAGGAGTGACCCGATCGAGTTCTTTAAACTTAGAGGAATTTTGATAGTCAATGGGGAGAAATTATTTCCACTGGTCAGTGAGTCTGTAATTAGAGGGCATCAATTTAACAGTTAATAAAACAACAAATGGGGATGCAAGGAGAATTTTTTTTCACAGAATATTTAGGATTTGGAATGGCCTGCTGGGATTGAGGCAAAATCCTTAATAGGCTTCGAGATGGAACTAGACAAACATCTCAAGGCACAGTTGCAGCAGTATGGGGAAAGGGCAGATAAATGAAACTGGAGCCATTGCTCGAGGGAGCTGAAATAGACATGTTCAGCTGAATGGCCTTCTGTGCCATAGATTTCTATGGTTATCTGTTAATCTTTGTATTTGATATAGCACCTTATCACACTGAAACATCTCAAAAGTGGTTTCGTTTTTTCTTTTTTTATTGGTAGACAAACACAGCTGCCAGTTTGTAAACAGTGCCCATTTTTTAAAACTGAAGGATTGTTGGCCAGGACACCAGGAGAAATTCAATAGAGCCATGTGATTACTTATCATTAACCTGAACAGGCACCCAAGTTTAACGTCTCATCAGTGAGATGTTATCTCCAACAGTATATGATTTACGCAGCACAGGCTCACACACAATATTTCAAGTGTTACAGGTTGGGAAAAAAAGTCTTCAACTGAAGTCACTGCTAGTAATTCCTTAGGAATTGGGAATAAGGAATGTCTAGGTTATGGGAGGGGGGGGGAGAGAGAGAGAGAGAGAGAAGGTAAACGCATCTCCTTGGGATTGAACTAGTTTGAACGGACACCTGATAAAATCAGACAAATTTGCAGTTATCCAAAGACATTGACTGTTACCCAGTTTCTCTTGCTCATCATTTAAGATGTTAACGTGACCTCAACTCTGAATGAAGATCTCAACAAACAAATATCATAAAGCTTACTAGCGTTTGTCCCATTTGTAAATTGTCCCATTATCACGATTGTGGTCCTAGATGCCCCAATTGCCTCGTAACACTAATATTTTCTTCAGTTGGACAGAAGTTTCATTGCAATATTAATTTATTTCACTGCTGCAGGAGTTTAAAATAAAAAGAAAATTGATGTATCAAGCACCCTACAATTCATACATCAAGGTTACTACATAAAAGATAGTTGGAATAAAAAGACTTTAGAAAATCTGTGCACTTAGTCAATGTTCCATATTTTTCCACCGTATTTAAATTTTCCTCATGCCAATTTAGTATTTACTCACTTGACTGTAAGGCTTCAGCGTCAGTGGAAGGGACTTTGTAGATTTTTCCTCCTTTGTAGACATAACTGCCTTCAATCACCTTGAAGTCAAGATAACGGGTCACGTTGGTGTACATCAACATATTCACAAGTTGGCCTGAAAAGCAAAGGGAGCACATCCAGTTTAATGAAAGCAATGTTTCAAACAACCCAAAATATTGCAACCTGCATCAGCATTCTCTCTAAAAGCCAGTCTCACAGAGAAGGCAAGCCTTAGGAGAAGCTAATCCCAAATGTGTTAATATTTGAAAGAAACTGCAGAATCTAGTATTTCTTCCACCACACAATCTTAGTCTCCCCGTATGCAATTTTATTGACTGGAGCCTTATTGCCAAGGGTGTGAATTGCCTTCACAGCCAGTGGCTAGGAGTTGCACAAGAGATGCAAAGTGATTAATCATTTTCTCCTTGTGAAAAATGCTTAAGTAGCTCCCCAGAACAACTGAGCTAAGATCGAAACTCAGAGAATCAATAAACAAAAGTACAAACCTCTCTACGTTACAATGTGCTGGAGCTTCAACTTGGCTTTAAATATTATTAAATATTAGTATATTATACGTGGTTTAAGATGAGGGTCAGCAAAAGAAACCTGCATTTAGGCCATCCGACATATCAAACATTTGCAGAAATAAATAGACTCCCTCACAATACAGACAGCTGTTCTATCCATCCACCAAATACAGTACAATATAAATTCTTCCATTTCTTACTGCAAACATCCTTATAACCAGTATAACCAATTTTCACTAGGAATTGGGTTGACACTAGTAACAGAATGATTTTATTTGGAATCTAGAACAAGATAGAAGAGACGACATACAAATCTGCACTGGATTTGAACCCATTTCCCAAACAAAAAGGACAGCAATGTTTAACTCACTGTACCATTCAGCCTCCATAACCATTTCAAGTCATCTATGATTTCACTGGTAATGATTCTATGAATAATTCAATAGAATGAGTCATTAGTTTGCATTTTAGTCTGTTCCAGTGCTTTCCCTCAGTCCCAACTGAGGTTACCTGATCTGCTACGACTGCATACAGCACAACACTGCCGATTCATAATACACGTGTGGCAAAACGTCCCCCAGAAACATTGCCATTTTACATCTCCGAGTTTTACTCTACACAATGCGTTCCTAGGGCTTCAAACTGGGACATGGATTAGTTTCAACTTTTGTCCATCAAATAAATCTGGTTAATTCGGAATCCTAAGCAATGAACGACTGGGAAGAAAAGGAACTGAATGCATTTCTGCAGTTGCCCAATTCACTCCACTAAGTTCTTTGCTCTAAAAATCAACCAGGTTCTTTCACAACATTTTAACCATGAGCACCCCAGATGAGTAAAATACATGATTGTACAATCCACAAAAACTCCATCGAGGTAGTCCAACTGATCATAACACTGCTTCCATTTAGCTCCTTTCAAATGTGTTGTACCTCATTCTAAAGCTGCAGAAAGATTTTCCTACCAGTAGCCATAAGGAACTTGGGAATCAGGTCCACATTCCAGTCTCTTCCCCTGCCCATACTCTCTGGAGGTGACCCAGGAAGGTTAAATCTTTTGTATAACTGCAAGAGAAAAAAAACATTATGTAAGAAAACCATTACATCAAAGCAGCACACACTGCAACTAGAACTTGCATTTATATAGTGGGTAGCATCTGAAGGACAGAGTAAAATTGGGACGTCCTCCTGACGTGAAAGGCGCTATACAAATGTAATCTTGTTGTTGTAAAAGCCCATTGTGTAGTCTATTCCATTTCCCTTAATATTTCTAATGAGATGTGTGGTTGCACTCCTAGTTCTTTAATAACTTTCATAATCACCTATTGATGTTGGTTATTGGAGCCTTGTGCATGCATACAGCTTATAGTGCCAGAGGTTTGTATTCCAAATTGGTGTACTAATGGAAGTGACAATAAAAGTGACAATTAAAACCAATGACTGACATTTGCAGATGTTTCAAGTCTACTAAGATTTTAAATAAATCCCATATCTAATGCTCCATGTCCACATTTTTTTTTGCTAAGCAGTACTTCCTCATTACTTACATCCTCCAGGGGAGTTATGGATGCACTCTCGCCCCCGTAGTAAGAGTTCCGGTCCATGTGAAGGACTTTCTTTCCATTCACTGACATTATACCGGAGAGGATGCATTCCTGTAAAAGATTGAAAAGAAAGCCATTTCAGTTAAGTGTGAATTTCCTTATTGAACAAATATGACAGTTTGCTTGTCAACACAATACGTCATACATTAGTTAAAAGCACACCAATCTAAACAGATTCTATTAAATTCTTAACATTTTTTTACACTCCTACTTACAGTTACACATAGCCATTAAAAGTATAATTAATGCTTGGGGGAGGAATGTAGAGGCAACCATTCAACTTTCAGATGTTAATTTGGAAAGTTTCAAAATGAGGACGCAAGATAATTTTTTTTACAAATAGTACTTTTCACCTCAGATTTTATAGTCAAGACTAGAATTAAATCCAGAACTCGAAGTGCGCATACACTCTATTTAACAAATTAGAAAACCTACAACGGGGAGTTTATCTGTGGGCACAAATTTATTAATATCAGATTCTAAAGAAATATGCTAGTGCTACAATAAGCGAAAGTACAAAAATGAACCTGCCTTTAACCCACAATGAGGGGGTTATTAAGTAAAGTGGAAGTAAAAGAACCTCTGGAATCTTTAACCGTATGTGATGCATTCAGAGTAGAAAGACACAATAGAAAGAAGCCTAATATTAATCAGATGACTGAGGACATAAGGGAATTTGATATAGCGCCTTTCACAAACGGTTGTGGATTGAGTGATCAAATTATGATTAAAAAAAGATTTTTTGAAGGACTATCCCCAGAAAAGCGATCCGCCAATCAACTAACAACCAGGTTCCTACTTACTGCTATGTAAACAAAGGTGTGTGGAGTAAGGAAACTTGCCCAAGGTTTCGCCCTGCTTGGTTGCCTGATATCATCTTTTTGCATTTGTGTTTTAAGCACAAAGCAGCATTTCAATCATTCAGCTAATCATGTCAGCTAAGGCTGCTAGCCAGCAAGGTTATGTAGTCTGCCAGGTACTTTTTTGGAACCCGTACAAGCATTTTGCATATGAGCAAATGTGGTCACGCAGCATAAAGATGATCTCAGTGACTATTGTTAGGGTTACAATTTCATCATCCACCACCACATATTAAAGATTACTGGTTTTATAACTTGCTGTTGTACTGAACACATCATTGTAGTTTACCTCAAAGCACATATTCATGTCCTAGAAATTTCCTTACACATATTCCAGGTTAGTGATATTAGATAAAGGGTTAACTTTATGCAGAAGTCAAGCAGTACTTTGCAGAACAATGGCTTACAGTTTAATTATTAAAATATTGCAGCTGCTTTGATTAATCATAAAATACAGTACTAATAATGTAAAGTACTTTGTTTTGTTTTCTAATGCCAATACCAAGTGCCCAATAAATTAGCTCATGTATAGATCAAATCCATTCTTGCAGTTAAGATTCTACTTTCTTAAAATAAGGAATTGGCTTTTTAAAATTAATCTTCTGTGATGTGGAATGCCCATTTAATAATTCAAATCCTACAGCAAAACAGAGTTGAAACAATAGGAATGCAAATAGTTTTACCATTTCAGAAACCACAGGATTTCTGATTCTAGAATTAAAAATGCCATTTAAGCTGAATTTGGTAAACAGCAACAAATTACATTTGTATAGCGCTTTTTACGTAGGGAGGACATCTCTAAATGTGTTCACTGTTGCCAAAACAAGCTTTTTGGGATGAGAGAAACTCTTCAGCAAAACACCAGGAAAAAACTACAACTTTTAAAAAAAAATAAACTACAAATTACTATAGATATTTAAGAGAATGCATTAAATTAAAAATATTTGGTTGTATGTAAAAATCACTTGAAATATTCCATATTTTGTTTCTGCACTATTTCATTGGTGTAAGATATACCCGACAAACTACTTTCCAGGGAACATTAATCAGCAACTAGTTTAAAGGCCGCAGTACTAGAAAAGGGCTGGTCCTGTTATCAACTCACTCCAAATCAACTGCCATAGACACTGCTCTGGGAAAAAGCCAAGTGAGGGTGTTGGGGAGGGAGAAATTACACATCCTTTCCCCGAAACAGATGCTATTATGTGAATCCACATAGCATTGGAAGTGTTGAGTTAGTAGACGGCACAAGTCTTCAAATTCTTAACTATCATATAACAAAACCATTCAAAGCACTACAAGATGTCCCGAAGCCACAGAAACAATACAATCAAGGATTTTCAGCTTCATTGTTATAATTTGCGTCAGTGAATCATTATAAATAAGTCTAATACCAGAACTTGAACTGAATATGTGCTATATTAAATGCAAGGATTATTTCCCCAGTGCTATTTTGATTCTAATTGCAACAGCCAAAATTGTGCAGCTTTATTAGATCAAGCAAAACACCATTTGATAATAATGATCCTTGCATTTCAGATAGCGCCTTATCACGTCGTTGAGACGTTTCAAAATGCTTCACAGAATATACTGTAAAGTGGAGTGACTATTTTATTTTACTGACAGAAGTCCCCAAAGATGGGTCGAATTATTGCAGAAAGGCTTTAAAATGATAATTAAGTCAATGGAAACGAAAGACCCCAAATTCAACAGCGCAGGGAATAATTGCCAACTGTAATTATTGTATCTCAGCTGCCTCAGTTGGTTGCATTCTTGGCTGAGTCAGAAGATTGTCGTGACTTGGACCATCAGCATAGACTATTCGGGTTCCAATACAGTGCTGAGGATGTATTTTCATTTTTGTACTTTAATTCAATTTAATTGGCATTGCAGAAGTCTACCTATATGAGCTGCCCAATTATACCAACACACTTGACAGTAAATACTGGCCAATTCCATTATAAAGCAGTGGTATGGGTCCATAAACACACTACACCAACAAGGCATGCTATAAAAATGGCCACCTGTCACCAATTCTGGGAGGGCAGGTCATATTGAAGTCACTTCCTGCGCACAGGAAGTCTCTCTCAAGTGTCTCCAGTGTCAACTTGAATGCCAGGAGGCTTTCTGCACCTGCACAATATGCACCGGAAGCCGACAGCGTATTGCACTTTCAGTATACCATAGGTCTATGATGCAACCGCGATATAAATAAACCTGTAGTATACAAGGCTATGTTATAGCTCGATCAGCTTGTGCCTATGAAGAATTTTGAGAAGTTTCAAGTACTTTATCAATAGCAAGCATTGATTATATTATCTGTGTCTTGCTCCCCCGCAAATAGTACCCCCCATGCAGATCTGCTTGTGGGAGGTGGAAAAAGGGAGAAAATAGAAGCTCCTTCAACAGAAGTGGTCTCTTAGGGAGAAGGCAACGCTTCACTGAACTGGAAAATAAGACATAATAACTGACTGAGTCAAATGGCAGCTGATACGAACACAAAACACATGCTCCATTCAGCATGTTCCAACAGTCTCCAAATGGCCCAGTCCAGTGCAGTTTTAACATGGTGCACCAAGGAGTGGTAGGATTATCCTCATCTTTCACACATCAATTTTTAAAGTAGGCATTTCTAATTACTGAGAGCAGGCATGGATTACGGTGGAGAGCTAAATCAGTCTAATCATCTAATCAGCAATGCCTGTTCCGCAAATTATTTCTTTCTCCAAGAACAGTTAGCCATTACATGGTTTAAAAGTACATGCAGTTTGCTTTGTTCAAATATAAAGCTTAAGGAATGCAATTTCCAATAACTTCCGAATCAAAACCAAAAGCCAATGCTCCAGGTCACAAGCAATAAGTGATCGACTGATATGACCTCTATAAACGAGGAGAACTCCTTGAAGCTCAATACAAGACATGTATAAACCTGATTAACCAGAGAGCATTTTAAAAAAGGCAGAATGAGTATAGCCTGTATAGCCAACAAAATTGGGAAGCAACACAGAAATGTAACAGAACCCCATATTAACACAATCTCAACTACCTGGATCGTTACAGGTAGAGTCTTAAACAACAAAGCAACCAGAACGTTTCACAGGAAGCAAAGGGTAGAAAAAATGTCATTCATTAGCACAAGATCAAATTAAAGAACCAACCGGGAACAATAGATATTCAGATGGATTGAGCTGCAAATTCCCTTTTGAAACAGAAAAGCAAAGTATGCGAGAGAGACCAAAGAAATTGCAGCAATGTAGACTTGAACAACCAATCGTTAAGACTGGAATATGACCACAAAAGTGAAAAAAAACAGGATGCCTAACACAATGGATAAAAGCAAAAGGATCCCAGTACTCGAGATAAGCCTGCACATCAGATAAGCCTCCACATTTGTGCTTGGTTTCCGCCCCCCATTCTACAAAATAAAATGACCCACACTTATGTTCTGCATGGTTTCCATAATTCTGAATCCAAACTACTAGGGTCTCCACTGAAACCACCTTTAGCATAACTGTACCACTTCCTTTGTACTCTGACTAATTTATTTATTCACTTTCAATAAAAAGTATAAAATCACGAAATAATTTATTTCAATTTGTGCACCTCTGTAGACTCCCTGCCTCTGTGTGGGTCGGTTTCCTGTCTGGGCCAGTGTTAGGCTTCCTATTTAATGATCTATTGGTAGCACAAGAGTTTTAAACTGTTTCAAATAAGCCCTTATGTTCCACTCCCCCCCTCTCTTGAATTATGTGCTTTTGTTTCTTACCACAACAAACTCACTTATTAGAGGGAAGATACCATAAAATATTCATTCTGAGCCAGATAATAGTCACAAATCTCAAAACTCCTCCTAATTCTTCCCCTGCTTACTTTTATTTAGTTCTTCTGTTCTTTGAAAGCAAACTTAAGACCAAAGCTCTGCTAATTATATTCCACAAAATATTAAGTGATTATTAAAGACAGATGGGGTAAATCTCAAATATAATCTGGGTTTTTTTTTAATAAATAGTCCAGGGTACAATGATTTGCTCTCTCCCAAGTGGTGCTCTGGGGGTGTCAGATAGTCTGCTTTTTTCAAGGAAAAAGGATCCCTGAAGCATCCCTCCTACTTTCCAAAAAAATCCTGAAAGCAGGAAAAATTACATTGCCAAGCCTCAGCAACGTACTCTGTTCAATATGAGCTGAAGCTGATTTTCATCAGAACACTGAACCTCCAGAACGCTGCCAAGCAACCTCACAGAAACTAAAAAGGCTCTGTGGAACAAAGCACAAAATACTGTAAGTAGAAGGAGCCTGAATAACCCTAGCTACACTGAGTCTTCTATTGTGCAACAGCATAAGAGGTACAGAAAATATTATAATACTTTCATGGTGGGCTCTTGCAATACATTTTGTGACAAACATCTGGAGTAGCAGCCTGCTTCATGTCCCCCATCTGATTTGCCCCATTAATGGACAAGCTTTCAGCTGTTCTGCCCCTGCTCTGGATCTCCACTTTCCCCCTGTGTCTCCTGCGTCAAGACCAATCTTTTCAATTGCCTTTTCAGTTACCTTCACCCCCACCTGGACCTTCAGGTAATAATCACCCTTGCATTTCGTACAGCACCTTATCACGTCTTTGAGATGTCTCAAAGCGCTTCAGAGAATATACTCTGTCTGTCCAGCGCCTTGGGACGTCCTCCTGAAGTGAAATGCACTTTACAAATGTAATTTTGTTGTTGTATGCTGTAAAGTGGGCGAAACAATACTGTAGTTATGGCAACCTATTGGAAAGTGCCAGTATGATTGAGTGTTGACCCACTCTTGTTCTTCTGCAGGTGAAGTGATGGTAGTGATTGGGTGGTGGTTGCCACTCCTCTCTTAGCAGTGGATATCCCAGTTTTCTGTATTTTGATTTCATGGAAAACTGCAGTGTGTGTGGGTTAATTAGTTGGGTTGCGGGTGACCAGTTGGTAGTATGGTGGGATACTGACGGTAGCAGAGGTCCTACTGTGCAATGTGGAACTTGTTCTTCTGTTTCTGAAAAGGTTCCATTTTCTTTTGAGTTAGTTGCCCAGTTTGGGGGGCATCATCTCACAATAGATCACTTAACATGAGATCATTAGGGCTCGTCACAACTCAACGCAGACTTTCGGGATAAAAAGAAATTTGAGGGTGTGTGAAAGTGTGTACACTGAGGCTGAAAGCATTCCAGGATGCTGCCTCAGGTGAAGGGCGCTATACAAATGCAAATTGTTGTTAATAGGGACAGTGCTCAACTCCGTACACAGCTGGAGATTTGAGAGGATCGCTTGTGACAAACAACAATTCCCTGGCTTTATTCATCGCGGTAATGTTTAAGGTTCAGGAGGATCAGCCACCTTTCGTAAAAAATTGTGTGTGATATCTACCTGTTCGGAGGATCCTGAATGGATCGTTCGGAGAATGTCTGGGAGAGAAGCAGTGGAATTTGAGATAACAGGATAAAGACATATACTGGGATTCAAAGTACTGTACTGTATGGTACATAGGACATTGTTCTGGATGACTGCCCTGTTATTATATAAGTTAGTACTTTGAGCAACAAGTCACTAAATTTGTTCAGATCTGCTGCACAATCTATTTAAGCAGAACTCCAAACAGCCAGATTTTCCCATCATTCATTTAATGTTACAGCACAGCAACTGGGCGACTGAAGAGAATTTTATAAACTACTGTGGCTTAAAGTACCGATCTAGTCAGAGTTTTATTGAAAACATTTGACAATTGACCTGCACAAAAACATTCAGGTACGGAGTAATGGGTATTTAAGAAAATGTTATACATTTTTGTGCCATGTGTTTCTACAGCTGCTGATGTGGCCTTTTTGCAATTGTAACCTGCATGTCTTTCGCTCCTAATTTCCACGCTGCCCGCCCATCTTTCTTTCCATTGTAGTTTAGTCATGCGAGGCTCCCAAATAGTTTCTAAATCACAGACCAGCTTTCCAGTGACTGACTTCGACATAGACCACTGAAGAAAAAAAACCTCTTGCAACTAGCTATTATGTAGCTTTAAAACAAATCCACCAGGAGATACGGTTCCAACAAAACTATCGGGATAACTGATCACACAATAATAAATCACTTAACTTACAACCCACGTACTTGTGCTCTTCATCTACTTTTCTGCTACACTGTATCGCAAGCTGCAGACATCAAAATGACATGCAATTTAATTGTAACACTACCCGTCTTCAAATTCTCCTCCGAGTTTTAAAATGCTTGTACGGTCTTCTAAACTCGAGTAGGAAAACACAGTAGTGTTTTTTTTAAAACAACCATGTAATAGCCGACTAGGATAGTAATGATTCATTCTATTCATTTGATTTCACGAGCTTGAGAAATGTTTCTTGATTTGGATGGAGTTTAGAAATGGTTTCCGTTCTCATTGTTTAGTCATATCAATTTTACAACAGCCACATATTGCTCTTATATTGATAAATAAATCACTGCCTTAAAACAGTTGTCACTAGTCATAAATCACCAGTTACATATATATAAAATCAATGTATTGGACAAGATGGCATTTTAATTACACGTTGTCCTTGCATTACAATGTTCGACAGTCCCATTTTAAATAACCATGATGTTTATTGATAATTAGTCAGGAAATAGGCATGTTTATTACTGAAGACTGAAATATTTATCCTTAAGACATCATTGAAATTTTAGTCACCTGCAATGAATTTATAGCAAATGCCACAACAATCATGAAAACCACAGCAAAGATGTGAAAAGAGTCTCAGGGAGCTTCGCCACGTAAATAGGTGGCTGACAAAAGCTTTACCCAATATTGTGCCAAGGCCAACACAAATCTACACTGCAGTCTATATGGTGCACTATATATAGCACACGGTAACATATATCCTGAACTATAGTATCAAGAGCATGCAATGCATTTGTTCTGGGAGTAAAAAAATGAAACGCTTCCTCTCTGCCACCATTTTGTCAAACCCTGCCTTTTTTTAAAAAAAATAAATCGTTTTGCAGAAGTTGCTTATTTCCTTCCCCCTCCAACCCCCACTCTCTCTGTTCACATATATTTTATCCCCCCCACCCCTTTGCTATTGAAAGCCAGAACCCAGCACGTTAACGCAGTTTGCAGACGAGGCGATTAAGGAGGTCCACTCCCGACTTTTACTGTCGCTTTAATTTAGAAAAACAGATACACACACGCGTGAAAATAAAAAGTCTGACGAACGGGTCGAAAAGGAAGTGTGTGGGGGGGGGGGGGTCTAACTTTGGTGGTTTTGTTTTAAAAAACAATGCAGAGATCTGTTTTCGTTTTCAAAGAACCAGAAGAACCAGATTATTCCCAAACACAACGATTGCTGAATAAAACGCCTAAAGAAATACAAACACTACACACACACACACACACAGAGACAGTCTAAGCTGCGAGTTCGTGTTTCCCGTACTAAACATTTTAATGATTTCACTCTCTCCCTTCCCTCGGGTCTGGAGGTTGGTGTGTGTGTGTGTGTGTAAACATATATATACACATATAAAATACAGGTGTGTGTAATAAAAAAACTCCCTTCAATTCACATTGAATAATTTTTTTTGCAGCCTCCGCCCAGCTCCACATCTACATACTCTGCGACAGACCCCCCCCCCATCACCACCCACCCCCGACAGCCAGAATCCAGCACATTTTGCAGACGAGGTGATTTAAGTCCCCACTCCCAACTACTGCTGCTTTTTTAAAAAATGTTTCAAACAATATAACGGGCACTACACACACACACACACGGAAGCCTCTGGACGGGTTTCAGGAGAGTTTAAAGGGGGCCAAACGCTCACTGGAGGAGTGGGGGGGTGGGGAGGAGAGAGAGAAACAAGCTGCTGTCGACTCTCACCTCATCTCACCCCGGAGGCCTCTTTCACCCCAACCCCCCCCACCTCTCACTCCAAGAGCCAAGCCACTAAGCCCCCACCCCCGGGGTGGGGGGAGGGACAGGTCACTACCCCCTCCCCCGGGGCCAGGCTTCTTCTCATCCGGAGACTTCTCTTCCCCCCCTCAACGGGCCTCTTCTTCTCACCCCTCAGACCAAGCTTCTCCCTGACCCGCGGGGAATAGGCCTCTCTCTCCACCCCCAGAGCCCTGGGGACCGAGCCAGAGACTCTGTCCCACCCCCTCCCTCGCCCCCGGAGGACCAAAGCTCTCCCAACCCCGGGAGCCAGGCCTCCTCCCCGTTCGGCCAGGCTCCCCGTCACACCAGAAAGGGAGGGGGGGCAGTTCTCTCTCTCTCTCTTTCTCTCTCTCTCTCGGTGGCCACTCCGCTCCAACGCGCCGCCTGACTCAGCAACGCCGGCCAACAGGCCCCAGGCTCACACACACACACGGGGGGGGGGGGGGGAATACGGCGCCAAACTGACCGTCAGCCCGGTGCCCAGCACGATCACGTCGTAGTCCTCATCCATGGCTGGTTGGTTAGCGGGGCTGGTGTGTGTGTGTGTGAGGGGGGCGCTGGCTGGAGGGATGGAGGCTGCGGTCGACGTCGGGCGGCGGCTAACGAGGAGCGACTCTCGCGCAGGCGCGGTGCGTCCACCTCTCCTCCCCCCCCCCCCCGGCTCGCTCGCTCACTCCCATCTGCGCAGGCGCGGCGCGTCCACCTCTCGCTCGCTCGCATTCCCACCCGCGCAGGCGCAGTCCGAACCCCCTTTCTTTGCACCGCCTCGCACGTCTCACGCGCCGCTCCCCATTCGCGCAGGCGCAGTGCCTTCGCCTCGCCACCACCCCTTTCTCGCGCGCCCACCCCGCGCCACTCGCGCGCAGGCGCAGTGCGCGGTGCGCGCGGTGGTGGGTGGGGGAGGGCGGGACACGTCGCGCGCGGAGTTCGTTAGGAATTCGAAATCGCCCCGCGTTCGTAGCCCAAAGTCCCGCTGAGTCCCCGCACACCCGCACCGCCCTCCCCCGCGACTAGCCCAAAAAGTAGCCCAACACTCATGATAATCCTTTGCACTTCGCCCACAAAATACACAGTCACTCCACTTTGCAGCGTCTCCCGCGAAGCGCCTCTGAGGCGTCTCGAAGGCCCGAGGCGGCGCGATGTCGAATGCAAGTGTTGTTGTTGTGCTGATGAATTGTTATGCATTGCTGAGGTACTAAGATTACAAACGTGGTCTTGTTGTTGTTGTTGTTGCTGTTGTTGTGGCTGTTGTCGTCGTCGTCGTCGCCGCCTTCGAGGCGTCTCAAAGCGCTTCCCGGGATGTACCGTAAAGTGAAGCGACCGTGTGCGTAGCACGGCAGCGCCCCACAAACTGTCGTCACATGCAAAGGGAATATTATTGTTGTTGTTGTTATTATTATTATTGTACTGAGTGGCCAAATTATTAATTATGATTGTTATCGCCCTCCAAAATACACAGTCACTCCACTCGAGCGCGTATCCCGTGAAGCGCTTTGAGGCGTCTCGAAGACGTGATAAGGCGCTGTACCAAATGCAAGGACTGTCATTGATATCCTTATTGTCATTATTATTAATATTATTGTTATTAATATAATTATTGGTATTAATGTTATTATTGTTATCGATGTTATTATTGTTGTCATTATTGTTGTTATTGATATTATTGTTAATATTGTTATTATTGATATTATTGATACCATTATGGTTATTATTAATACCGTTATTAATATTATTATTGTTATTATTGCATCTATCATTATCATCATTATTATTATCATCATCATCATCATCATCATCGTTATGTTATCGTCTTATTTATTATTTTCTACTGGGGAAAAAAAAATCCCGCTGTTCGCATACCGAACGCCGGCATTTCGAACGGCTTTCTTTCCAGAAAGGAACGTAATGATAATAATAATAATATAATAATAATAATCTGCTCTCGATGACCTCCGTTAACTTTTAACGTGCGTTTTGACGAGTAACGCAGCCTTCCGGTTTGACTTGGCGACAGTGCGGTCGGATATATTACGTCTCCGGAGAGCGGGGGGGTGTAGTTTTCAGCCGCTGTATTAATATTAATAACGATCACCCGCGCGTTTGATAGAGCGCCTTATCACCTCGTTGCGACGGCTCAAAGCGCTTCGCGCAACATACTGTAACGCGCGTATTTTATGGAGCGAAACGCGGCGGCCAACCACACAGCAGTGTCCCGCAAACAGTTGTGGATTATTATTATTCAATCATTTATTTTAAAAAAGTGCTTATTACCCCCAGAACATGATCCGCCGATCGACTGACACGTGCGGCATTGGATCAAAATGGCGAGATTTGTAAAATAATTTCTTTCCCCTCACCCTCCACCCCCCACCCCCCCCCCCACACTCGTCTCCCACCCGCAGCTCGGGTACCGAATCAGGACCATTAAGTGCCTCGGGATGTCCTCCCGACCTGAAAGGCGCCGCACGGATGTAAATTGATCGACTTTTTTTTCTCTCTCTCCGTTCCTCCGCTCGGCTGGCTCTCCTCCTGCTTGTCCCTCGTCCGCCCCGCTCCACCATCGGCCGCCGTACTTTCAGCCGCTGGGCCCTGAAGCTCTGGAACGCTCTCCCCCAACCCCCTCCGCCTCGCCCCCGCCTTCCCGTCTTTTAGCTCACAGCTGAAGACCTTCCTCTTCGGCCGTGCTCACGGTCACCTTCTCCCTCCCCCCCCCCCCCCCCACCGCTCGGCGACAGTGAAGCTGTTAAGCGCTCCGAGACGCTGCCCAGCGCGAAGTTGCGCCTTATAAGTAGAAGTTGTTGCTGTTGTGGGTACCGTACTTTAGAATTAAAGTCGTTTACACCTTAAAGTGGATTTAATTGCTCCTCCGTGTTGGGAGGGGCGAAAGCAGCAGCGCTATTCGCCGGATTGTACGGCAAAGACGAGCTGACCGACAGCCGAGAGGGAGATCTGCGGGTAGGGGACCTCAACGCAGTTTTACTTCCCCTTTTGCTGTTTGGGTGAGGTTTGGTTCAAAGAAAAACTGAAGTCGCTGAGACAACAGGAGCTCCAGATGGATCCTTAATTCAACAATCATAGTAGGAAGTGGCACCACGGCTGTCATTTCAGTTGCTGCGTCTGCTTTCCCAGTGACAGAAGTCATTCTGAAAGCAATTTACGTTTGATGGCAGTGGGAGATTGGCAGGAATGCCTTTCTTCAGGTGCCAAGTATTGTATTCATCGGTGACAGGGATAACTTTTGCTTCTCGTAGAACGGTACAGCACAGACGCAAAGCCAAGTCTGCTCTGCGTTTTTGGCTCCACACGAACTGCGTAAACCCAGTGGGGCGTTGTATAAATGCAAGTTGTTGGTGTTGAATCAATAGAGCCAAGAGCCACACGTGGTTTCATGTTGGGTCTTGGTGTGGCTCACGGTCAACGACAACTTGCATTTATATCGGGCCCCTCACGCGGGAACATCTCAGAGCGCTGAGCTTCAGCAGAAAGCACGCGTCTCAGATAACTCCCCCCGACATTTTGCATCCGGAGATGTGCGCGGCTGTTTAAACTCCTTGTTTGTCTTTAAGTCGTGCACTCGGCTGACCCATTTCGCCCAGAAAATATAGGCAATTCACTTTACAGTCTAGTCTGTGAAGCGCTTTGAGACGTCTAGAAGATGTTATATCAAAATATATCATCTAGAAGAACGCTATATCAAATGCAAGAATGATACTATTCTTATATTTTTTTGAATATTCAACTGAAATAGCCCTCTACAATAATACTCGTCTCAATAAAAACAATCAGGGCGAAATTATTTTCAGTGCTCAGATCGACACATAATAATAATAATACTTGTATTTGATATAGCGCCTAATCAATCGTCGAAAGATCTCAAAATGCTTCACGCAGTTATACGGTAGAGTGAATTAACTCTATATTTTTGTGGGCGAAACTATCCGATTTATCTGTGAATCAACATTTTCTGCGATCACTTTCAGCAAAGGAAACTACAGATCTCTCTTGACAGACGAACGTTCGGCGGCGGAACCGTGCTGTGCGTTTGCATAATCGTTTCCATCGAATTTGCAGAAATTGGTAGAGATAAACAACTGTCAAATCTCACACCAAGGTGTTTGTTTTCGTGCCGCCAAAATCTACTTATGTTCGCGTTTTGCTGTGGCTTATGTGGTTTCCTTGGGTTTGCCTTTCTTGAAAAGGGTTACGCTGGGCAAGTTTCTTTACTCCACACGCCTCCGATTACCTCGTAGTAAGTAGTAACCCGCTTGTTAGTTGATCGCGTTTCCGGGGGCAATAATTCCTTCAAAACAAATAATAATTACAAATGAATCGCTTCAATCATCCACCACTGTTTGTGGGTCTCCGTTGTGCGCGATTAGCTGCCGCGTTTCTCCCACAAAATATACAGTCAATTCACTTTGCAGTATATTCTGTGAAGGGCTCTCCAAGACGTGATAAGGCGCTATATCAAAATACAAGGATTATCGTTATTATTATTATTATCACATACTTATGCGGAGGAAATTCTGCGATTTGTTTCATTTTTCAATTGGTGTTCTTGAGCCACACTTGTTTCTTCGTACAAATCTGCGTTCGACCGCACAAGCCTAACCTAACGCACAACCTTCTGACTTCAGAGGCGAGAGCGCAACCGTTGCGCCAGACTGACACAGCACAGCATCACCAGAGTAATGCTGAGTAGAAGGGGATCTTTGTGCGATTATCCCAGTCATTTCGAGATTCAGTGAAGGAGGTTGCCGTAATTGCGCAATCACGTGGACGTGTTAACCACACCGGCTCCTGCGAATAACACAGGATGTGAACAGTAAGAGATAACCTGCCAAAATGCTTCTCAGTGGGGTTCTGAGCCCCCTGCAGTCCAGGAAGGTCCAATCTGCATTACCCGAGCTGACCTCAGAACAGATGGACAGAGAAGCTACAGCAACTGACAAAGGAGATGCCTTTGTCGATGGGGGAAAATTCAACCAGGGTTCCCGTTATGGTGACTATTCCTCGGAAGTGTTTTCCGACGTCTGATGAGAGGTTTGAGCTTGGCTCCCTCCGCACAGTCAAGTATAATAGTTACAAAACGGCTCTTCAAACAAATGACTGCGGGAATGTGGAATGTACAGCTTCAGGCAGGTGCACGGATGCAGCGCTGACTCGAGGTGTTAACAACAACAACAACAGCAACAACATGATTCCATTTAGAGAGCGCCCTTCACGTCGGGAGGACGTCCCAAGGCGCCGGACAGTTGGGTCAGGACCCGGGCATTGGGGGGAAATGGTCAGGGAGAGGGGAGGGAAGGGAGGGAGCGAGGAGGGGGTAGAGAGTCGAGAGGGGAGCTGAAGGCTCGGTCAAAGAGAAAGGTCTTGAGACCGGCCTTGAAGGAGGAAAGGGAGGAAGCAAGACGAAGGCACCGGGGGATGGAGTTCCAGAGCCTCAGGGCTGAGAGGCTGAAGGCCACCGATGGTAGGGCGGTTGGGGCGGGGGATGTGGAGCAGACCGGAGCCAGAGGAACGGAGGGTACGGGCAGGTAAGTAGGGAGATAGTAGGTCGGAGAGGTAGGAGGGAGCGAGGCCGCGAATGGCCTTGTAGGTGAGGATGAGGATCTTGAATTCGATCCTCTGGGGGATGGGGAGCCAGTGGAGGCGAGCGAGGGTTAAAGAAAGGGACTGGTACGTACCACGACTTGCATTCATGTAGCGTGCTTCATGTCGGATAACATCTCGGAGTGCTGCAGGAGACGGGAGATGGGGGGAAGATGGAAGTGGCCGTAGGCGCAGTCAAAGAAATAGGTTTCGAGGTAAGACTTAAAGACGGATGAAAAGGGAGAGGGGTTAAAATTGGTGGGGCCAACACCCTTTTAAAAAAAACCTCCAGAACTCTGAGAAGCTATCCACTGCGAAGGAAGCTATAAGGGATGCAAGTTGCTGCTGTTGTGATTCTTTTTCGGTAAAAGTCAGTAATTTATGAAATTTGCGTCGGTTCAGTGTGGTTCAGGAGGGAGCACGCTTATATATCGAAATCTCTCAAAGTGCTTCACCCAACGAGAGGCACCCAAAGTACGTTTATAACCATTTTACTTCCCACCAGGTGCAATGCTCCTCTTGTTTCCTTTCGTCTGTGCTTTTAATCAAAGTCCCCACCTCGCCTCTCCATGCTATAAATGTTCACAACAAGATTCATTTCATTTATGGAGCGCGTCGAGATCAATGACTGGAACAGATCACCGGGAAAGATGGTTAATAATGCCTTCAAACTAATAATCACAACAATAATAATTTGGTGACTCAATCCCCGACTGTTAGTTTCGCGGCAGTCCATTCACTTTACAGCATATCCCGTGAAGCGCTTCGAGACGTCTCGAAGCCGTGATGAGGCACCATGTCAAATGCAAGGAGTATTATGATAAGTACAGCAGACGCTGGCGATAGCACAGCGTGGCAGCGAGCTGAGACAGGCTGCTATTCTGCCCGGTCCCTGCTGTTTACAATAGCGAGCATTCTGCCTTGAAGAAACCACAGGTCAATGATGTGTAACCTTGAGGGAGGGGGCGGGGGAGCCAGTTGACGTGGCAATGAATTTCATTGATACGCAGGAAACAGAAGGTGTACAGGCCTATATCTCTCTACCTTCCGTTACGTCTTTCCTGAGTGTCGAGTAGAAGTTTGGACACATCCATTCAAGCATCTCCGACGGTTTTAACGGCACGCACGTGTTTTTTTTTCTCTCTGATGTGGGTCAGTGATTGCAGCTGGCTTAGTCAGTGCACCAATGGAGCCAATTATTGAGGGGGTGGATTAAATTAAGATAGTCATTGAGTGAATGCCAATGCAACATTGTACGTATTGTGCTCTCACACTGCAAGCTTCTCCCCTTAATGTCAAATGACAACACCCTGATTCCCTCTCCGCTTTGGCAGCCTCCGTCATCCCCGTTTACTCCGTTGGCTCTGTAAACTCCGGCCTGCACCACAGCCCTTCGAGAACTTTTGTCGTAGAGATTTGACGTCCACCTTGGAGAGAAGTACAGCATCGTGATTTCAAAATATATCCTCCTGCACTGAGCCTCCTCACTTCCCCTTTAGTGTCGAGACGTGTTTCCTCCCGTGCTCTGCCATGGGCCGCAATCGTGCTATTATGGCAAGAAGCCAGTCGCTTCCTCCTTACGACCAGTCACTGGGGGCAGGGGCAGCCATCCCACTCAGGTCCTGTTAACCCTGCAAGTCAAAGGCCTTGAAGGGTAGGGTGGTCCTAGCTGGGCAAGCAGCTGGAAAACTAATCAGTCAGCAATATCAATGGCTATGCTGTTATAGCTGGTTAGACTCCAGCAGTTACCCCAACACACTCTGGGTGCCCCCCGCCCACCCTCAAGCCTTGGCTCTTGCCAACCTGCGCCCAACGCTTTCTGCAATTAGGTAAGCAGGATGTGTCTGACCACCCATCTGCTGAGCTTGCTGTCAAGGATGTTGTTAACAAAACTAAAGTACGTGAGGAAGGGAAAATACTTAAGGGAAGTTTCACCGTAACCACAAATACATTAAACAGATCACATTTATATATCGTGCTTTAATGGCAAGTTATGAGGTTTTTAACTGGTTACACCCCAGCAGTTACTTAATACTTTCCGGGATTAGGTAAGCAGGATGTGTCCCTCGAGGGAGAGAGAGAGACAATCTATCTCTGGAATTTCTACGTGCAGGTGGGATGCATGGAATTCCCAGTTTGGTTTGGATGCTCTTAAGCAACGGTGATGGGTTTCCAAACGTTCCAGACACCCGGCTGACCAAAAATAAATCATGCCTTTCACACCGGGAGGTCATCTCGAAGTGTTTTCCACAACTGGCTGGGTGCCTGGGTTGGGAGGGGAGATGACCAGAAGCATAGCCAAAGAGGTAAGTCTGAAGTGGGCTATAAAAATACTCCATACAAGCCTCCACCCCTTGCAATCGCCTCTCCTGTACACCTCTGTTCTACATCTATGCAATGCCAGAGAACACAGCATCTTGTTCCAGATCAATGTATTAATCAAATCCACGGTGTTGTATAGAGGAAAACACAGTCTGCTGTGTATTATGCAGTGGTCGCCTTCAGCTTTCAGGCGCTTTCAGCCACTACTCCCCAAAACTGTGGAACACTCTCCCTCAATCCCTCCGCCTTGACACCTCTCTTCGCTTTTTCAAGTCCCACCTGAAGACCTTCTTCTTCGATCGTGCTTATGGTCATCTCTGCCATTCCCCCACCCCCACACACACACCCCAGCACGGGTCAGGCTCCGCAACTGTTAAGCTCTCTGAGACTTTACCCTGCGTGGGTGGTGGGTGGGTGGGTGGGGTGGGGGGCGCTATATAAATGCAAGTTGTTGTTGTATTATACACAGAATAACAGCCTGGAACGTGTTCTATACAGGCAAAACACAGTCTGCAGTGTGTTTTATTCACAGCGTTACGAAATCATTCCATTCCAACAATCTGTCTCTGGAATTTCTACGTGCAGGTGGGATGCATGGAATCCTCAGTTGGTTTGGATGCTCTTAAACACAGTGATGGGTTTCCACGCGTGCCAGACACCCGGCAGCAAGAAAAAAACAGGAAGTAACAAAAACGTGGGCATCCAGGGGTGTTAGTATGCAAGCAAAAGTCAAAGGTTTATTTTGTTTTAAGTGCACTACAGTACGATGGAAAGTCAACGCAACTCATCAAAATATCTTGTCGACAAGGGGACCGGCCATTCGGAGTGCATTGCTTCATAAGTGCGCGTGTGCGGGAGAGGGAAATGCTTCCAAATGCGATCAGATGAATAGCTTTACCTGGAAGCGGTTATGTTTTCCAGGGCTTTGAGGACCTCAGCTTTCCTGACCAGCTGGCTTGCCAGAGTCCCGCTGTTATCAGGAGAATCGTCCAGCCCTGCCTCTGTGAGCACTCTGACGCACTCCGAGTGCTGGCCTGCGCAGGCCATGTGCAGAGCTGTGGCCAAAGGAAACAGACTGGAAATAAATCGAGCCACGATGCCACCACGCGCGACAAAATACAAAACACACCTCCTCTGCTTCTCCTTTGCCGTCTCGACTCTTGTTAGAATTTCAATTAGTCTTCTTTGCATTCGCACCATTTTGTGAACACGTCAGCCTGGCTCTTTGAGTCAGAAGTCTGTGGGGTTCAAGCCCCCACCTGGCGACTTTGAACCCCTACGTAATCTGGGCTGACGCTCCAGTGCAGTGTTGACGGTGAGTTGGATTGCAAGAGCCAAGGCTCGGGGGGACCCCCAGAGTGTGCATTGGGGTAACTACTGGAGCTAAAACCATTGCAGCTTGCCATTGATATTGGCAAACTTTCCCGGTGCTTGTCCAGCTAGGACCACCCTACCCGTGAGGGCTTTGGCTTGCAGGGTTAACAGGAGCTGAGTGGGAGGATTCCCTACCCCCAGTGACTGATCTGCCCTTCCAAGTCCGGCCGATGAGTCAGGCCGGGCTGAAATGGGGATAGGCGGTGAGTCCTATTCGCGCACCGCTGCCCCGATGTGCTTACACTGGCCACTAGGCGGCGTGTTAGAGTAACTCAGCTTCGGTTCTCAGCTCCCCCTCCAATGCCTCGTTTCCCTTTGCCATAACCCCTCCCTCCCATAATCCATAATAATAATAATAATCCTTACATTGGATACAGCACCTTTCATGTTGGGAGGACGTCCCAAAACACTTAACAGGAGATGTATATATGTAACACATCGCTGTGTGTGTATATATATATACACTGTAAAGTGTAGTGACTGTGTATTTGGCGAACGAACCCGGCAGCCCAATTTCTAGCAAAAATACTGTGAGACATGAGCAGCGCTATATCGAGGGCAAGGAGTATTATGATTCTGTGGCGGGCTGTCAACTGTTATCTCCGCGTTGCTTTGGGTACCCCGTGCGTTCAACCCAGAAGACAAAGATTGTGGCACATACCAGAGCGGCCTTTGGCATCCTTTGCGTGCACGTCAGCTCCTAACACCAGCAGAGTCTGTATGGTCCCCGCATGGCCCTCCTGTAGTGTCAAAGAAGCAGACGTTTGACACGTTGAACCGACGCAATAAATTACAGCAAATAAGCGAATTCAACCCTAATTAACTCTCAGTTAACGGATGATTCTTCAACTTCAACAACTGAAGCTGATGGTTTTAAAGTGGTCAGCAGGAACCCCGTGGTCAGTCGATTGGTGGATCGCTTTCCCCGGGGGGTAATAATCCCTTCGAAAAACAAAATGAATGATAATAATTTGGTCACTCGATCCACGGCTGTTTGTGGGACGCTGTTGTGCGCAATTGGCTGCTGTGTCTCGCCCACGAAATACAGTCAATTCACTCGATAATATATTCAATATATTCTGTGAAGGGCTTTGAGATGTCTCAACGAGGTGCTAAGGGACTATATCGAATGTAAGGATTATTATTATATTATTATTAATCTCTCTTCCGCCCCCACCGCCCACCCCCCACCCAGGCCAATGATTGACAGCTGACCTTGGCTGCGTAGTGCACGGCTGTGAGCTCCATGCTCGTGGCTCTCTGGTTGACATCCACGCCTTGCCCCCTGACCAGGAAACACAGGGCGACATCCTGAGCTGTGACCGAAGCTCGGTGCAACGACAGAGCTCCTAGTTTGTCAGCAACTGCGACGTTGGCCTAAGAACAAACAGTTACTCTGTGAGATCCTCGGCTCGCAACAAAACCTGCCCCGTCCTAACCTAATGACGCACTCTCATCCGATGAGCTTTATCACGACAGCAACCATTTTACGTTTAGATTTCACGTCAAGAGGACGTGAAACAAGAGCCAACTGAGGGCTCAACCTTAATGGTAATAATAATAATCCTTGCATTTGATATGGAGCATTATCACTTTGTTGAGGTGTCTTAAAGCTAATGTATGTTTTGTGGGCAAAACATGGTAGTCAATTGTGCACAGCGGAGCCCCACAAACAGCCATTAATTGGGGCGGAGGGATTTTTACTCCGGGTAGCGATCTGCCAATCAAATAACAACCGGGTTATTGACTACTAGTTAAACAGAGGTGTGTGGAGTAAGAAGACTTGCCTAAGGTTTTGCCCCACCCGGGAAACGAACCCCGGTCCTTTTGCTTGGTGGGATGGTTCAACAAGATAAGGTGCTATAAGAGGCACGTTCATCTATAAAATAAAATACACAGTCATTACACTTTATGGTAAGTCTTGATGTGAAAGGCGCTGTATCAAATGAGAGGATTATTAGTATCTGCAATAGTTATTTGCTTCTTTCTTTTCACCCAAAGGTGGGTAATTGGAGTTGAGGTACAGATCAGCCGTGATCTTAATAGCATGGCGGAACAGGCTCGAGGGGCTGAATGGTCTCCTCCTGTTCCTGTGTTCTTACACCGAGTCTACCTTATGCTTCTCCAGTAGGAGTTTGGCAGTGTCGATGTGTCCGTTCTGCATGGCGTCCATGAATGGGGTGACTCCACAGCTATCTCGGGCATCTGGCACGTATTGGCATCTGCAGACAAGCAAAAACAATGGGTCAAATCTACATCCCTCTCGATCACAATAAATCAGAGATCGCTGTTACAAACAACAACAACAACAACACGACTGTGTGCGCTCGACTCAGATAGAGGAGAGAGAGAGAGAGAGGGTGTGACCAATAATTATTCACAGATTGTGGAGTCCTGTTAGAGCACTCGCCTCGCAAGCGAGAGGATCCAGGTTCGATTCCTGGGTCTTGGGTGCGAATATGCCCTCTTTCCTCGGAGGGACGCGCCTTGAAGGAGGCGAGGGAAGGAGCGAGGCAGGGGGACTGTGGGATGAAGTTCCAAGGGGTTGGGGGCAGAGAGGCTGAAGGCCCGATCACTGACGGTGGACGTCGAGAGGACGTCTCAAATCGCTTCACAGGATTTACTGTAAAGTGTGGTGTGTTTCCTGTGTATGCGGCAGCTGATTTGCAAGGAGAGCTTTCCACAATTCCCACATCAGCCTTCAGTTTGAAGTCAAATTGGCGAAATAAAAACGGGTGAAAGCTCAGGGCTCGGGGCTGGGGGTTGAGGGGGGGGGGATGGGAAGGGGATAGGGTGGGGAGAGAACCCTGCTTGACGTTCCTCCTCTACCCAACTCAGGAAAGCACGCAAACCTTCTCATTAGGAAGATTTCACTCAAGATTTGCTGCAAACTTTCTCCAGCTCAAAGGACGTTTCCCCCCCACCCCACCCTACCCCATCCGCCACCCACTCCCCCCCCACCCACTCTCCCCCTCCTCCCCGCAGCTCTCAGAACTCCAGCGTTAAAGAGTCACTCGGTTCCTTTGTAAGAGAGTGAGTGGCTCCCCATTGATTGCAGTGCACAATGGAGCACTGTCAAGAGCAACGCTCCGGTACAATGAAATTGTCAGCAATAAATCGCTGGTCACAGATAAGACAGCAGGGGTGACGACGGGATCTGTCAACACCAAGGCTTTCAAACAACAACAATGCCTTTGCATCTGCTGTTTTTTCCCCCTAAATCAGCATTCACAAGCGAGACATTGAGGATGTTTTCCTCCTTTTCCTTCCCCCCCCCACCACCCGCGCCCCCCCCCCCCGCTCCTTATTCCACGCTATGCATCAGTTCTACTGTGTGTCCCGGCTGACAATCCCCCGAGTAAAATCGGTCGTTCGCTTCATGGCTGTCTGTAAGGCATTGCTGTACGCAAATTGGTGGCCGAGTTAACCTACAAAATATACAGTCAGTTCCTGTAGCTCAGCGGTTAGAGCACTCGCCTCGCAAGTGAGAGGACCTGGGTTCGATTCCCGGGCAGGGCGAAACGTGGGGCAAGTTTCCTTACTCCACGCGCCTCTGTTTAACCAGCAATCAATAAGAACCCAGTTATTAGTCGATTGCCGGATCGCTTTTCCGGGGATAATAATCCCTTCAAAAATAAAATCAAATAATAATAATCCACGACTGTTTGTGGGGACACTGCTGTGCGCAATTGGCTGCTGCGTTTCGCCCAGAAAACATACAGTCAATTCACTTTACAGTATATTCTGTGAAGCTCTGTAGGTAATTCGCTTATAAGTACGTAGTCACTAGATTTTACAGTATATTCTATGAATTGCTTTGAGATGCTATTCCGACATGTAAGGAACTATACCAACTGTAGTTATCATTATAATAAGTGGGTACTTTGGGGCCCGGTGGGGGTTCATAAAATCCCAACCAGCGCTATAATGCCCACACGATCACTGGTCAGTGCTTCTGCATTCACTGCTCATGCACTCGGGAAGCCAAAACTCTGCCCAGCCCAAGGGGAGAAGTTTTGCAATGACGATCCCAACCAACAGAGGGCTGAAGGACTCGATCCTCCCACAACAACAACAACTTGCATTTATAAAGCACCCCCCCTCAGGCAGGGGATGGGATCACTGGTCAATGCATTATGGGGAGATTCAGCTGTGGACATGTAAGCACAAGCGCATCTCAGTTGGAGGTCTCCCAGGCAGTGTAACTGATAAGAACAGAGACTACAATCGATCTTAGCTAAAAGATCGAGAACTCTTAACTTCCTCTGTTCCTACTGTCACGTTTCTTACTCCGATAAAGGAACTATTCCAACATGACCGACAAGAGTAAATCGCACTTGTACAGCGCCTTTCACGTTGGTAGGATGTCCCAAGGCGCTGGCTGGGGGTTTATGAAGGAGCTTTACCTTCTCAGGAGTATCTCCACCACTTCCAAGCAGCCGTGCAGAGCTGGAAAACACGAACACAAATGACGAACGTCAATCAGTGACTTGCACGCCTCGAGCTCACAAGAGCCACAACTGAAAGAGATGTAGCGTGGCCTTTCCTTCTTCACTGTGTTCCTCAAACACCGTGGCCTGATAATAATAATAATGATAATAATAATAATAGGAATCCTTGCAATTGATATTGCACCTTATCACGTCTCAAAGCGCTTCACAGGATATACTGTAAAGTGAATTGACTGTATATTTTGTGGGCGAAACTCGGCAGCCAATTGCGCACAGCAGCGTCCCCACAAACAGTCGTGGTTTGGGTCACCTAAGTATTATTACTTTTTTTAAAAATGTTATTTGTTTATGTGTTTCAACGCTTATTGGAAAGAACCTGCGTTAGTTTTAGCGCCTGTAATGTCAACCTAGGTCTCAAAGAACCGCAGTGCAAAAATAGCCATTGCGTACGTAACAAGGTCCCATGGATAGCTGTGAGGTGAATCACCATCTTATCTGGAGGATAGTTGGCCAGGACGCTTAAAGAAACATTGCCTTTTTTAACAGGATCTCTTAACCTTTTAACGTGTGCTCTCCCAGTTTCACTCTTCCCTCAGAACTGCAGTGGAGCGTCAGCCTCGACTGCGAACCTAGTCTTGAAACCATTAACGGCAACTGGGTGGTGGGGACGCGGTTGAACTCTCTGTGCTGGAGGCTAGAGTGCCGAGCAATGAGTCCTGGTTCCCTGGTAAACGCACAATCTTTCCATCTCACCTCTCTTTATCTATCTTTAAATCCCACCCTAAGACCTACATCGCCAATTACATCTATAGTTATCCCCCGCCCCCACTTTGCTCGGCGTCTGATATTAATAATAATCCTTGCATTTGATATAGCGCCTTATTACGTCGCTGAGACGTCTCAAAGAGCTTCACAGAATATACTGTGAAATGAATTGAATGTATGCAGTATATTTGTGGGAGAAACACAGCGGCCAATTACGCACAGACCCGAGACGCGATCCTGCGTGAAGGGAGCTTTACAAATGCAAGTTGTTGTTGTCACGATCTGTGTAAGATGATTGTCAGAGAGAAAGCAGCTCTTCGTTGGAGACTGGTGGGGGTGCGTGGCTCAGTTTGATACGAACTGCACCATCACCCACAAAATGCACAGTCACTCGGCTTTACAGTATATCTCGTGAAGCGCTTTGAGACGTCTCGAAGACGTGATAAGGCGCGATTATCAGACGCAAGGATCACATCTGCAGTGTAATATTTGCTGTACCAAGCTCACGGAGGGACCTCTAACGGCAGAAAATGGCCACAGCACATCACTGACTGACTCACTGACTTGGACTGCAGCTGCACATTTTCTATGCAAGGGGGCGCTCGCTCGCTGCCTTGATAAAAGTCCGCTCGCGTCTAAACGTTATATGATGTAATAATAATCCTCGCGTTTGATATAGCGCCTGATCACGTCTTCGAGACGTCTCCAAGACACTTACTTTACAGTACATCCTGTGAAGCGCTTCGAGACGTCTCAACGACGTGATAAGGCGCTATACCAAACGCAAGGATTATGATTATTATTATTATTACTATTTTTCCTCGAGCGCGTCGACCCGATTCCCTTTCAGAAGCTCCCTCGGGAATTCATGGAAGGGCCGCTGCTACCGAACCCCCAGCCCCCTCACCAGCGGTGTGCAAGGGGGTCCTGCTTATCTTGCTCCGCGTGTCCCAGACCCCCGGGCTGACCTCCAGGAGGTAACGGACGATTGCGGGATCGCCCTCCCGACAGGCGACGTGGAAGCTGTTCCAGCCGTCCTTGTTCTTCAGCCCTGGGTTTGCTCCGCTTTCAATCAGGTCTCGGATCACCTCGAGGTTCCTCCTGGCGCAAGCCATCATCAGCGGAGTCCTGCAGGGCGACGAGCAGAGTTTAGCCCTTTTAAAAATAATCCTGACCGGTTTTATTTTGGGGGCGTCGGAGGGGGGGGGATTGTTGGCTCGGACGCTGGGATTGAGGGAGGGAGGGAGAGAGAAAGAAATTCCCTTCTCCTTTCCAATCGCCTCGCTGGACCTTTAACGTCCACGCGAACAGGCAGAAAGGCGGCGCCTGTGACGGCCCCCAGCCTAGATGGAGTGACATGACCAATTTTACCTGGGGGCGGGCGAGAGGGCGAGAGGGCGAGAGGGCGGGTCGAAGAGGGAGGGGTGGGAAGGGGGTGGTGGTGGCAGTGGATGGGTGGGTGGGTGGCTATTAACTCACCAGTCAGCTTTCTTCAGCGAGTCGACCTTGGCTCCCGTGGCGAGGAGGTAGCGCAGGCAGCGGGGGTGACCCATGGAGGCCGCCTCATGCAGCGGCCTCTTGTAGTCGGTGTTGGGCAGCTCCGGGTCCATACCCAGCTCCCCCACCAGGTAGCCCAGGAGCTCGGCGTGGCCGTGCCTGGCCGCGTGGTGGAGCAGAGTGTCTGCGGACTTGCCGAAGTGCCTGTTCGCCACCCTCTCCCTCGCTCCCGCGCCCTCGCCCAGCTCCTCTCTGAGGAGGGAGAGGTTGCCCTCCTGGGCCAACCTAACGAGGAGCTTGTCTTCGGGCATGTCAGCCCCCCCCCCCCACAGCGCGCGTCTCCTGCGCCCACTCCCCTCCCCTCAACCAACCACTCACCCACCCACCGCTTTGTCTAACTCATGGGTCTTGATTCAAACTCTTTTTTTATAACTGGGTGGGTGGGTGGGGGTTGTCTTTTTTCAGGTGCGCAGGCGCCGGAAGGGGCGCAGATAGCAGTGTGGAGGGGAGGGGGGAAGCGGGGTCAAGCGCCTGGGCTTTGGGGGTCCAACCGATGAGCGGGCGAGGGGTGAGTCTGCAACGAGCGCTCTCTCTCTCTCTCTCTCTCTCCCTGGAGGGGGTTATGCTGCTTGAGTTAAGCCTTTTGCGTTGTGGCCACCGTTGCGTGGGTGCGGAGGGTGGTGGGGGGGGGTGTGGGGGTTGGACCGGTGGGGGATGAGGCGGGGAGGGGGGGTAACTTCCGCCGTGTCGGGTGCGGGGAGAGTACGCCTGTCGCGAGGCTATGTTTGGCAAGGAGGACGGTCAAGTCAAGCTCGCCCTGTGCAGCAATGCACTGCTCTGGTCCTCTTGTTTATAGCGCTCTCTCTCTCTCTCTCTCTCTCCACAGCTGCCGTCTGCCTCTACGTCAGTTCCTCTGGACTCGTCAGCCCCCCGGGAGCTGAGCAGCTACAAGCACTCACTGGATCAGACCTCCCTCTCACGGCAAACCAACAACGGCCAGCGATTTTTCGCGCAGCCTTCACGAAACGCTTTGCGGAGAAGTAGGGAAGTCGTTCCGTTCCGTTCCATTCCTCCCACACACTACACAGTTCACTCCGCTTCGCGGTGTATCCTGCGAAGCCCTTCGAGACGTCTCGACGCCGTGATAAGGCGCTGTGTCACCTGCGAGGGTTATTATGATACGCGCGGCTGGAATTTCCACGCGGAGGCGGACGTGTGGTTTGGAGAATCTTAAGCGACGACGTGCGATGCGATACAATTGCGTTTGCGCAATGCAATTCACGTTCGTGCAGCGCAGTTAACACTCGCAAAATGTATCGCCCACGAAATACGCAGTCACTCCACTTTACAGTGCGTACTGTGAAGCCCTTCGAGATGTCTCAACGACGTGATAAGGCGCTTAATAATAATAATAATAATAATAATAATAACAACAAAAATAATAATCCTCGCATTTGATACAGCGCCTGATCACCTCGTTGAGACGTCTCAAAGCGCTTCGCGGGATAACACGGTAAAGTGGAGTGACTGTGCATTTCGTGGGCGACACGTTGGAAAGAAATCTCGCACAAATGGAAATCGTGCCGCAATTAATCGATGCAAGTAAGTTGGCTGTTGGCGGTGGTGATGTTTCCCAGGGAAAGCACACAGTACGACTACATGAGGCTGACGCATACCAAAACACCGAAGGCATCAGTTTCCTTTTAACCGTGTCTCATTAGCTGGTGTTTCTTGTCAATCACATAATTAGTGTGAAGCCGAAAGAGATGGGGTGGGGGGGGGGGGGATAAGAGCTGTGTGTGAGGTCCATTGATGCTGAGCTTGAGTTATAATAATAATAATAATAATGATTGTATTTTTACAATGTTTGTATCGCGCCCTTCCTGTCTGGTCTGACGACCGCCACGTAAATGCAACTCCTCGTCGCTGTCGCTGTCGTTGTCGTCGATAGAGCTCCTTGAGTCAGGCCGTTGAGACGGCTCGAAGCGCTTCGCAGAATATCCCGTGCGGCGCAGCGACTGTGTGTTTCGCGGGCGAAACGCGGCGGCCAATCGCCCGCAGCGGCGTCCCACGAAACAGCCGTGGGTTTTGAGCGACTGGTGGTGGGGCGTGGGGGGGCGGTGGGGAGTTGGGAGGGGATTGTCGGCCAGGACACGAGGAGAGAGAAACTCCCTTCTCTTTTCGTGTAGCGCCGCGGGGATCTTTTAACGTCCGCCAGAACCGGGGCAGACGGGACCTGGGTTTAACGTCTCATCCGAAGGTCGGCACCTCTGACACGACAGCACGTGTGCCCCCCCCTCCCGCAGGGCTGCGTTGGAACGTCGGCTTCGACTGTGATTCCAAGTCCCCGACGTGGGGGCTTGAACCCACAACCTTCCGACTCGGAGGCGAGAGAGAGTGAGAGAGAGAGAGAGAGCGTTACCAACTGAGAGCCGGGCTGGCAACACGGGTTGCCGCTTTCCGCGGGCACGCAGCGAGACTCAAACCCGACCTCTCTGTGTCCGCTCTCCCCCGGCTGGGATAGAGACGGGAAGCCGGCGAGGCCGTAACCCACGATGAGCCACGGTAAATGGAAGTCCCTTTTGCCCCCTCGTGTGATATCTCGCTCGCTGTGGGTGTGTTACGCGGCGCCGAGCTCGCTTACCTGGAGTTCCCAACCTCTGCTTTCACGCCCTCGGGGCTACCAGGCCGTTCGTCCCTTGTCTCCTGCGCCCCCCACACCCCCCCCACACCATCAGCAGCCGCGCTTTCAGCCGTTCAGGATAGGCCGTAAAGTGTAGTGACTGTGTGTTTTGCGGGTGAAACGTGGCACCCAAGTTGTTGTCGGGCGGGCCGCCCGCCCGCGATGCCCCTGTGACGTGAGTCGTGTTTTCTCTGCAGGTCGAAGAGGCAAAAGGCGACACCTGACTCCCTCCGACTGCCTGTCCTTGAGCAACAGCCGCGAGGGGGCTTCCTCGCTGACCCAGCCGTTGGCCTGCGGCCGGGGGGAGAGAGACCCGAACGGGGGCCTTTACCCCAGGCACGGGAAACGTAAGCCTCGCGGCGCCCGGCCTTCCTGCCTTGTCCAGGGTTCCTGGTCGGGAATCGCCGCACGGTCAGCCGGATGCACGGGGGGCGGCGGGAGAGAAGCAGCCCCGGACGGACCAGATGTCATCTTTGACCCCCAGGACCTTCTCGCCGGCGACTCGCCCTTCGACGCGTGTTTCCCACCAGGAAGCCCGGAGCCGGGCGAGGAACGCTGCTTCCCGTGGACGGGAATTCCGGGCCAGAGCGGCAACGAACTCGGGATTCCCACGTCATAAGGCGGTGGGCATCCCAGGAACCCAGGGCGCCTCGACCCGGCGTGTCCGTGACGTGGCCTGCGCTTGAGGACGAAGCAGCGGCAATCGATCCGCTCCCCGACTCTTACTTTGGGCTGTTGGGGTGCGCTCGTTCCCAACCCCCCGCGTCCGGGCACGTCGGCCAGCTTCCCGACGAGCTGCTCCGGATGATATTCTGCCTCCTGCCGGCAGCGGATCTGTACCTGAGTCTCAGCCCCGTCTGCCGCCAATGGCGACGGGTCATCAGAGATCCAGCGGTAAGCGATCGATCATCATCATCCTCTTGCCAGCCCGGCTCAGTGGGTGGGTCAGCCCCGGCTCTCTCTCGCCTCTGAGTTAGAAGGCTGTGGATTCAAGCCCCATTTCAGGACTTGTCTAGGCTGACTCTCCAATACAGGACTGGGGGAGCGCTGCACCGTTAGAGGTGCCGTCCTTCGGGTGAGGGCTTAAACCGAGATCCCGTCTGCCTAAAACCATAGAAGTTTATGCCACAGAAAGAGGTCATTTTGGCTCCCTCAAGAGCAATCTTTTTGGTCCCATCTACCTGCCTTTTCCCCGTAAACTCCTGGAGCTCTGTAGCCTGTTAATGTGGATGTTAAAAGATCCCACGGCGCTAATCGAAAAGAGAAAGGTGTTTCTCTCTCCCCTTTGTCCTGGCCAACAATCCTCCGAATAAAATTGGTCACTCACTCCGTGACTGTTTGTGGGGACGCCGCTGTGTGCAATTGGCTGCCACGTTTCGCCCACAAAACACACAGTGAATTCACTTTACAGTGTATCCCGTGAAGCGCTTTGAGACGTCTCGAAGACGTGATAAGGCGCCGTATCAAATGCAAGGGTTATTATTATCATTATTAATTTTTATTATTATTTTAACAGCCTGGATGACATCTGTAAACCGCAATGTGAATGGAGAGTATAATTATTATTGTTATTATTATTATTATTGTTATTATTTACTGACAGTTTGTACCCTATAAGAAGATGTACTATGGATACAGGAAGGGAGAGGAGACTGTGGTGGAGTGTGCAGGCCAGATCCTGAACGCGAATAGTATCACAGCGGAGGACAACTTGTGTCTCCTGAATCTCGTCAAGTGAGTGTCTAATGTGGTCTGGTTACACCCTGACTGACTGAGCAATGGAGACGTGGTGTGGCTGGGGGTGGGGCGGGGAAGGGGGATCTGACCATTGGTGTGTTCAAAGAGGTATGTTTTAAGGTGGGATTTCTTGTAGCTCAGTGGTTAGAGCACTCGCCTTGCAAGCGAGAGGACTTGGGTTCGATTCCTGGGCAGGGCGAAAATTGGGCAAGTTTCCTTACTCCACACGCCTCTGTTTCCCTAGCAGCGAGTAGGAACCCGCTTGGTAATCGATTGGCGGATCGCTTTCCCAGAAGTAATAATTCCTCCAAAATAAATTTGGATTTATACCCGAGGGCGAGGATTTTGAAGTTGAACCTTTGAGAGATGGGGAGCCCGTGGGGTGATGGGAGTGAGGAGTTTGGTGCGTGTGAGGATACAGGACGAGGAGTTTTGGATCAGCTGGATCGAGTTCTCTTACCTTTACGATTCTCTTACCAATTAGGTTCATGGCGTCCTTTAAACATGCCCGATGTGTGGATCCCGAAGCTGTCTTGTGCTGCTTGAAGGATCACCCGCTTTTTAAGCGTTCTGAAGCCTGCGTTGTCCAGAGATTGCCTGATTTGGTGCAAAGATCTGGGGTACGTGTTTGTCCTCTCTTCCTTTTCTCCTCCGATGTTGTCTGGTCTCTGGAACTCTCTGCCTCATTCCCTCTGCCTCTGCCCCTTCCTCGCCCGTCATCAGATCGCACCTTTCTCTTCGACCGTGCCTACGGTCACCTGCCCTCTCTTCCCTTGGCGACGTCTTGAAGACATGATAAGGCACTATATCAAAGGCAAGGATTATTATCATTATTATTATTGACGTGCGCAGGATTAAGTGGTTTAACACAGAATGTTGTGGGACACTTTTTTCCCCCTCACTGTTTCAGGCCGCAAAGGTTTGGGCGGTGATGTGTGTGATCGTCCTCCTGTCCATCAGCGTCAAAGACGTCCAGAGACTCGTCACCGGACTGCGTGAGTCTCGATCCACTCTGCCTGCGAGTGAGCTGAGCGAGACTCTCTCCTGCCTGGCCACTCTGCTGTTTGCCTCGAGGGAAAGAGGCATTAACCTCAGCAACAGGTAGGTCGGTCGGGGACATTTTTTCTGGTTGTTTCACCTGCAACTTTATTATAATAGTTATAATAATATAATTGTAATCGTATCCATCCATTCATACTAGCAATATATATAAATCAATATCGTTAACTGTCCAGGTCACTGGACCGTCCTTTCAACGTGACGGGCATTGTATCACTGTCATTTGTTGTTGTAGCTCGGTTAGAGCGCTCGCCTCGCAAGCGAGAGGACTCGGGTTCGATTCCCGGGGCAGGGCGAAACACATCCTTACTCCAAATGCCTCTGTCTAGCAGTAAGTAGGAACCCGGTTGTTAGTTGATTGGTGTTTCGCTTTACCGGAGGTAAAAAAAAGAATCATTTGCTCACTCAATCCACGACTGTTTGTGGGGACGCTGCTGTGCGCAATTGCTTGCCTTGTTTCCCCACAAAATATCCAGTCAATTCGCTTTACAGTGTATCCTGTGAAGCGCTTTGAGACATTGCGAAGACGTGATAAGGCGCTGTGTCAAATGTAAGGATTATTATTATTATTATCTCAGAATCCACATCCCGCTAATCTTGACATAAAAGTAAAAAAAAAATTCAGGATGTGTTTTTGAAATTCTGAGCTCTGTGCGTGTGTGTGTATTTTCATTTAAATGTTTCAGGATCCACTACAACCTGTTCCATGTTCTGTACCTGATGGAAAACCCAATGTACCTCAGCAAGCGACCTTTCACGAATCCCTATCAAGCTCCTCGGTGAGTGTTAGCTGGTGAGCAGCGAGTGTTTGGTTGGTGCGTGTTGTAACTGTCATCAAAATTCTGCAAAATGTCAGGGTGGAATAAAGATGCCGCTCATTGAATAATAAAGCCATCTGTCGGAGAGCAACAGGTGCGCGGTTCAAATAAAACAGTCTCTAAGTTTATCTGAGCTGGGTCTGCAGTGATCCAGGTCACTGCTGGTGACAGACCAGCCCGGCTTAGCTCATCGGCAGGACCTGGAAGTGCAGACCAGTCACTGGTACTCAGCTCCTGTTAACCCTGTAAGCCAAAGCTCTGACAGACCAGCCCAGCTTGGCTCATCGGCAGGACTTGCAGTGGCAGACTGGGAGCAGGGATAGAAACATAAAACCTGAGATAATTTGTGGCACAGAGGAGGGACAATCTGCCGATGGTGTCTGTGCTGGCTCCCTCGAGAGCAGTAAGAGTGGGATCTCTCAAGAGTGAGATTCTTCCCACTTCAGCTACTGTTAAATTTTGCAACGGTGTAGTTAGTGTAGATTCATTCAAGAGGAAGCCAGACCTTCACTTGAAGGAGAGGGGAATAGAAGGGTGTGGGAGGGAGTAAGGAATGGGTGAAGACTCGTGTGGAGTATAAACACTGGCACGGACTGGTTGGATCAAGTGGCTTGTTTCCGTGCTCTATAGTCTTTGGAAACACTGTAAGCCAAAGCCTTCAGGGGTCAGATGGTCCTAGCTGGACAAGCAGGAACCTTGTTCTTTGCTCCACTTTGGTAGATGGCCCCTTTTGTTAGCGGAGAGGAGGTGCGCGGTTGCTGATCTGTTTTCCTTTGGTTAAGTACAGGCTGGTGGCTGATGTCGAAGTCTTGACCTCAGAGCAGCAATGTATCCTGAGCCACGAGATCGCCCCGACACACGTGGTAAAGATCGCCGCATTTGCAGGTGGGTATTGCCGGCGGCTTGAGCTGCTCATCACTGTTGGAACGTGTTGGGCTCCTCCTGCTTCCAGTGCAGGTGAAATGTGTCCTCTTCTTCGACCTTGCTTGCAGTCTCCCCATCTCCCCCCCCGATCCCCTGGCTCGGCATCAGGCTCTCCCACTGTCGAGTGCCCCAAGACTCTACCCTGCGTGAGGGACGCTATATAAATACAAGTTGGAGGGCTGTATAATGTCAGAGGTGCCGTCCTTTGCATCGGACTTTAAACTGAGCTCCCGTCTGCCTGCTCAGGTGTGCGTTAAAGATCCCATGGCGGAGTTACACATCAGGAGGGTATCTCAAAGCGTTTCACAGGATCTTAATGTAAAGGTGTAGTGACCGTGTATTTTATAGGCCAACGCCAAGCTGAAACTGAATTTGAGCATTTTTCCACAATTCATTTTAAGGACAAAATGGTCTCACTCGCTAGGACCAGGTGGAATTTCGTCCCTCTGGAGTTTATCTAAATTGAAGTCACTTCATTTTGGGGTAATTGTAAAGGGAGCTGCAAAGTCGTCGAGAACGGCCTGGAGATGGAGCTACAATCACGTTGACGCAAACCTTTGCAAAAAAACAGGCAATGTCAGAAATGCACAACTTCTGAAAGAGGAAGACAGGGCAACGGTTTAGCTGTGACACACTGGCGTAGCAATGATAATAACAACCCTTGCATTTGGTACAGTGCCTTATCACATCGTCGAAACGCCTCAAAGCGCTCGACACAGGGTTTACGGCGCAGAACCACCGCTATTTTGTAAGGCAAACGTGGCAGCCAGTTGGTGCGTAGCGATGTCCTAGAAACTGCCTTGAAATGAGTGACCAATTTTATTTGGGGGATTTTGGAGCAGGACACTGGGAGAGAGAAATTCCCTTCTGATGCATAGCGCCAAAGGAATTTTTTTAACTTCCACCTCAACAAGGCAGACTCAGAGGCGAGGGCGCTACCATCCAACCGAGCCAGTCTGACCCTTCTCCCTCTAACTCTCCAGGTACTGGTAAGACATGTACGCTGATCTGGTACGCACAGCAACGACCTCACCTCAGGTTCCTGTACGTGGCTTCATCTGAGTCCGATGCAGTACAGGCCAGAAGCCTCTACACCCCTAATGTCCAGTGTGTGACCATGGACGCCATGGCTTATCACTACGAAGGCTACAAGTAAGTAGGACGGGAAGGGAACATTGACCCGCCTCAGAAGTACGTTACCGACATTCGATTCTTCTTTTAATGATAATAATAATTATCCTTTGATTATTATTATTATTATCCTTGCATTTGATGTAGCGCCTTATCATGTCGTTGAGACGTCTCAAAGCGCTTCACAGAATATACTGTAAAGTGAATCGACTATATGTATTGTGGGTGAAACACGGCAGCCAATTGCGCACAGCAGCGTCCCCACAAACAGTCGTGGATTGAGTGACCAAATTATTAGTTTTTTTGAAAAATGTTTTGAATCACGATCTATCTGCAGCATTTTTTAAAATGACTATAAATGAACTCCTGGGTTACACATTGGAATATAGACTGAATCTTCACAGATTACTTTATACTATATATAATATATATATATAAAAAATTCTACACCAGGTACCAACGTAGGAAGAAACTGATATTCGGTGATCTGAAACCGCTTGCTGTTCTGGGAATGCTTCGTGAAAGAGGTGTTGGGTACATCAGAGCGAAGCTCCTCTGTAGGACTCTATCGTCGTTCTTCTGTTCTGCAGACGAGGAGATCTCTGTGGCTCACGTGCCCGAAATATGTAACAACACCCGTGGAGATGTTCAGCTAATGGAATACAAAGAGAAATCGGTGAGTGCACAAACCATCAATCTCAAGACATGTAATAATAATAATAATAATAATAATAATAATAACCCTTGCATTTGATATAGCAGGACTCAACTGACCTCACTATCTTGATAACCCCTGTTGAAAAGTACACGCGCAGTTTGGCAATGTGTGAGACCCGGCTGGAAAAGACTCCTCGCAGTTGAAACTCTGCCAAGCCTCATGCATGACAAATTCGCAACTTGTGTGAAGTCACTGGCTATTGCTAGAACTGCACCCTTGAATAAGATAAGCGTCTTTAAGACACGAGAGAAAACTGTAAGGAAAAACACCGGTGAGAGGAAGGGGAAAAAAATCTCACTCGTTGCTTTGAATCACATTGACGGCTCCAGAGACCAGAAAGGCGAGAATAACTTATACTACACAAGAATAATAATAATAATCCTTACATTTGATGTAGCACTCTATCGTGCCGTTGAGACGTCTCAAAGCACATCATAGAATATACCGTAAAGTGAACCGACTGTATATTTTGTGGGCGAAATCATTGAGACAATGATTTTTGTTGCCGAATTGATGTTCTGATATCCACATAAAAAGAGGAATGATAATTGTACGGCACTATCTCACACCCCTCGCCTTGGGATTCAGCGGCTTGGGATAATAGTAATAATAATTCTTGCGCTTGATATAGAAATTTATCACATCGTTGAGATGTCTCATGAAATTGACGGTATATTTTGTGGGCATTTTATTTTGATAATCAAAAGTGCAAGGGAGGCGAAGGGACTCTGGGATGGAGTTCCAGAGGGAGGTGGCAGAGTGGCCAAAGCCCGCCTGTCGTTGGTGGGGTGTAGGCTGGGGGCATCCCCTTGGCAGGAGCTGAGCGAAGGGAGCTCCCAGGATGGTAAGGTTGAAGGAGATCGCAACGTGAGATGAGGCGAGACTGTGAGGGGATTTAACGGTGAGGACAAGGAGCCTCGTGCGGGAGAGGACACGAGCTGCAGAGTTCTGGATAGTCTGCAGCTTGTGTAGGGTTGCGCTGGGGACATCGATCCCTCAATGTTAAAATTATAATACAGAGATGCCTCAAAGTGTTTATTATTTTGTGAATAATGCACCCCACTATAATTTCCTCCTGGATAATTTTTTTCCGAGTTTTTCAGTGTGTGACCGGAAGGCGTCTCTGATTTGTTGATTTGTTCCAGAAACTGGCTGAAGACGCAGGAAGGATTTGGAGGAAGATGGTGAATCTTCGCGAAACGAAGACAAGTGGTTACTTCATGACTCGTGACGGTAACGCTTCATGTTTCCAACAGTCCTCCAGACAGAAACTGGTCGTTCACTCTCATGGCTCATAAAAACACACCGCTGTGCGCAATTGGCTGCCGCGTTTCGCCCACAAAATATACAGTCAATCCGCCAGACAGTGTATCCCGCGAAGCCCTTCGAGTCGTCTCGACGACGTGATAAGGCACTATATCAGATGCAAGGATTATTATTATTATGGCTGTTGGTGGGATGATAAATGCGCGGAAATTGGTTGGGGCATTTTGCCTAAAAATACACAGTCCCCAACTCTTTACAGTAAAAATCTGTGAGGTGCTTTGAGAGGTGTAGGTATGTATGTGTGTGTGCGCTTGACTGCGTGTGTCTGCGTGCATGGATATGGCCGGGTATGTATGCGTGCATGGGTGTGCCTGCACATACACAAGCACCAATGTGAGTGTGTGCGCAAACTGCGAGTGTGTGTGTATGTTGGAGGGGAGGGGTTGTTAAATACCACCACACTGGGGATCGTCGTTTATTTCTCCACTGCAACTGCAGATTTGCAGTTATTCAGACGAGTCAATGGGTGCAGGGAATCCTCCCACTCAGTACCTGTTAACCCTGTGAGCCACATCTCCAATGGGTAAGGTGGTCCTAGATGGACATGCAGCGGTAAAGCTTGCCAGAGAGTGATATCGATGGTGAGCGATGTGGTTTCAGCTGGTTAGACTCTAGCAGTTACCCCCAATCCACACGCTGGGGTCCCCACAAGCCTTGGCTCTTGCCAACCTGCGCCTATTACTCTCCGGAATTAAGCAAGCAGGCTGCGTCCCACCAGGGAGAGAGAGAGTGTGCATTCCATTCCGACGATCTATCTCTGGGGTTTCGATGTGCAGGTGGCAGGCAGGGAAATTGCGCTTTACTGTGTTTGTTTTGTTTAGGATGCCTGAAACTCTGGCAACTCAGCAAACCCAGTCTGTGGACGTTTGATGCGATCTTCGTAGATAAAGCTGAAGATTGCAGCCCAGGTTAGTGCAGCCACGCATCAGCTTCCGAGAACATTCTCAGTGTAGTAGTTGTCCCAATGCTTGCTAGCGCAGATCATGAACTTACTGACCACATGCATTCCCCAATGCATATCAGGTGTCAGCCTGATTCAGTTGGTATCATACACTTCTGAGTGTGGGTCCAAGCCCGAGTGTCCTGGCCTTGAGCTCACAGTCTAGATTGACTCCCCAATGCTGTCCAATGGGGGTGTAACGCATTGCCGGAGATGCCGTCCTTTGTATCGGACGTTAAACTGAGGTCCCTTCTGCCTGTGCGGGTGCACGATAAAGATCCCATGGCGCTACTAGAAAAAAGAAGGGAGTTTCTCCTGGTGTCCTGGCCAACAGTCCCCCAGATTAAATTGGTCATTCACATCATGGCTGCTTGTGTGACATTGCTGTGCGCAAATTGGCTGCTGCGTTCACCTCCAAAATAGAAATAAAAAACAAAATACACAGTACGCAATTGGCACATTTAACTTTTGAATTCAATTTAAGTTTCTGTACTCCACACCCACACATGCCTCCGTTTACCTGGCAGTAAGAAGGAACCCGCCCACTTGTTAGTCGATTGATGGATTGCTTTCCAGGGAAATAAACCGTCCAAAATAAAATAATACTTTGGTCACTCAATCCACGACTGTTTGTGGGACACTGCTGTGTGCAATTGGCTGCCGCTTTTCGCCCACAAAACACAGTCACTACACTCTACAGGTATATTCTGCTAAGCTCTTTGAGACATCTTGACGACGTGATAAGGCGCTATTTCAAATGCAAGGATTATTATTATTATAATTATTATTCTTTGTTCCGTCCTTCAGCGATCTTGGATATTGTGCTCTCACAGAAATGTGGGAAGTTCCTTGTGGGAGATCGGCACCAGCAGATCCACAGCTTCAGTGGTGCTGGCAATGCCCTGTGTGAAGCCCCTCACACTCACACCTACTGTCTGACACAGGTAAGGATACATCAGAACGGCCTGCCTTTAAAGTAATGCAATGGCAAACTGTCCGGTCCACAGTCGTGGATTGTGTGTCCAAATCATTATTATTATTTTTATTTTTTGAAGGGTTTACTACCCCCGGATAGTACAAAATGTTCCTTTTCATTCAACTTTTGTTCTTACAGAGTTTGCGATTTGGACCCGACATTGCCTATCTTGCGGCAACTATTCTGGAAGTCTGTAAGCACGTCAGAGACAAGACCTTGGTTGGTGGAAGCCTTGATGGTAAATGAACCGAGACATTTTTCTCTGTAGTTTTGCAAGGAAGAAAGGGTAGAGTGGAGGCGGAAAGGAGGTTTACAAGCTCTTTAAAGAGGGAAATATGGCAGACTAAATTACTCCACAACTTCAGGCGTCACAGACTGAGATTCCTGGCGTTCGCCCACAAATATACAGTCAATTCACTTTACAGTGTGTTCTGTGAAGCGCTTTGGGACGTCCTCCCGACGTGAAAAGCGCTATATCAAATGCAAGGATTATTATTATTATTACTTGGACTCCTGTAGCTCAGTTAGAGCACTCACCTCACAAGTGAGAGGACTGGGGTTTGATTCCCGGGCAGGGCGAAACCTTAGTTTCCTTACTCCACACATTTCTGTTTACCAAGCGGTAAGTAGGAACCCGATTGTTAGTCGATTGACGGATCACTTTCTGGGGGTAATAATCCCTCCAAAAAAAAAGTAATAATTTTTTCACCCAATGCACAACTGTTTGTGGGACACTGCTGTGCGCAATTGGCTGCAGCGTTTCGCCCACGAAATATACAGTCAATTCACTTTACAGTATACTCTGTGAAGCGCTTTGAGATGTCTCAACGAGGTGATAAGGCGCTATATCAAATGTAAGGATTATTATTATTATTATTACTTCCCTTTGTGACTAGGTTCCACCACACTGATGTCATGAATAGGATCATTGAACGTGTACCAGCATCGCTTTAGGCTTATTCCCAATCTCACTGTCCCCAGTTGCACCAACATGACATGTGCCACACCAACATACTCGGGGGCACCCTTTAGTTAGTGAACTTAGTATCCAATTATGGGCAGCTATGTGGTGTGGACCTTGGCTTACTCTAGAAGTAGTGAGATCTTTCTCAAAGACCAGTGAACCAACTAGTCCGTTCCAGTACCTCATCCCACAAAATACCAGTCAGTTCACTTTACAGTATATTCTGTGATGCACTTTGATTCGTCTCGTAAGGCGCTATATCAGATGCAAGGATTATTATTATTATCCCATCCCCAGGCACTAGTTGGGCCGAATAACACTGTTTCCGTGTTGTATCATTGAACGAGACATTTCTTCCATCTGTGCAGGGTGTGTGTGTACACGTAGGGGCACAAAGGTAGCTTGATAAGCACCTGAGCAGCAAAGGTTGAGGTTGAGTTGTGTTAGGATACTCTTAATCACAGCGATGGGTTTCCACGTGCGTCGATCACACGGCTGACCAAAAGAAAAGTATAATCCAGGCCCCCCCCACTTTCATTCATTCCCCCCCATCTACCATTGGCATACGTGTATGTTTTGTTTGATAAAACTTAAGTTAAGTTTGCACTCGCGTTCTGTCGCTCTTCCAGACGGCTCGAGAGGGAACGGTGTTGAGCAAATGGCCATTCTCTGCAGAGGCGTCCCTGCTGCTTTTGACGAGGCTCTCCGGTTGACTGCTGGGCAAAACCCCTCTAAGATACATCTCATTGGGGTGGGTATTGTTGTCAGGAGAATTTATACAACACAATCTAACCTTATTATTCGACCACAAAATACGCGGTCAATTCACTTTACAGTGTATATATAAAACAAATGCTTATAATAAAAATGATTTGGTCACTCAGCCCACGACTGTTGGTGGGACGCTCCTGTGCGAAATTGGCTGCAGCGTTTCGCCCACAAAATATACAGTCACTTCGCTTCACAATATATTCTGTGAAGCGCTTTGAGACGTCTCGAAGACGTGATAAGGCGCTGTATCAAATGCAAGGATTATCATTAATACAGCAAACTGCAGGAGCGTGTGTATAGGTGCGTATAGCTCTGGTTTTGATGCAGTCCTGCAGTCTGCGAGGTGCTTGTTGCGGGTATGAACGTTTCAGAGCTGTGTTGAAGCCAGCAAGCAGCCGGCAATTTGCTTAATCTTTGTGTGGTTGCGGCTCAGATTTTTGTTTATTCGAGTTCTCTCCCCAGAGAAGGTTAAACCTTTGTAGGAATGCAATTGAGCATCCACACTTTCTTCTGTCCTGCCGGGAATGGGAGCCTTTATCTAGCTTTTGACCACCTCCACTTCACTTTTCCTTACTCCACACGCAGAGCTCTGTTAACCTAGCAGTAGGTAGGAACCCGGTTATTAGCCGATTGGCGGATTGCTTTTCCGGGGGTAATAATTCCTTCAAAAAAAATGTATTTGGTCCCTCAATCCACGGCTGTTTGTGGGGACGCTGCTGTGCCCAATTGGCTGCCGCGTTTCACCCACAAAGTATACAGTTAATTCACTTTACAGTACATTCCATGAAGCGCTTTGAGACGTCTCGAAGACGAGATAAGGCGCTGTATCAAATGCAAGGATTATTGTTACCTTCACGCTGGGTAGCGTCTCAGAGCGCTTCACAGTGATAGGATCGGACCCTGAGCGGGGAAGCTGGAGGTTACCATAACAACAGCAACTTACATTTATTTATTTAGTGCCCTTCATGTGGGGTCGTATCTCAGAGTGTTCTCTTTTCATTGCTCAAACCCTCTCGCCTCCTCAGGGACTCGGTAAATTTGGGTTAGACACGATCCTGGACGTTTGGATGCTTCTGAAACCCGACGAAGATCCAAAGAGAAGTGAGTTGGCAGCAGTCTTCACACTCCATCAGGTTCTCATTTATATTTCCACCCGCAGTTCGTTCTGCTACCTCACGTATCTTAGCTCTGGGAACAATAACAATCGATTTGTTTTTGGACTCCCCCCAAGCCTTGGCTCTCGCCAATCTGCGCCTAATACTTTCCGGAATTAGGGAAACAGGAACCCTCCCTCCCTCCAGAGAGAGAGAGAGAGAGACAGAGAGAGCGTATTCCATTCCAACAATCTATCTCTGGGATTTCCAGATGTAGTTGGGATGCAGGGAATTCTCAGCTCGGTTTGGAGACTCTTAAGCAACGGTGACGGGTTTCCGTGCGTGTCAGACACACGACTGACCAAAACATAAATGTAATTTTGGTGTTTTCCCTTCATGTGCAGGGCAAGGCAAGCTTTCAGCCAATTCTGCCTTTGCTCCCTGGAACTCCACCGCCCCCACCGCAGCCCCCACCCTCCCTACCTACTCACGTTTAAACCCCACCTTAAAACCTAATTCTTCGACCGTGCTATCAGCAATCTCTTTCCCCTTCCCTCCTCCCAGCTCGTTTTCTTTGTCAGCGTGTGAGATTCCCTGCGTGAAAGGCATTGCTGTGTGTTTTGACAAGGCATGTTTTTGGAGACAAAACCTCAATTTGCGTTTCGTCCACAAAATACATAGTCGCTGCACTTTACACTACATTCTGTGAGGCGCTTTGAGGCATCTCGACAACGTGATAAGGCGCTATATCAAATGCACGGATTGTTATTGTTATTATTATTAAATGAAAGGCGTTCTTATTGTTGTTGCTGCTTTTCCATGACAGAAGAGGCTGTGATCAGGGACCCATTCATCAGGATATTTTCCCGGAACGGCGGTTTCCGAGGTTTGAAGGATTACGTGAGCACGGCTGAGGACGAGGTGCTGGGAGGGAGCATTGCTGTGGTGGAAAAGTACAGATTCAGAATCCCAGGATTTGTACAGAGGATCACTGAATACTCCGTAGATATCCCAGCTCTTGCAAGTAAGGGGAATATAATGTCTGCCTCCTACGTAGACTTCCCTCCCCACCATCGGTGGCCGCGCTTTCAGCCACTACACCCCGAAACTCTGGAGAACCCTCTCCCTCAATCCCTCCGCCTTGCCCCCCCCCCCACCTCTCCTTCCCCATTTTTAGATTTCCCTTCGACCGTGTTTACGGTCACCCCCACAGCTTAGCATCAGGCTTCCGCCACCATGAAGCGTTGGGATGAAGGGCGTTGTATAAATTCAAGTTGGTGGTGTTGTTGAAGTATCTCATGTTTAGGTTTCCGCTTAAATCTTTTTTGCTGTTTCCTTTTTGTCCAAAACTTTGGTCTTTGCTGTGAGTTTGCAGCGGAGGGTGCTAGATTTCCCTGCCGGGACCCATCGTTGAGACAAGAGAGAGGAGTCCTTTTGAAAGGGATTTGGACAAAGACTTGAAACAGAGGAGCGTTAAAGGGTGCAGGAGAGCGAGCGAGTGAGCGAGCAGTGTAGTGGGATTGGATTAGATTGGGTGGCTCCGGTGGAGAAAACCATCAGTGCAGACTCGATGGCCTGAGTGTATCTGTGCTGCGTTGCCTGATACTATGGGATTCATGTCCTGGAACTAATCATTGTTACTACACTAGTATTCTTACCTTTGTTACTACAGTAATTTTGTTACTAGTTCTCGCCCCATTGTTACCACAGTAGGATTGTTCCTGGAGCCATTTTTATTACAGTAATATTTCTCCTTGCTCCGAGATGCTACAACAACAGCAGCTTGCATTTATATAGCGCCCTTCACGAGTCTCGGAACGCGTTATACAGAGCTTATATAGATAGATCTTCGGAGTGCTGTATATAGCACCTCTATAGCACCCTTCACGCTATCAATAGGGGTTGTTTGGGGGAGAGGAGGGGGTGCAAAAAGGGGTTCGGGAGGGGAAGGGAAAATGTTAATTGATTTCTTTCACCTTTTCAGATGTTGTGTTGGGAACGGTACATAAAGCGAAAGGTTACGAGTTTGACACAGTGCAGATGATGGATGATTTTGCGAAAGTTCCAGGTTTACAGCTTAATGGTCACTTGCTCTCTGGATTCAGTCCGGGTAAGTTCAGGTGTCAGAAAAAATAGTGTGTCTGTGCTTGTGTTGGGAGAAGGGAGGGGTATGGGTGGGAAGGAATAGTGATGTGATAAACCATTGACAACCCGGTGTGTTAATCGATTGGCAGATCACATTCCGGGGGTAATAAAGCCTTAAAAAAAAATTGGTTACTCAATCCACGACTGTTTGTGAGAAGTTGCTGTGCTTAATTGGCTGCCAAGTTTTGCCCACAAAATACATAGTCAATCCACTTTACAATATATCCTGTGAACCGCTTTGAGACGTCTCAACAACGCGATAAGGCGCTGTGTCAAATGCCAGGATTATTATTATTTTTATTACTTTATTCCCTTAATTTATATCTTTCCTCAGATGTGGTGGCCGTCGAGGAATGGAATCTGCTTTACATCGCGGTGACCCGGGCCAGGAAGCATCTGGTGATGAGCAAGTCTTTGGAGAACCTTCTCTCCTTTGCAGGAGTAAGGACGACATCTTACTGTCTACAAAATATACAGTCAATACACTCCAGCACCTTGGGATGCCCTCCTGACGTAAAAGGCGCTATACAAATGTAATGCGTTGTTTACAGTGCATTTTATGAAGCCCTTTGGGACGTCTGAACAACTTGATTAGGCGCTATATCATATAATAAAAATAATAATCCTTGCATTTGATATAAAGCCTTATGTATTTGAGACGTTTCAAAGCGCTTCACAGAATACTGCAAAGTGAATTGGTCGTCATGGATTGAATGGCCAAATTATTATTATTTTTTAGGGATTATTAGGATGGCATTATTATTATTATTATTACTGTGCTCTTTTTAGTTTGTGGCTGAAATCTGTACCCAGGCATGGAGAGTGGAATTAGATCGCACAGCTCCAGTGAGGGAGCGAGCCGCAGTGCAGACAAGATAATAATAACAATAATAATTAATAATCCTTACATTTGATACAGTGCCTTTCGCGTCTCAAAGCGCTTCACAGGAGTTACTGCGAGCTGTTTTATTTTACGGGCGAAACGCAGCAACCGATTTGCGCCCAGCAATGTCCCACAAACAGCCGTGATGTCAGTGCCCAATTTTATTTTGGCGGTTTACTGGCGCGGACATCAGTTGAAGACCCCTTCACTTTCAAATAGTGCAAAGCGATCTTCAACATCCACCTGAACAGGCAGACGGGGCCTTGCTTTAACGTCACCTCCGAAGGACGGCACCTCCGACATTGCAGCACACACCCTAACTCTGCGTTGCAGTGTCAGCTTAGACTATGCGACCCCCAAGTCCTGACGTGGGGGCTTGAACCAACAAACCCTTCTGACTCAGAGGTGAGAGTCCTACCCGCTGAGCCAGGCGTGGGATGGGAAAAGAGCCAGCGATGTAACAGAGGCGCTTCACAGGAAATGTTTTGTTGTCGTGTATTTTTGCTTCAGCCATTGTTTTCCATTTCCGAAACCCAATTTTTTTATCTTGACCCCAAAGGAATACTTTCTGAGGACAGAATTCACTCGCGACCTCTTGAGGGGTGGCTCGCTGCCCAATTGCCACGTAAAAGGATGCCCCAACCGCATTGTGAACGAGGCTGTGTTGACCATGATCAAAGGGCCAAGTATGTACGTGAGTAATAATAATCCTTGCATTTCATACAGCGCCTTATTACGTCGTTTCAGACGTCTCGAAGCGCTTCCCAGGATATTCCGTAAAGCGTATTGATTGTGCATGTTTGTGGGCGAAACGCGGCAGATAATCGCGCACAGCGGTGTCCCACAAACACAGCGAGTGAGTGACCGATTCTTATTTGGAAGATTTGTTGGTCAAGACACTGGGAGCAACTCCCTTCTCTTTGCAAATTACTGTGGGATCTTTAACGTGCACCTGAACCGGCAGACGGGGATCTCGGTTTAACCGTCTCAACTGAAGAACGGCACCTCCCGACAATGCAGCACGCTCGCCCCCCCCCCCCACCCCCCCAGGGCTGCAGTGGTGTGTCAGCTTAGACTGTGTGATTCCAAGTCACACGTAGCCAAGTCTTGGAAGGCACAACCCGCTGCCTTCCCTCATGTTGCGTCTCGGAGCGATTATTCTTTCCTCTCGTTTCCTCCCGCTAGTCTAGTTCTGGCACGATATGAATCCGGGCTGTTGTCGATATCAGTTTTGCTTTATTTTTGTAGGGGGTGGAAGGTGACCGAAGACATGAGGCTGGGGGACCTCTGTGCGGCAAGTGTTTGGAACAGCGGGCCGGCCCGTTGACGTACCTTGTAGCCTTCCGGGAGCTCGTAGAGCAGTGAGGAGGAACGCCACACCCTTGAGAGCATAAGAATTTTCTGGGCGAAAGAAGACCGAGGTCCGTCTCGTTCGCCTTTCATCAGTCGCTTGACATGTCGTGGCAGAAATCTATCTCGTTTGTTCTTGAAACAAATGATGTTTCCTGCTTCCACCTTCAGATTTGTTCTGAATACCCCCCACCCCTTCAATCGCAGGCCGTTGTCCTCTGGTTCTACTGTTCAGCACAAGATAAAACAGCTGGTCGACGTTAACTTGTGTTTGGCATGTTTCGAAGCCGTCAGAAGCTTGACGTCAACAACAACAACAACAACTTGGATTTATATAGCGCCCTCCACGCCGGACGGCATCTCAGAGCGCTTCACAGTAACGGATCCCGGGGACGAGCCAGGGGGAGGGGGTGGAAGGTGACCAAAGGAGCGGTCGAAAAGAAAGAAAACAGCTGAGGGCTTGGCCGCTCTAACCTCGTGAAGGTTTTCGAGAGAAGCCGAACAGGTGACAGTCTCTTTCACCGTCTGTCCGAGCGTGTGTCTTGGTGGAGTATTGAGGCACATCAAGCAAACATCATACAGTCGCAAAAAGGTGTCTCCCCCCACCCCTCCACCCACTCACACACACACACACATCAGAAGATATTCTACCTCAAACCCATCTGAATGTAAATATATTTATCTGAATGTTTCATGGAACTATCTGGAGGATGTGAGGTAACCTTTTTTTTACACAGACACCCATCACTGACTTGAGTGTGAATCTTTTGTCTTCGTCCCTTTGTTTTCCTTTACTCAGGAAAAGGTAACAAAAAAAATCTTTACATTTGTCATGTCATGTCAATGCATCCTTGAAATGCTTAATCTATCCTTTCACGTCTTTTGAAGCACTTCACAAGAATTTTGTCTCTGTCCTTGCCGTGACTTTTGTGTAAATCAGAGTGAGTCAGTGTTTGGGGGAGGGAAAAAAAACACACACACCCTTGCCATTTCAGCATTTGTTTAGCTGAGAACATAGTACATGGTATATTTGAAAAGTTCTGCATGTTTTGCTTTCCAAAGGGTGTAATTTACTTGAGGGGGTTATTACTAACCAGAACACCACTCTAATAATAATAATAATCCTTGCGTTTGATGTCGTGCCTGATCACATCATCGAGCTGTCTCAAAGTGCTTCAAAGCTGTCTCAAAGCGCAAATGAATTGACTGTATATTTTGTGGGTGAAACGGTTCCAAAAAAGAGTTTCCTTTTTTTAAATTAAGAAATACGTTTGGAACTACTGCAAAAAACTGACCTTTCTGGGACACCTCCCCCCCACACCCCCACTCCCCACTCTTGCTCCCCCAGACTATGTTAGTACCAACATTACTAACCTGATCCACTAGAGCGTCAAATACCATGACCAAAATTAGAATCATAGAATCCTACAGCACGAAAGGAGGCCATTCGGCCCATCGTGCCTGCGCTGGCTTTTTGACAGAACCATCCAACTCGTCCCACTCCCCCCTCTCTTTCCCCACAGCCTTGCAAATTGTTTTTTTGATTGCCTGAGCGTGATTCGAAATGGATTTTTCCACTAATAGTCACGAAGGGAGCACGAATCAGTGGCAACATCGACAAGGCTTTGCAACGCACCACAACCCTCGCCAGGGAAAAACCATGAGGCAGAATAAAAATGTGCATTTATTTTCAGTTCGTCTCGAGATTCCATTTTGGGCGAAGGCCAGGAACACTGGAGAAGTTTCCGTGTCGATTGCTTTTTTTTCTCTGTCGCCTCTTAAGTTTGCACGAATCAAAAAAAAAAAACTGTACGGCTGGTTTCAAGGTCAACCAGGTTCCCTCTAAAGTGTGTGGAAGAAGAGTTTATTGAGGTACACCAGTGTGCCTTTATTTCGGAAATGAAAGCATGAGAGCAAGCACGAGGGAATCACGTGAGAGGATGCAACCGACGTCTTAAATCTCTCGTGACTTCAACCAGAAAACCACTGTCTTAACATTGCATTTTTTTTTTTAACCTTTGGACAGCTTTTATTTTTTCTCACGGAGAAAGAAATGCAGAAGCAAGAAAGAAGGAAGGAAGGAAGGCAATGGCCTGAAATCTTAAGGATACGGCGTTTTCAGGTCCGGAATTTTAAGAGATTTATATTCCCCTCCTTCGCCCTCTCTCCCCTCTCCCCCCCCGCCCTCTCCCACCGCTTATGTTATCATTTGCAACTACACTGCACTGTACATAAACCTGAATCTGAATGATATTATCTAAAGAAATTTGACATGGTTTTGACATGAATACTGTCCTTGTGAGTCATCATCATAATCCTTGCATTTTTTTTGACGTAGCGCCTTATCGCGTCTTCGAGGCGTCTCAAAGCGCGTTGCAGAATGTACTGTCAAGCGAATCGGCTGTATATCTTGTGAGCGAAACGCAGCAGCCAATTGCGCACAGCGGCGTTCCCACAAACAGCCGTGGACAGAAGTGACCAATTTATTATTTTTTAGTTTGGAGGAATTATTACTCCTGGAAAAGCGATCCGCCAATCGACAAACAACCAGGTTTGCTGGGAAACAGGCGCGTGGAGTAAGGAAACTTGCTCAACGTTTCGCCCTGCCCGGGAATTGAAACCCAGGTCCTCTCTACTTGCGAGGCGAGAGCTCTAACCACTGAGCTACAGGGCGCCATTGTGTCTGGTAACATGCAGTACGTGCCGAGCGTGTCTGTGCTGAGAGGTGACCTGATTGTCTATTGAAAGCGCTGCTTCCAAACCCACGCTGGGACTTGATTGCCACGAGTCAAGAGGTGGGATTTTTATTGGGTGTTTTGTGAGATCGTAAAATGCGCGTCCGTCCGTCCGTCCTCACGAACTGATTTCTCTTTTTTTCCTGTAACCTTCCTCCTCGCATGACTCCTCTGTTGCGGATGTTTTCTTAGAGCGCTGAGCTGTGGCGGGTAAAAGTGCCACAGCTTATATGACATCGCAACCACCCCCCCGCACGCGCCCCCCACCCCCACCACTGGCAAGTGCCCACCTCTGAGCCGCAGATGTGACGATTTTACACGCTTGTGCATACACAGGCACCAAACCCAACCGCGTCCGTTTACCTCCTCAAATCTCACTGCTTAAGAAGGCAATAGTTCCTCCGCCAGTCGATTAGCGTCTTTCGAATCGGCAGGAACCTCGGAGCGCTTCACAGGATTGAATGATGCACCGAGCATTTTTTTTTTACAATCCCCCTCAAATTGCGTTGGATGGTGACCCAGTACTGAACGCTGGTCACTGCATTCATTGCTGGGGTTGCATAGTGAATGGTGGGGAAGAGATGACCAGGTGAACGCACCTTTGGATCACTCTCTTCCCCTTCCCGCGCCTCCCCCCGAGTTAGGGGGAGGGGGTCTGGATCAGGAGGGGTGGAGGGCAGGGAGGGTGGGGACAGGATGACGACCGAAGGGTGAAACAAAAGATGTAGAGAGATGCCTTGGGTCTCTATAAATAGCTCGCCGGTACAGCCATGAACTGTACGCATTGCAGGTGGTGTAAAGGTAACGTTCTGGCGCTGAGAGAACCCGTTTGTTTCACAGGAACGTTTGGGACATCATCGCTTTGCGACACGGAATCGCGACCTTTTTGGTCATCCTCTAAATGCTCTTCCTGTTCCCCGAATCCTCCCCGTGGTTGAAATTAAAAGACAATACAACCTCTTTACCGAGGACATATTTGTGTCTTCCTTTCCTTCTAAAATCAATAGGCATTTAAATCCGCATGTCAGCTAAGCACCTTCAGGATTTATTTATTCTCTTATTGCTTACACTCTTCAACCTTGGTGATGTTTTGCACTACAGGACTTGGCTGGTTGCCCCAGTGATTCACTACAATGATTTGGGAAGGACTGTACGTCACCTACATATACCTGCAAGGTCTTAGCTTCAAAACCCTGGTCTTAAGCTTAATTGACTGGCCTCGGCAATAGAGAATAATATAATAATAAGCTTATAATAACACTAAGCCTTGAATTTGACACAGCGGCTTATCACGGCTTCGAGACGTCTCAAAGCGCTTCACAGGATATACTGCAAAGTGAATTGACTGTGTATTTTGCGGGCGAAACACAGCAGCCCATTGCGCACAGCAGCGTCCCCGCAAACAGTCAATGGGACTGAGTAACCAAATTATTATTTTTCTTAATTTTTACCCCGTGGTAAAAACGGCTTAAGGAAACTTGCCTAACGTTTCGCCCTGCCAGGGAATTTCCAGCGAGGTCCTCTCGCTTGCTGGAAAGAACCACCAGCAGTTGAAACTCTGCCAAGCTTCATGCATGACAAACTTGTGTGAAGTCACTGGCTATTACTAAACTGCACCCTTGAATAAGATAAGCGTCTTTAAGACACAAGAGAAAACTGTAAGGAAACGCACGCCCACCCTTTGCTTTGAATCACATTGATGGCTCCAGAGACCAGAAAGGCGAGAATAATTTATACTACACAAGAATAATAATAATAATCATCCTTACATTCGATATAGCACCCTATCGTGTCATTGAGACGTCTAGAATAATACCTCACACCCCTTGCCTTGGGATTCAGCGGCTTAGGATAATAATAATAATAATTCTTGCGCTTAATATAACAATTTATCACGTCTCAAAGCTGTGAAGTGAATTGACTGTATATTATTGTGCACACCAGTGTCCCACCAACAGTCGTGGGATCAGTGACCGAATTATTAGTATTATTTATTTTTTGGAGGGATTAGTATCCTTGGAAAGCGATCCGCCAATCCAATCGACTAATAACGGGGTTCCTGCTTACAGTCAGGTAAAACAGATGCGCGTGAAGTAAGGAAATTTGTGAATGGTTTCGCCCTGCCCGGGATTCGAACCTGGGTCCTCTCGCTTGCGAGGAGAATTGTATTGATGGGTGGGAGGGGGGTGGGTTAGGGAGTAGAGGGAGCACTGACCAGGAGAGTGGGATTGCATTTGGTGGCTCATGAGGAGAGAAATTCCAGCACAAGACATTGAGAGGTTGGATGGTTTGTTTGTTTGTGTTCTTTAACATTGATACGTGAATATAAACTGAACATCTGAACCAATCCTCCTGGTTCTGAAAATAGTCTGGAAGAATGGTGTTCCGCTGATCCAGTCTTAATTACAAAAATAAACAATATATAACTCTTATCTTTTAAGAACTTTGCTTTGGTGCGCAAAAATGTAGGAGATAGCAATGACTATTTTGGTTTTGAAAACTACTGAGTTTCCCGAAGACGAGGTGTGTTTGTGTTCAGCCTTTGGCCTCTGTCGTCCGGTCCACTTATCATGTGCAGAAGCTGACCGGTTGATCGTTGACCATTTGGTTTGATGCAGAATCCAGGAGTGGAGCTGGAATATCTCATCTTGAGGAAAGTGCACGGCCACGGACGTTCAGACGGACACACACGTACAGACAAATGACCTGCCAGTCCAGAGGGTTCATAGTCCGATGGAAGCCACTCGAGAAATAATTCTCCTCGTCTCTCCTTTTTCTCTCTCTCCTTACATCCTGTTTTCTGCTCGTCCATTCTCTGAGGTCAAGGCTGCGGAGGTGGGAGGGTTGGATTGAGGTGGGTTCCCCGGGAGGAATCAGAGAACCACAGCCAGGGCTCAATTCCGTGTTCAAATTAAGAGTAACAGGGAATAGAACAAGCAAACGGGGTTTATTTAGGTAGCTTCAGTGGACGAGTTTGTGGTAGTTTAGGCTTGATGGGTCGAATGGCCTCAACAATTCTGCTACAGGTCTGCCTCGACAGTCTTTGGTTCTAACCTGGCTTTTATAAAGCTTATGCACTCCCCCCACACCACCCCAACAATGGATGAACTTGACGTGTCTGTATCATTTCCGAGTCTCGGTGTTCTCCACTTTGTAAAGCCTTGGTCTCGTTCACCAATTCCACTTCGGCCACAGTCCCTGATTCTGGTGAGTTTGGCTCCACTGGTTCCATTTCATACTTCGAAGCACGTGATGTCAATCTGCACCTGTTGAGTGGACGTAGAAGGAAACGTTCAGCAAGGCTTGTGGATGCGAAGGCATCAACGGGAAAAGCGATCATACACTGCTGCATAATAATAAAAATAATAACAATAATAATGATCGATTGGCGGATCGTTTTCTGGGTGTAATAATCCCTCGAAAAAAAAAAATTACGGTAGTGCCTGTGTTTGGAAGTTTCTGAGATTCCCTCTTAACTTGGTTTGCTGGCTTCTCTTCAAACACGGCAGAAAAAGCAACTTCAAGAGGTATATGCAAGTTTTACAAAACACACAGTCACGGCACTTAAAAATAACAATAATAATAATCCTTGCATTTGATATAGGGCCTTATCACATCATCGAGCAGTCACAGGATATGCTGTAAATTGAATCGACTGTATATTTTGTGGGCGAAACTTGGCAGCTACTTGCGCACAGCAGCGTCCCACAAACATTGAGTGACCAAATTATTATTTGTAAAAAAATTTTTTTAAAAAGGGATTATTACCTATGGGGTAAGAACGGGGAAGTGGGACAAGTCTTTCAAAGACCCCGGCACAGGCACGATGGGCCGACTGGCCTCCTTCTGTCCGGTGCGAGTCTATGATTCTATGGGGATGGAATCCCAAACCTTCTGACTCACAGGCAAGAATACATCCGACTGAGCCAGACTTTAACTCATTCAATACACAAAATATCTTCACAGCACTTACACTTTCCTCTTTACGACGAACAGCCAGAGAAGGAACAGACCTCCTCCAATGACGATAATCACAGCAGCGGAACCTCCTTTAGTAAATGGAATGAAAAATACAATAAGGTCTCCAACAACAGCAACAACAAATTACATTTGTTATAGTGCCCTTTCATGTCGGGAGGACGTCCCAAGGCACTTCACGGGTAAAAGCAAAACACACTGAAACAACTAACACATGCTCCACGAAGACAAGCCAAATGTGGTCCTAACCCTAACCCTAACCTAGGTTTATTGGACTACTGCGTGCAGTTCTGGATGACTTACTATAGGAAGGATATAATAATAGTATCAATAATAACCCTTGCATTTGAGTTAGCGCCTTGTCACATGGTTGAGACGTCTCAAAGCGCTTCACAGATTATACTGTGAAGTGAATTGACCGTATATTTTGTGGGGGATATATGAGGGAGAATGGAACAGAGGGGAATAGGGGGGGTTATCAAGTGGCCACTTTCAGTGCTGTAATGTTCTCTGTAATTATTTTATTGTCGTCAATTTTCTTTATTGTAATGTAGGGCAAGGTCTCGACCAGTGTCTGTGGTGCGAAAGGTGAATCCAGCCCTCCTTAAAGCACATTAAAAACGCAAGCTCTTTTATCTGTACGTGATTATATTGATAAATATATACACTAAATACACTATTTTTACAGTGCTTTAACACATCAAAACATCTCAAGGTGCTCTCTCTATCCTAATAACTGCAAGGCATTGTAACTTGCTTACTTGCATCGCATCCGGCATGATCAATAGAGAAAGTCTAGACGTGGAAGAAATTTCAATAAGACTTAAGGTGCTATTTCCTTACCGGCAACCGCCTTGACCTTAATGTTGTACATTGGACTGGCATTTTCTGTGGACGATAAAAATAAAACTAATGACAGATTCAGCCAGAATGCAGATTATCTAAAGCAAACATTTTTATAGCATATCGAGCAGGTGCATCTGTGACAAACTGCAAGCTACTAATCCAAATGGTTTGGATATTACGGTCAACACGAAGACAACAGTTTTTGCTGGTAAATAATCATAAAATAATAATCCTCGCATTTGATATAGCGCCTTATCACATCTTCGAGACGTCTCAAAGCGCTTCACAACATATTCTGTAAAGCGCAGTGACTGTATTTTTATGCATAATATATACACGAATGAAATTGATGGATCACCAGAGATGTTTGGTTGAAAGAAGGCTCTTCAGGTCGTTTGTTCTCACCCTTCCAGAATCACCATCCCATTCCAGAATCAAGCTCTTTCTTGAATAGATCCAGCGTCCTGGCCTCCACCACCCTTCCCTGCTTAACCACCCTTCCCTACGCCAGTCATGAATCTCCATATAAAGAACTACTTCCTGAAATTAACCGTTGCCAACCTTGAACTTTTGATATTTTGCTCTGCTGGCTTGACACATCTATTGTTCTGGGTTGATGTTCTCAACCCAATTTAGAATCTTATATGCAGTACCTCTGTAAGGTCCGTTCTGGGATGTCTCTTCTTAAGACTGAAGAACCCTAGGATATCTAAGCTTTGGCCATAATACGTTTCTCTGTCACGAGGATCTAACACCATTGCTCTCCTCAGCATTTCCTTCATGGCTCAGGCAGCCCATTGTAATGTGGGGAAATCTTCCTGGTGGGAGTGGGGGAGAAGGTAACCTTGGAGCTGACCTGGGGCAGGTACTCTTCCCATTCAGCTCTTGCTAACCCTGCAAGCCAAAACTCTTGACAGGAATAGTAATCCTAGTTGGACAAGCTGCAGGAAGCAGCAGACACTGCTTTCAATAGCAAGCTACGTGGCTTTAGCTGGTTAGACTCCAGCAGTTACCCCAATGAATACTCCGGGTTCCCCAAAGCCTTTTGTCTGTATTGGTGACATGCATGGAATTCTCAGTCTTGTTTGGATATTCGGACACGATGATGGTTATCTGCATTTGTCAGATACCCGACTGACCAAAAAAAAGGGACATCACAATCCTCACAAACATATGAGTACTACACACACACACACACACAACACACACACGTTCTCTCTGGGTATCAATCAGTAGTAGGAATCCTGGCAAGTTTCTTGTCTTAGTCAAGTAGCATTGAGTGTCCTGGATGACATCAGCTAACGCAGCATAGATGAGATATCAGTGAAAGGATTTAAGAAAGAGAAAAAGAGAGATATGGGCAGTAAAACTAATAAAGGTTATGGCAGGAAGGTAGAGAGGTGGGATTAGGGGAGGTTTGAAGCAAGTAGACCATGGAGTGATCTGTGGCAAAGTTGGCTCAGAGAGTCAAATGACTTCCCACTGTTCTGAATTTCCTATCTCCAGGTTAGAACTCGTTCCCTAACTAGATGGTTGTGGCGCTGCCAACAACAGCAACAACTTGCACTTATACAGCGCCCCTCGTGCAGAGTAGCATCCCAGAATGCTTGACAGTGGTGGAGCATGACACAGAGCAGGGCCACCGATGATGGAACAACGGCACGAGGGACATGCAGGAGGCCGGAGCCAGTCGAGCGGAGGCAGAGGGTAGTGAGTTGGGGGATAAGCAGGTGGCAGCCTTCGTTAGCTGAGCATCACAACAGCTGAGCCTTTGGTGGAGGGTCGGGCATTTGATCCAAGTAACAATGGAAGATTAAATCCCATTTTAGTGTTAATAACAGAGCAACTAGCGTAATGTCAATACAGAGGTCATTCCTTGATGCTGTTCAACCCAAAATAATTTAAGCTATGCCTAAAACCTTTTCTGGCTAAGTTAAACCCCAGAGGACTTAACTTCAGCCTTGGCTGTGAGAGACTGGAAGACACAAACAAGCTACAAATCAAGGGGCCGCAGCAATAGCTCCTATTGTCAACCCTTAAGATGTTGCCTTAAAAAATGAAGCAGCTGCAGAACGTTGGAAGACAGTTAGAAATTGAGTCTCAATTGAGAAGCCAATCGCAGTTCTTCTTGGATCCTTGGAAAATCATCTTCCAAAGTAAGATTGAATTTAAGGGCGGTTTCCAAAATCCCGCGTAACCTTAAATGTTCGAAAGCCAAAGAACATGAGCGACTAAATGACCCCCGGCTTTACTAGGGACTTGCAGTCACTCGCATGTTCATGGCTAGACTTTTATATCAAGTCAAATTGAGCCTAAACCTTGAAACAGCTTTTCTGCGGTTCCCAAGAGAACTTTCAGGGCAATAGCTGAACTCCCTGTTTAAGAGTTTGGCAAATTCTGTGGGATTTTCTTCGGTCAACCTGGGAGTGATCGGATAAGTAGAAAAACCCATCGCAGTGCTTTAAGAGTATACAGCTCCAAACAAGACTTGACATGTTTGGATACTCTTAGGCACAGTGAAAGATTCTGGATGCGCTGCAAAGCGAAGAAAATAAGTATAAATCTAGTCATAGGTGGAATTTCAACCCCCATTCCCCACCCCCCCATCCTCACTCCATCCCCCCAAACAACCCAAATGGGGGGCACCTGCACGCCAGTATGGGTTTTTAAGCCAAAACGATCCTTTTAAGACAAACCAATACATTAAAACTCACATAAGTCTGATCTGTATAAACCGTACAATTGCCTAAGTCGTACATCTGCCCAAGTCCGTTCAAGGGTTTATATTCTATGCCAGTTTGACATAACTCACACTTTGCATAAGTCATAGTAATTAAGTGTATGATCCCAACCGATATGACTCGTGTGAGGTTTACCGTAGCAGTGGATCGAGTTTCAAAGCTGTGTCTGACAACTAAGTGTGAATCCGGGAGGAAAATGTGAAGATGTTTTGCAACCAATCTGAACTGACCGGGGGCACCTTCAGTAGTGTCCGGTACATCAGTCGCTGTTTCTCCGGATGAGGTGACTATTGTTTGGGATAATGTGTCAATTGTTGCTAATGGTTCTGCTCCAAGGTTCCCGTGAGTTAATAATAAGATGGAGAATAGTGACAGTTAGCAAAGTCTAGCAAAAAAAAATTGAGTAATGCTATTTGATAGAGATGAGCACTCCAAGACACTATCCCGCATGAATAATAATAATAATAATAATAATAATAATAATAATAATAATAATAACCTTTGCATTTGATACAGCACCTTATCACATCGTTGAGATGTCTAAAGCGCTTCACGGAATATATTGTAAAGAAAATTGACTGTATATTTTGTGGGCGAAATGCGGCAGCCGATTGCGCACCGCAGCGTCCTACAAACAGCCGTGGATTGAGTGCACAATTATTTGTATTTAGATATGCGTATAACATGATATAAGTCCAGTCTGTTATGGAATAAATACCCCACTTAAAGTGATAAAACAATATTAAAGCACCATTTGTTAATGGGTTTTAATAATACTAATAATAATCCTTGCATTTAATATAGCGCCTTATCACGTCTTTAAGACACTTCAAAGAGCACACGGCAAAGTAAATTAACTGTATGTTTTGTGGATGAAAAGTTTTGTGTTGCAAATATCATTAAAAGTTTCTCAACCCAAATCTACTGAAAGGAAAGGTGAAGTCTATGAGTTGCGAAGTCCACTGACCTGTGGTAAGGTTAGCACTATAAGTGACTGTGGTTTCTGCAGTGGCTGTCTGAGTCCCCTCTGAGAGAACAGTCGTTGCAAATTCTGTTTCAGCTGTGGTGGGGCTTGTCGTTGTTGACCTGACTGCTGTCCGCGTCGATAATAAAGGTCCCGGTCCTAAGTTTTAATTAATAATAAGACGGGCAATGTTTAAAATGAGCTGACGTTTACCACAGTTGTGAAAAACTTCTGCTAAAAATAGCGCATACAGAGCCATTTCCTATTTATTAGTAGGTAAACCGAGGCGTGTGTGTGTGTGTGTTTGTGTGGAGTAAGGAAACTCGCCTAAGGTTTCGCCCTGACCTGCCTGGGAACTGAACCTGGGCCCTCTCGCTTGCCAGGCGCGCGCTCCAACCAAGACGACTTAAAGCGCTTCACAGAGCACGCTGTAAAGTGAACTGACTGCATGTTTTGCGTGGGCGAAGCTCGGCAGCTCAGCAGCATCCCCACAAACAGCCGTGGACGGGAGTGCCCCAAACTATTCTTGTTGTGTATTAGTATTATTAATTATTATTATTAACAGAAACGGCCCCGGTTTCGCTCGACTGCCCCGGTGATGAAAGCGTTTCTGTCCCTGTTACCGTAATGATGGTTTAAAATGAGCTGATGTTTCACAATTGGGGCAATATTTTCCACGGGAAAAAAAAATGCCGCATGTGACCAAATGAGAGTCGCACCTTTTGGGGGTTTTTCTCCTGGTAACCATTGAAAATAATTGGTGTTTTAGTCGAACAAACCTGAGGTGCCCGTATTGTCCGTAGCTGTTGTTCTAGGCTGGTCTGAATGTGTCGTCACTGTGTCTGTTGCTGCTGTTGTTGTCTCTACTGATCTCGCTGCTAATGTGGCCTCTGGTGCTAACCGATGGCTTCCTGAATCAGCGATCGTGAATATATAAATATATATGTTTACATGGGAAAATGGTGTATGCCCCACCATCGGCGGTTGGACCTTCAGCCTCTCTGCCCCCAGCCTTCGGAACTCCATCCCACAGTCCCTTCGCCTCGCTCCCTCTCTTGCCTCCTTCAAGGCCCATTACAAGACCCACCACTTCGACCGTGCCTTCGGTCACCCTCTTACCTCCATTCTCCTTGCCCTCCACACCTCCTGATCCCATCCTCCTACAGCATCTAAATCCCTGACGGTCCAGCGCCTTGGGACCCGAAAGGCGCTGTACAAATATAATTTGTTGCTGTTGTTGATGTAACCCATCTTGCTGGGCGACTGCCAATCAAACCACGGACTGCGTCCAATCAAGTGCGGAGAGGCAAGGTGTACGCAAGTTGACATGCTGTCTAGACCGGTCTGTCTACCCCGCCTGGAGTTCCCATTTTAAGTTCCTATGGTCTGTTTCCCAACTCAGTTTCTCCATCCCCGTCCTCGCCAGGCCCCACTGGCTCCCCATCCCCCCAGAGGATAGAGTTCAAAATCCTTGTCCTCACTTTCGAAGTCGTCCATGTGTTTGTTCCTCCCCGTGTTTGTCTATTTGTCTTTAAGTCTTGCCAGTATCCCTCTGTGTCTCTCTATCGCGCTCTCCGGCCGGCTTTTCTTTCTCGAACTTCCTAGCCGCCCTTTCTAGCCAGGGCCGCAAGCTTGTTACCTGCCCACCACCTCCTCCTCCTCCTCAAAGCAAAGTTCTCTCTTCTCACAGCTTGTCAAAGAAAGCAGAGGCATAGACAACCTGAAGGAACTGAAACTCAACCTCTCTCACTACAAAGGCCAGATGAACTCTACGAAAAATACTTAGCATTTAAAATGAGACGATATTTAACATGAATCTTTTTTTCGGGATTCTCCCTTCCTCCCTGTCCCATCCCTCTCTCCCCCCCCCCCACCCCCCAAAAAAATGATTTACGCTTGTCAGTAACGAACCTGTGGTGCCTGTCAAGTCAGTAGTTGGTGTTCTATGAAGGTCTGAAAGGGTTGTTGAAATTGGTGGTGTTGTTGACTCTGCCGTTGTTATTGTTGTCTTTGCTGCGAACACATGACCTTCCTGAGTATTTTATTCATACAATATTCACACTATCTGACCCTGCCAAAGCCAAAGCCTCAACGGATAGGGTGGTCCCGGTTGGACAAGCCGCAGGAAAGCTTGTCGGACAGCAATATCAATGGCAAGCTACGCGGTTAGACTCCAGCAGGTACGACCAACTGCTAATACTTTCCGGAATTAGGTAAGCAGGATGCGTCCCTCCAGGGAGAGAGAGAGAGAGAGAGAGAGAGAGAGAGAGCACATTCCATTCCAACAGTCTATCTCTGGGATTTCCATGCGTAGCTGGGATGCAGGGAATTCTCAGCTCGGTTTGGATACTCTTAAGCAACGGTGATGGGTTTCCGCACGTGTCAGACACCCGGCTGAGCCCCCACCCCAAAAAAACACACTATCTCACACCACACGGTATAATTTCTTTGAAAGACCAATACACCCTTGGCGTAATAATGACTTCCCTTCAAGCCCGTATTGCGACAGTACATCTGAAGGAGGGGAAGTTGAAAACAAATCTGGGGAAACACTATTTCAGAGAGCGAGAGTAGTAAATGTATGGAACGGGCTCCTCTAGGGAGAAAGTGGTGATTCATTCAAATCCGAATAGATTTTTTTTAGAAAATAACATTTTGGGTTTCAATATGAATAATTTGAGACAAGGCATAATAATAATCCTTGCATTTGACATAACGCCTTATCACGTCTTCGAGGCATCTCAAAGCGCTTCACAGAATATAATGTCAAGCGAATTGACTGTATGTTTTGTGGGCGAAACGTAAGTGTAGTGTGGCTTGGAAGAACCAGGCAACTTAGGATCTAAGGTTCCCAAAGCTTTCCACTGTGTTGGTAGACTAATCCGTACAGAATTCATTGCTGTCAATAACTCCATTGTTATAGCAAGGGACTACCAGGATGGGAAAAGGCGAACGAGATGGACCTTGGTCTTTTTTCGTCTAGTAATTCCTATATTCCTATATTTGCATCAATGTGGTAGAGCTTCTATGGCCAGTCCTGCTGATCACATTGTGCCGGGAAGAGCGACTTAGCTACGATACAGATCACTGGTTTGCACGACACACAAAAAGGAGCTGCGTTAGAAAAAGAACTTTGCGGGCAGAGATTCTTCCTATTTGGCTTCTGTTAGCTCTCTTCACCTTACAACTAATACTCTCCAAATTAGGTAAGCAGGGTGCATGTCCTTTATTATTATTCCATACACATGTATTATGCCACCTTCATATTGCCATTTTCCATTAGTAGAATCTTAGTATCATAGAATCCTACAGCACAGAGGGAGGCCATTCGGCCCATCGTGCCTACGTTAGCTCTTTGAAAGAGCTATCCAATTAGTCCCACTCCCCCCCGCTATTACTCCATAGCCGTGCGATTTTTTTTCTTTTCAAGTATCTATCCAGTTCGCTTGTGATAGCTTGCCATGACTAGCACTGTCTACTTGCCCACCTTGGCCACCCTACCCATTAGGGATTTGAGGATTGAGTAGGAAGAATCCCTGCCATGACCCCAAATGTCTTGGATGGTCAGTCCAACACTCCCTAGGAACACCCAGGTCTAGCCTGGCTCAGGAACCAAACTATCAAGACCTCCCCACGCAGAAACGACTTGACTGAGTTGAGTTGAGATACCCATTTCCCTTGACAGGCTTTTCTATTCCAGTTCAATTGACCAGAGAAAATGTCCTCTGACTGCAAAAGACTATGGTAACAAGGCAGATTGGCTGATTGAGCAAACTCTCCACTCTCATGGCTGAAAAGTTAATATCGCTAACTTTTATTTCCATATTTCCCCCCCACCCACCCCCCCCATCAAAGATTGTTGCTCGAGTGTTGCCAGCTATTTTGTCCAAAGAAAACGAGGAATTCAGAACTAACGACACACTGAAAACAAAGAGTTGCACATCGATAGACAACAGCTGAGTGACGAACTTTGATTAACCAGATGAGTTGGTGAGCTTCGACAATGAGACAAGGAATGGTCAAAGTGTTCTTCCGATGACTTCAGGGGTAATGAATGCACTGCCCAGTGTTGTCGTACAGGACTTAAAGTCACAGGTTTGATTCACAAACGGCACTGATTGTGATTCACCACTCTATGCTACCAGACTTCTCAACCCTCTATAGTATCTCAATAGCAAGCGCTCGAACGCGATTGAATCCACGGGCAAGTTAGTCAACAGCCACAGTGGGCTGGCTTCATCCCAACCATTGCAATGGAGTTTAAGTAAATGGTGGTGGGGTAGGTGGGTGTAGGAACACATCTACGATTTATCACGTCTTACAATTTATCATGTCTTCGAGACGTCTCAAAGCACTTCACAGGACATACTGTAAAGTGTAGTGGACGAAAGTATTTTGTGGACGAAATGCAGCAGCAATGTCCCACAAACAGTCGTGGTTTGAAGTGACCGATTTATTATTCGATTTTTTTTGAAGGAGTCATCTCATTCATCTCATTGATCAATGTGTCAGATGCCTCTAATGGTAACGAAGACATCAAGCAATCGGGCGTTGTAAATGTTCTCCTCAGTAGCAGTGCCAATGCACGTGTGCACGTTTCCCTGAGGGAAATTCATGGACAAGATAGGAGACAAAAATATATTGATCCAAATTACATACAGCAAGAGAGAAAACCGAACTGCTCATCAAATGCAGGAGGATGAAGGACGACACTCAGGAAGGAGGATAGAAAATTGGATAGCAGGATTAGCCTCAGCTAATCCATTTTTGGCTACCAAAATGGCAAGCGGTTGGCTTGAAATGTGACGGTCATACACAGGAACTTTGCAGAATAGAGGAAGTATACAAATTTGGCACAAGGCAGTTTATTTTGGTCAGCCGGGTGTCTGACATACCAAAAACCCATCACCATGCTTAAGAGTGTCCAAATCCAGCTGAGAATTTCATGTATCCCACCTACACATGGAGGTTTCCCAGAGATAGATTATTGGAATGGAATGCGCACTCTCTCCCTGAAGTGACGCATTCTGCTTACCTAATTCCAGGCAGTATTAGGCGCAGGTTGGTAAAAGCCAAGGCTTGGGGGGACCCCAGAGTGTGTGTTAGGGTAACTGCTGGAGTCTAACCAGATAAAACAGCATAGCTTGCCATTGATATCGCTGATTAGCGAGGCAGAGTGAACATCTGAGGTAATGCTGACTGTATCCACTGTATGATAACAACTTAATCTGAATTCATAGACTCTGAACAAAGTAGTCAAGTTTGCAGATGACACCAAGTGACTGTTATCAGCACCAAACATCTTACGAAGAGAGCTCGATAGGGTATGCACCTTAACTGATGGCTGGCAAGTCACCTTCGATATAGATAAAAGAAAAGTACTGCAAATCAGAAATAAAACTAGGGGGCACAGGGACAGGATGGAGCTCGCTAGGATTTGAACGAGTCTTAGGAGCGTTAACTGATTGCCCACCAGGTTAAAACAGTGTGAAGCAGCAATAAAACAGCAGTACACCCACAAGCTGTTTAGCTGTTTTGCCAAATCAGTTAAGCGCGGTTCCCAAGAAGTCATGCTCAACTTGATACTTCAAGCCTGGCTGGTACATTCACTGCATGCCATCTAGATGCCACAACACAACCCAGGCCTTAAAGACAGTGTAGAGGAGAGGAACAAGGATGATCCGCAATATTAGAGGGGTGATTTGGTTTTTTTGGTCGGCCAGGTGTCTGACACATGCGGTTACCCGTCACCATGTTTATGAGTATCCTAACCAACCTGAGAATCCATTCATCCCACATACACATGGAAATCCCAGAGGTAAATTGTTGGAATGGAATGTGCACCCTCTCTGCCCCTGGAGAGACGCATTCCTGCTTACCTAATTCTGGAAAGTATTAGGCGCAGGTTGGCAAGTGCCCAGGCTCGGGGGGACCTCAGAGTGTGCATTGGGGGGTAACTGCTGGAGTTTAACCAGCTAAAACCACATAGCTTGCCATTGATAGCGCTGTCTGGCAAGCTTTCCCGTTGTTTGTCCAGCTAGGACCACCCTACCCGTCAGGGCTTTGGCTTGCAGGGTTAATAGGAGCTGAGTGGGAGGATCCCTTGCTTCCCAGTGACTGACCTGCCCATCTAGGTCTTGCCAATGTGCCAGACTGGCTGTGCTTTCATCAGCAGTGTCCTGGAATACTACGGACCCGCTGGCTCAGGAGCGGGACTACTGAGATCGCCTCAGAGGGCTGGCTCGATCGTCTGACATTCTGTTGCCAAACATGTCACCTTGGAGCCAGTTCGGCTTCAAGGAGACCCTGCTTACCTACCCCCTGAGGAGGATAGAGAGAGAGGGGTGAGCAATGAGGAACGAAGAGATGAGATGGGCCTTGAAAAGAGACATCTCAGAGGAGATCTTATGGAGGTTATAACAATTCTAAATGGGATTGAGATGCTGGATCCATTCACAGTTTCAAGACTGAGGTGGTAGATGCCTGTAAGCTCAGGGTATCAAGGGATATGGGGCAAAGGCGGAAAATTGGAGTTAAGGTCCAGATCAGCCATGATCTGATAGAAGGAAGAACAGGCTCGAGAGGCTGAATGGCCTACTCCTGTCCCTATTTCTCTAGTGTGGAAATTCCCGTGAAGAAGTGGTTGGATGAAGCTGGTAGCTATACGGTGTGTGTGTGTGTGTAGAGGAGTGGGGTTGGGGGAAAGGGGGGAGAATTTGCAACGTTGAAGATTTCACCCCCAATCGCTGTACAGATTCACCGATACAAACAACACTTTGTTTTTAAGCTGGGATTTCTGCAGTAACTGTTTAACTGTTTATCGAAAGCACGATTGAAAAAAAAGATAATTATCTTTTTTCTCCAGTCTCGTTTTTTTTTTTGCTTTAGGCAACAAACCTGTCGTGTCATTGTCGGTCGGAGTCACCGCCTTAGGGGCCTCGGTTGTTGGAGTGGTTGTTAATGGTGGGTGACCACTTAATCCTGACAATTAACAAGTGAGAAAATATTAATACAGGGTTAAAAATAGTGTCGGAATTTAAACGTTTTATATACTGTACATGTAAGCTTTGTGATTGCCTTTCTTAAAGCTCACCTTCGGGTTTTTTTTTGGTCTCTCTCCTGTTGTCAACACCCTTCCCTTTCAATCAGGGTCAACTAGGTTCTGCTGTTAGTCCTGCCTTATGAACACTTTGGGTTTGACTTCTCCTCTGCACAACAGGATCCGACTGTTTTTCCGAGAAGCACCGCTCAAGTCTACTATCGATCAACTCTCGTCCCCACCCTCCCACCTTCACCCTACTGAGCAATGAATTCCCCACCCACCCACCTCCTCCCATTCCTCTCACACGCCCCACAATTAACACAGTGAAGGTTAGTGCAGTACACAATTACGGCTTTAGCAGAGAAGGAAATGCGAGAGAGAGTCGATAAAGGTTAGCATTGCAGGGTTGTTAAACTTCTTGCTCACGACGATTGTCTCAGTCGTGTCGGCGGACGTTTGGGTTAATGGAGGAGATGAAAAGATGAAAGAAAAAGACTCCAACAAGGCCTAACTCAGGATGGTCCAACTGGACCCCAGCAGCCAAAATGTTGGCCCACCCTGCCTTATACAATCACTTCTTAAAGTTGCACAAGGCAGCACTCCCTTCTCCCTTCTCTCTTCCCCCACCCCAGTTTGCTGCCTGTCCCAACAGCACACACATGGCTCCATTCCATTAAGTAATCCTAAGTTTATAATCACCAAGAAATAAATTGCTGACAGAGCCTATCGGTAGGATTCATCTCTCAAAGTATTTTTTGCAATATTTCTGAGCAGATTTTGATAATTATCCTGCAAGCATCTGTTAATGCATTCCAGAAACATTTCCCAAATTTCCATGTTGCTGCCACGGCAATGGTTTTAAAACATTGACTCGGTGTCAAGTTATACATGTTCCTGCCAGTTTCCATCCCTCTTGGTTGGTATGAAATGTTCAGCTCTTATATCTCTAGGTCCTGAGTATCTTAATGTACACCTACGGATGTCGGACTGTCCGTCCAACTACCTACCTGTCTCATCATATGCTTCTCAGGATGTATTTTATTGGCTGATTACATTATTAATAATAATCCTTATTTATGATAGAGCGCCTTTCATGCTGGAGAAGAGAAGGTTGAGGGACAATATGATTACCGTCCTTACGATTCTAAACGGACTAGATAATGTAGACCATGATAAGCTGTTTTATCTTGTACTGAACAGCAGAACCAGAGGACACAGCCTGCGATTGAAGGGGGGGAGGGGGTACATTCAGAACAAATCTGTGGCAACACTACATCAGTGAGCGAGTAATAAATGTATGGAACAGGCTCCCTAGGGAGACGGTGGAAACAGAAAGTGTTGATTCTTTCAAGAGAACAAATAGATTTCTGTTGGGAAATAATACCTTGGGGTACAGTATATAGTTTGGGGCGCGGCATGTACCAACGACTGCCAGGGTGGTGGAAGGCAAACTGGATGGACCCCGGTCTTCTTTTGTCTGGCAAATTCTTATGATGTCTCAAAGCGGATCTGATGAAAAGGGTAATGGCCCGTAAATTGTAGCGACTGTGTATTTTAGAGGCAAAAGCGTCAGCTAATCTGCCCACAGTCCTGATTGCCGCGACATAAGGAGGCTACCCACGCACAACCCTAGGTAGAGGAGAGCAATGAGGATGATTCCCCAGTGCTAGAGGAATGAGCTTTGAGCAACGACTAGACAAGTTTGGCCTCTTCAGTCTTGAGAGAAGGCAACTCAGACAAAACCTCACAGAGTTACGCAAAACGGGTTGAAAAAGCTATCAATACAACAGAGGAACACGAGGACATAGGTTTAGAATTGTAAACGGCATTTTCAGGACTTCTTTTTAACGCAGAGGGTAATCACTGATGAACAGGTTGTCAGGAAGAGTGGTGGAAGGCCAGGGCACTAGACTCATTTTTTGTGTGAAGGAATTATTAGCCCCAAATCAATCCACCAATTGACTAACAACCAGGTTCCTACTTGCTGCTAGAGGCGTATGGAGTATGGAAGCTTGCCTAAGGTTTCGCGCTGCCCAGGAATTGAACTGGATCCTCTTGGGTCCTCTAGTTTTCGAGGCGAGTGCTCTAACCAATACGCTATAGGACGCCACGGAGAGGGAGTGAGGGGGAGTGGGGGGGGGGTGGTGGTTGGGGTGGCGGATTAGGGCAGGTCTCCTATCAATTAACAAGGACGCATTTATGTGGCCTTAATGAGATAGTGCGAAAATGCTTTGTGCATTAGAAACTACAATACTTCCAATGCAACCTTGAGATACATGGAGGTGTTCCAGTTGGCTCAATCGAAGGCAATTTTGCCACAGATAATAGCTATCTTAGTTCAAAATGTTGGCCAACTTCCAATGCTCTCTTTAAAGGATCTCTGGATATAACAGCGAGGATTAACGCATACAAATTCTGAGTGTTAGATTTCCTCACATTGTAATTAATGGGTAAAGACTTCTCAATATTACCGCACATTCAGGGCAGCCACTGTGCACAATGGGTTATAGATAACAACAGTCGCTTCCGGGCTTTTTAGTAAAGATTAAGTAGTGACGTGAAAAATATGGAATTGCTTCACAGAATATACTGCAAAGTGAACTGACTGCATATTTATANTTTTTAAACGAATTGGGGTCGTGCATCGCTCCTGAGGTTCAGGTCAAGGCACTTATACGTTTTGATTCAGATAATTTCAACTAGTTCAGAACAAGGAGCCTAAGAGGGAGCAGCTCATTGCTCACCAATAAAAATAAATAAATAGCGGTAATTCGTAACGAGATTCCTTAATACCTCACCAAAGGGGGACTCCTTCTGGTAACGAGAGGAATGCATCAAGTATTGCATCAGTGAAAAAGATAACTGGGCTCCTACCAATTAATAATAATAATAATAATCCCTGCATTTGATACAGCGCCTTATCACGTCTTCGAGACGTCTCAAAGCGCTTCACAGAATACACTGTAAAGTGAATTGTATATTTTGTGGTTGAAATGTGCCAGCCAATTGCATACAGCAGTGTCCCACAAACAGTCGTTAAATTTGGGATAATTACCCAAGGAAAGAGATCCACCAATCGACTAACAACCATGTTTCTACTTACTGCTAGGTAAACAGAGGAGTGTGGAGTGAGGAAACTTGCCTAAGATTTCGACCTGCTCGTGAATTGTACCCGGGCCCTCTCGCTCGCGAGGCGAGTGCTCTAACCACTGAGCTACAGGAATCCAATTAACACAGAAGCGCATTTATGGCCTTACTGAGACAATGTGGAAACGTATACGAACTCAGTCATGGAACACCGACCGCTCTAGTACAAGCTCGCTTAAATTCCCTGTTAACTGGACGGATTCCGTGTCTCGGTGTCCTTAGTAAATATTCCTGTTCCTAAACCCCACCCACTGCCAATGCTTTGTGTCAGTACAATTTTCGATCATCACCTTTCCTGCGCACAAGTGACCTGTGAATAGACCAAGAGAAATGCTGATTTAGCATGAAATGAGACATGGGAAAGAAAATGTGCAGCAAGGTCGGATGGAAGCATTGCTACTATATCAAAAGAATGCACCTTAAACCAACCTCAGAAGAGCCCTTAATCCACTAAGGTCCCATTACCACCCTGTCCAGAACCAGAGCTTTTGAAAAACACAGCAACATCTTTGAGGTAAAAAGCCGCAAACATTGACATCTGCGTCCATTGGGTTAATCAAAGCAGCGGATAGGGTTAACGGAACGTACAGGTACCAATGTGTCATCAAGCGTTTGCTATGGCATAGCGCAATTCCAAATGGCCACACTTTAACAGGACGCTATGTTCGTGAAAAAGCACACGGCAAACCTTTGTGCAGAGAAGCGTGAAGGGAACCCGGGAGATGTCCATGTTGTGATAAAGTCATGTTGGACGATGAGTTTGGACGTTGTTGGAACAGGCGTTTTAAAAAAGAAAACAGCAACAAATTACATTTACACAGCGCCTTTCAGGTCGGGAAGCCGTCCCAAGGCATTGGCCAGTCAGGGATTTGGTCCTGAGCTCAGGGTTGGGTTCAGGAGGGGTGGAGAGCAGGGAGGGTGGGGGTAGGAGGGTGCCGAAGGCACGCTCGAAGAGGAGGGTCTTGAGTCAGGTGAAGGTTTGCCGAAGAGGCTTTTTCATGAAGAGGACGCCTTTTTAAGCATAAAGCAGAGCTATTACACACACGCTCAGGTTACACATAACAGGTGGACCCTGCCCCACGACTGACCAGAGTTCTGTTCAAGGATTTGTAGCATGTTTCCCGGTTTTATTGCCGTAATATTTTGACACATTCTAAATTAGTAAAACAAAATCTGACCTGAAAATGGAGTAGAAGTCGTACTGATGGCGGTCGATAAGATGGCATTTCAAAATCACATGCAAATAAATATTCTGCTCTTTACAAAAATTATTATAACAAATGTACAGTACTAAGATCTAGTCAGGCAATAAGTCTTAGCCACATTTCCTCATGATTTCGAACGTGGCAGGAAAGAGAGGCTGTAAAGACCAATTGGTAAAAAAAAAGCAGCTATAATACAACACAATGTACAGGCAACTAGTCTATCCGTGTGATGGTTGGCAAGCTTAAAGCTTCTGGGTGTGATGTTCCTTTGAATCCGACCTGAATCTCACGGCTCCCAATTAGTCTTGCTGGTCAACTGAGCCCAATAACACAATACCAGATTACATTTGTACAGCGCCTTTCACATTGGGAGGACATCCCAAGACCCTGGACAGTCAGGGATTTGCACCCGAGCGGGGGGCGTAGGAGCGGGGGTGTTGGGGTAAGGGAGGGTGGAAGACAGGGAGGGTAGGAGGTTGGCTGAAGGCACGGTCGAAGAGGAGGGTCTTGAGACGTGCCTTGAAGGTGGCAAGGGAGGGAGTGAGGCGAAGGGAATGTGGGACGGGGTTCCAAAGGGTGAGGGCAGAGAGGTTGAAGGCCCGAAAGCCGATGCAGGCTGGGCGGGAGATGTGGAGCAGTCCGGAGCCCTTCACACCTGCAATTAGGTGTCAGCCTGGCTCAACTGGTAGCACTTTCTCCACTGAATCAGAAGGTTGTGGGTTCAATATTGGCCCTTTCACTTTAAGAGGACCTCTAAAAAAGTGCTTAAAAGGACATTCCGTAAAGTGTAGTGACTGAGTATGTTACAGGAGGGCGAACGTGGTAGCCGATTTGCGCACAGCGATGTCCCCACAAGCAACCAAGCGATCAATGACCAATTTTCTCTGGGGGATTGTTGGCCAGGACTCCGGGGGTAGACAAACTCCCTTCTCTAATGCAATTTGATTTTTAACATCCAACCCGAACCAGCAGATGGGCTTCAGTTTAACATCTCATCCAAAGGCCAGCACTCCTGATAATGCAATGCTTCCGCCAAGCACTCCATCGCATTGTCAACCTAGACCGGGAGTCACTTAACCTGAATAATACATACGACACTTAGCCCTCAATACTCAGAATTCTTTCTACACAGTGTGATGTACTTACGAATGCAAGTGAGATTTGGTTTCGACCATTGGAATTGGTTTGCCTCACAGTGGATGAGGTTTGATGTCCCGGCCTTCCTCACGTAGCCATTGTCACACGTCAATCGCAGTCTGTCTCCGACCTTAAAGCTATTCTTTGTTATCACGCTCATGTTGACATTGGGAACGTTCAGATCGGGTCGTCCACAGCTTCCTGCGAAGAGGCAAAAAAAGGGAAGTAAGTCAATCTGCTGCGGACTTGTTGTCATTTCAGAATCAAACCCACTGCATTGGCTAGAAGTCCTGTAGCTCGGTGGTTAGAGCACTTGCCTCGCAAGGACCTGGGTTTGATTCTGGGGCAGGGTGAAACGTTGGGCAAGTTTCCTTACTCCACACGCCTCTGTTTACCTAGCACTGAGGAGGAACCCGTTTGTTAGTCGATTGGTGGATTGCTTTTCCGGGGGTAATAATTCCTTCAAAAATAAATAAAGATAATTTGGTCACTCAATCCACGACTGTTTGTGAGACACTGCTGCGCGGAAATCGTGTGCTACGTTTCGCCCACAAAATATAGTCAAATGACTTTACAGTAGATTCTGTGCAGCGCTTTGTGAGTCTCAAAGACGTGATAAGGCGCTATAGCAAACAAAAGGATTATTATTACTGTTGTAACAACCACGTACTTATTATTACTATTGTAACAACCACATGCTTTCAGTAGGGCCTGGTGGTATACCCGCTTTGGCTGCATTTTCTTGTATATGTGCATTTTCTTTACATGTTCTGTATATGTTACAATTTCCTGTTGGATTGATTTTAAGTTTTCTTCAATACTTTGCTGACACAAGCGAATTTTACATGCCAACTCCTTGTTCTGCATCAATTATTGTTGTCTTGGCCTGAACCGCCACTCTGCTGCTGCTCAAGCGGTTGTGTCAAATGTTCAACAGTTTCAACATACGGTTCTACTTGTTTTTTTTGTTCAGGCCCTCAGGCAATCCAAATTTTCGGATCAAGCCAACCGAGTGTTGAAAATATTATACGATCCTCGCATTTGATTCGTCGCGTTTTCGAGACGCCTCAAGAATATACTGTAAAGTGAATTGACTGTAATTATTTGTGGGCGAAACCCGGCGGCCATTTGCGCACAGCAGCGTCCCCACAAACAGCCGTGGATTGAAGTGACCAATTTATTATTGTTTTTTTTTCTTCGGGGATTATTATCAGGCATGTGGAGTAGGGAAACTTGGCCAAGGTTTTGCTCTGCCTGGGAATCGAGCCCAGGTCCTCTCTTGCTTGGCTGGCAAGTGCTTTAACCACTGAGCTGCTGTACTCCATTTTGTAGACACAGTGGCGTCCTGTGTACAGCCATCGAGTGAGCGACCAATTTTTGCCTCAGGGATTGTTGGCTCAGGACACTGCGAGAAATCCTCTACCCATATAGTGGCTGTGGGATCTTTCATTGCCATCTGAAGAGGCAGATGGGCGCAGGGAGTGAGGGGAGTAAATATCATATAGTGTTCTTGATTCTAGAGCATGAACTTCCACTGATTCCTAGCCCGAAGGACTACCTCCTCTCAAAATTTTACACAGAATTTTGGAAAAATCTTCAATTCACTGTCAGTCTGGCTCGTTTTGCAAAACCGTTTTCCAAACCAGAATCGCGTTTAGGAGTTTTCCTCAATTCTGCCCATTTTTAAACCAAAATAGTCTCGAGGTGTGGGGGTGGGGGGCTCTTAATAATCCAAATGAGGTGAGGACAGGATGTAATTTGGTTTGTTTTCCCCCCATGGCATGATGATAATGATAATAATAATCCTTGCATTTGATATAGCGCCTTATTCCATCAGTGAGACGTCTCAAAGCGCTTCACAGAATATATCTTAAAATGAATTGCCTGGAACAGGATAACAGGATAGCGGTTGAGGACGCGATGCTTAGACAGTTTTAAAAAAAAATACAACTTGATGGGAAGACGGTAGGGCGGGTGTTCTGGAAAACATGAGAGCATATGGGCCAATTCATCTGAACCAATCTTGTGGTCTTGTACGTAAACGAAAGAAGACTTCGTCAGGCGGGTTAAAAAAGCCCCTCCAAAAACTCAACATAGAGTTTGCATGTAATGACCTGTTAAGAATATTGGGTTATTGAATATTGTTATTATAGGAGCAGTCGAAGATATCAGATTTGAAGGCAGAGAGGAGAGGGCGAGGCGAAGGGAGAAATGCTGGGATGTTGGCAGCACAACATGGTATTTTTCACCTGAACTGGAGCGTTGCCAGAAGGGAGTGCCTGCGGAGCTAAGACAGCAACTCTTGCGGCAGTTTGTTCGCCACCCCCCCCGCCCCCCCACTCCGCACCAAAATTCTGCTTACAAGACAATAATAATAATAATCCTCGCATTTAACGTAGCGCCTTATCACGTCTTCGAGACGTCTCAAAGCGCTTCACAGAATATACCGTAAAGCGAATTGCCGATATGTTTTGGTGGGCGAAACGCGGCAGCCGATCGCCGCGCAGCAGCGTCCCCACAAACAGCCGCGGACTGAAGTGACCAATTTATTAATTTTCTTTTTGGAAGGAATTATTACCCCTGGAAAAGCGATCCGCCAATTGACTAACAACCGGGTTCCTACTTACCCCCGGGTAAACAGAGGTGTGTGGAGTCAGGAAACTTGTCCAACATTTCGCCCTCCCCAGGAATCGAACTCAGGTCCTCTCGCTTGAAAGATAAGTGCTCTAACCACTAAGCTACAGGACTCCAGATTGCTGAACATCTGTGCACTGTTAAGAGGTGGAAACTCACAGGGAATGTTTTCTTTTATTTATTTTTGGCCAGTTGTCGCTCTGACTGGGATAACTATCCACATCTCAGCCTGCCAAGTGGCCAGTTCTCATATGAGGGAGTGAATATAACAGATAATAATAATAATAATAATCCTTGCATTTGATACAGCGCTTTTCACGTCGGGAGGACGTCCCAAAGCGCTTCACAGAACACACTGTAAAGTGAATGGACTGTATATTTGTGGGCGAACGCGGCAGCCAATTGCGCACAGCAATGTCCCACAAACAGTCGTAGATTGAAAATGACCAATTTATTATTGTTTTTGGTTTTGGAGGGAATATTATTAGGCTCTGTGTGGAGTAAGGAAACTTGCCCAAGGTTTCGCCCTCTGCCTGGATTGAACTCAGGTCTCTCACTTGCAAAGCGAGTGCTCTAACCACTGAGTTACAGGACTCCACAAGAGTCGATCTACAGATCTTCAGTTTGGTTCAGTCTCCAGATGTTCTCACCTCTGAGCCAGATGACTGTAACCAATTACACTTACACAACGCTTTTCCTGGTTTGGTGGACGTCCCAGGACGCTGGACAGCCACAGAGTTTGGAATCAGGAGAGGCGGACGTTTAAAATTTTAAGGTCGTTTAAGCACACGTAACAGGACTTTGAGCTCACGTAGCATAATAATAGTAAATTACATAGTATTATTATTCGAAATCAATTATTTATTTGTTTACTTGTTTGTTTGTTTGTTTATTTATAATAATACTAATACGACTACTACTACTACTACTAATAATAATAAATTGGTCACTTCAATCCACGACTGTTTGTGGGACACCGCTGTGCGCAATTGGCTGCCGCGTTTCGGTCGCAAAACATACAGTCAATTCACTTTACAGTATAATGCCGACGTCTCGAAGACGTGATGAGGAGACGTGGGGAAAGTGCAGGGGAGTGAGACCAGATCAAGAACTCTTTCAAAGAAGCCGGAACGGGTGCTATGAGTTGAATTGCCTCCCCTTCGGTGCTGTAAAATGCAATGGTTTCGCTCCTTCGCTCTGATCCTGCTACCAGTTGTAGCATGCATTCAAACCGCTTTGACGAATCTTTTTGCGTGCCTGCTTCCTCCCTTCCTCCTCTAACCTCGCTCCCCGGAGCACACGGTTCCGCAATCGCCGAGCCCGACAAGAATCGCTCCTTAAAAGGAATAAGCCGATACCCAAATATTGATGGATATGCTGATCCCTCAATTGCGCAGAGATGTGGAAGTATTTAACAAATCCATCAAAACATACGCTTGCATAATTGACTTCACGCCAGCAGATGTCTGATTCTAACATATTAAATGACAGCACATCACGCCTAAATAAGTAAATAATTAAATCCCAAATAAATAAATGAATAAACCTACCAGTAAATAGGACTCCAGCTGTTAGTCGATTGGCGGATCACTTTTGTGGGGATAAATAATCCCTTAAAATAATAATAATAATAATAATAATAAATTGGTCACTCAATCCACGACTGTTTGTGGGACATTTCGCTTCACAGTCATTTCACTCTACAGTATATTCTGTGAAGCGCTTTGAGACGTCACAGAGACGTGATGAGGTGCTACGAGCACTCTGAGACGCTACCCTTCAGGTAGGGCGCGATATCAGTGCAAGTTGGCGGTGTGGTACATCAAATGCAAGCATTATTATTATTATTATTATTATAGCACCCTTCAAGCAGCTCGGAGCCGGGCGTGGAGTTGTTTCATGTGCATTTCTGTGAATTTCCATCTGTGGGTGGGATGCATGGAATTCTCTGCTTGGTTGGGATACTCTTAAACATGGCTGACCCCCCAAAAAATTGTTCCATTGTGATTTTGCGCGGTGGGATTTGATCTTTTCTCTGGCGTGCCTACTTTTTGGGGGGGTTCTTATCCGAAGGACGGCAACTTCAACAATGCAACATCCCTTACCCCCACCCCCCACCCCCTCCGAGCACTGCATTGGAGCGTGAGCTTTGACTGTGTGATTCCATGTCCTGACCTGGGGCTTGAACCCACAACCTTCAGACTCAGAGGCGAGAGTTCTACCAACTTGAGCCAGGCTGGCTGATCTGTTATTGCCAGTGTCTCGGAGTAGCGCAGACCTCACGGTTTAAAGGAGGACTGAAATTTGTGCGCAACTTTCAAACAGGAGCTTCGGGAAGATACAACAACAACCGCAACCTTAACAACTCGCATTTATTTACACAGCACCCTTCGCGTGGGGCAGTGTCTCGAAGCACTTGAGACACCAGCTGCTCGGAGGAGATTAGAGGTCATTGGGGAATCGTACACAGATGCTCCCCTCCACTTCCTCACTTCCTCCTCCTCTGTACAGACACAATTGCACATATTTGATCTGGCAATCCATCTCATACACAAACGCACGCACTT